CACTCCGGGTTTCGACTCTTTCGTCCGGTCGACTTCTGGGACAGCGAAGGAACCAGACCAAGAGTATTGACCTACACACGCAAGGGATAGGGATGACGGTGGAGCAGCAGAGGCCTGTCCACACGAGAGACGTACTGTGGCTGGTGGTCGACAAAACGACGACTATCGTCAACGTGTACAGACAACCCGCGACCCCACAGCCGCACAACAGGGATACTGCTAGAACTCAAACCCCCGGAGCGAGCTTTGATCGCGGGTGACTTCAACGCGCATCACTACTCTTGGGAGCCCGGGACGAGGAACGGGAACCGGGGAGATGACATCGCAGGCTGGGCAGACGGCACAATCTCTCTCTTATCAGCGAAGTTGGGGTGGCAACCCAGGATTGCGGACATGTCCTGGACCTGGCTTTCTCTAATATCCCTTTTGCGCACGCGCAGGTCAGCCCACAGCTACACCCGGGAGCTGACCACGAGGCCATCGTGGCCGTCATACCACTACTCAAACGCCAGTGTCACAGGGAGAGGGCCACCCGCAGCCACGGCCACTGTCAGTGCCCGATCGGCGCTGCCTCGGCTGAGAGACCTGATCGAAGGGGGGCTAGCTGCGATGCCAATCTGGGGGATCAACCTACTCCGGAAGACCTGGACGGGCAGGCAAGTCACATCGTCGAGCTCTTCTCCCGAGCCATTGAGGCGGTCGGCAAGAAGAGAGGAAAACATGGTAAAGGCGCGGCTTGGTGGACGGAGGAATGCGCAGAGGCCCACAGAGCATACCGTGCTGCCCGCAACCAACAAGCCTGGGAGACGGAGCAAGATGCGCACCTTTATCTAATGGAGAAACGAAAGGCGTTCCTGAGCACGGTGAGGAAGGCTAAGCGAGCATACTGGGCCGGAAAGATCGATGGAGTCGCTTCAGACCGGGACCTGTACCAGATCATGGGTTGGCGGAAGGCGAGCCTACTGACCAGAGCACCCCATTGGTTGTGGACAACCAGACGATCGAGGATACTAACGAAAAGGCTCAAGCGCTTCGGGGAGCCCTTCTCGACAGGTTTAGTGCGGAAGATGACGCACCGGGTGACCCGTTTGACGTACCCGTCGTCCCGAGGCGAGCGATTACTTGGCAGGACAATGTTAGCGGAGAAGAAGTGAAGACGGCCACCTTAACAAAGACAACGACCCTGGTGTGGACGGCATCACAACACGCCTCCTCCAGGCATGCTGGGATGTCATCTCGGAACCGGTCAGGCAGCTATTCCAGTCCTGTATGCGGGCCGGCCACTTTCCTCTGCCCTTCCGCAGAGCTGAGGTGGTCATGATCCAGAAGGCCGGCAGGGATGCCTCCAAGCCCGGGTCCTGGCGGCCGATCGCGCTCCTCTCGTGCCTGGGCAAGGGACTAGAGCGACTGATAGCCAGAAGGATGGCGTCCCTGGCGATTGTCGAGCGCATCATCAGTCCGCAACAGATCGGGGCTCTACAAGGCAGGTCAGCCGTCGATCTGACGACCTGCCTCACCCACGACATCGAGATGGCCCTCCTAAAAGGACTCACGGCGACACTTCTGACTATGGACGTAAAAGGGGCGTTCGACTCCGTCCTTCGGAACCGGCTCGTCATTAGACTGCGTCAGCAGGGATGGCCACATGGCCTGACCAGACTGATCTTTAGCTTCTGCTGCAACCGCACCGCTAGAGTCCGACTGGAAGAAAGCACAACGGAGTACTTCCCGCTGTCATGCGGGCTGCCTCAGGGGTCACCACTATCTCCCATTGCCTTTCTGCTCTACATCGCAGAGATACTTGAAGACGACCCGAACGCGCGATTCGGGTACGCGGACGACATCGCCACTCTGGCCATCAGCCCCTCCCTGGAGAGCAACGTCGCAATACTCAACCGAAGCGCAGCCGGCATTCTCAGATGGGGCTTGGAGAACAAGGTCTCCTTTGACCCGAGCAAGTGCGAGGTCATCCACTTTACTAGGAAGCACGGCCAGCCAGCGGAGCTGCCAGAGGTCCGGGCGGGGGATTTGGTGGTCAAGGCCTCGACGAAACCTGTACGCTGGCTGGGTGTCTGGTTCGACAAGAGACTGTCCTTCCGGCACCATGTCGACGCAAAAGTAGCTGCAGCAAAGAGGGCAGCTCAACATCTGAGACAGCTTACGAACACAAAGAGGGGACTCCCAGCGGCCGCCGTGCGAAAAGCCGTCGTCTCCTGCGTACTGCCGATCGCGCTCTTCGGCGCCGAAACATGGTACGCAGGTATCACGAAGCCGGCTTCGAGACGCCAAGCGGAGACAGACACGAATCCGCCTCTCCAAGGAAGACCCGTCAACACAGGCCAAAAGGGGCTCGTGCAGAAGATCGACAGCGTCATTACAGCGGCAGCAAGGGCCGTTCTGCCTGTCTGGAGGACAACGCCAACCAGTAGCCTCCTCCGAGACGCCGGCTTACCGTCAGCCAAAGTCGCCTTAGAGGGCGTCCGCTTACGGGCCGCAGTCCGACTACAGAGGATTGATCGCCGACACCCGCTAGTCGCGCGGCTCTCCCAGCAGGGACAGCAACAGACGAGACTACAACGGACGGCTGAACTTCTGCCAAGATGCGGAAGACCAGCGTTCCTTCAATCACAGTACCTGCCAAGCTCACAGGATCAGATAGTAGTTCAATGCAAAGAAGAGGCTGCGAAAGCTTTCGAGCGCTGGCTAAAGACAGTACCGGAAAGCCATATGATCGTCTTCTCGGACGGCTCCAGGGCGACGAACGGAGCCGTGGGGTACGGCTTCGTCATCTACCGAGACTCCAAACGCATAGCACAAGGGTGCGGCCGACTCGGACTAGCAGAAGTGTTCGACGCCGAGGTCGAAGGGGCGCGAACCGGCCTCAGAAGGGCTCTGCTCACCAATCGCGGTCATCCAATCCACATATGTATCGACAACACCAGCGTTATACAAGGCATCCGCGGCAAGGCGCCGGACTCGTCACAAGACGCGTTCCTCGAAATCCAAGAAGCGGCCAGGATATTTGATATACGGACGCACTGGTCCCCGGGACACCAGGGCATCGAAGGAAACGAGGCCGCGGACCGGCTGGCCAAAGAAGGAACGACACTGCCGGCGCGGATGGGTCAAATGGCAACACTAGCGGGCATCAAGCGGCTTGCAAGGGAAAAATTACAAAGCCAGCACAGGAGATGGTGGTATAAAGAGCGAAGGCCGCGGTACGCGGACTTGGGGCTTGAGGCAGCTCTGTCCAGCCCTCCTGAACTGGCCTTGCCGCGGGCTACGTTACATCACCTGCTGGCGGCACGATCGGGTCACGGGGACTTCGAGCAATATCACCGACGTTTCAACCACGACGACGCTCTAATGATGTGCTCTTGTGGAGAGGCGAAAGACGTGGACCACCTGGTCTACTGTCGACTAACGCTGGCGAGGAGGCAACGGTGGCCGACCCTCCACTCTCGCAGTATGCCCGAGCCCATAGGCCCTATGGGATCTCTCGAGGCCTACTTCAAGAGATTAATCACCGACCCACGAGGCTTCGAGGCCTTTCTCCGCGTGACGGACTTCTTCCAGAAGATCTGTCTGCGGTAGCAGCATCCACACCTACGTAGATGTGAGTGCGGACTACAAAGAACCTCCCGATTCCAAGGGACGATTTGGGAAAGAATGAAACTGGGGCACCAGCGGGAACCGGGGACAGACAGAACGCGTAGTGGCCACAAGGCATGATTTGGAGGACGATGTAAAGAGACGACGTACTGTAGAGTAGGTAGCCTTGGCTCACGGCCCTCCACGCCATATACCCTTCGGGAGGTCTGCGGTAAGGGCTCTAGCCCGGCCGCCACGGCGTTAAATACAACAACAACAACAACAACAACCGGGCTAAGATATCCTCGTACTTGGGCCAGGATGATCGCTTTTCCACTCAGTCCACATGAACTTGACAATGCTGCCGGCAGGCACACTAGCGGTCTCAGTGGCAGGAACGTTGTTCTTATCAGATCCAGTGTTGCAGGTAATGGCATCGGTCTGGATAAGTCAGCATTCATGTCCTGTCATAGATCCTTGGCAATGGCCCGAGTCGATAGGACCTACCGTGAACAAGCCGTCGGTTACCGGACCGTTGTCTTTAAACTTGCGAGTTATCTTGTTGACCTTCTTCGATGGATCTTTGTAAGGGTTCCAAGTGTCGACTAGATTCTCGCCGAGCATGAGATGTTGAACGAAACCATGGGCTGTGGTTGTCGCAGCCAGCCCGCCAACGATGGTAGTGAAGGTCAACTTCATTTTGAGGTCACAGGCGTCGAAGACACTGCTAATTTGATTTGAGAAATATGGAAAAAAGAACGAAGGAAGTGGCGCCCCTATACTAGAGTGCTTTGAGTGGGAGCGCCCATCGGCGCGGAATATATACGTCTACTTAGTAAATAAGTCAGCAGCTTAGGTACTACTATGTGATTGTTAGCGCAAGTTCCTTCTGATTGACGGACTCAATTCGAAATTTTGGCACGCTGCAGCGGGCATCTTCCTCTCATTTCGGAGCCATCCCATTGCTACCTCTAATGGCTGTTCGTCCCATCTCAGAAGTAAAGTCACCCACCGCTCTTGCTATGATTGGACTAGTATTGGCAACCGTGAGCATTGTCAAGTTCGATCGTCTGCCCATTTGCTTGGAATAAACACCAAGTCCGTCGGCTTAGATTCCGAACATGGCCCAGATTGGTGGGAATTTCTCCGAAAGAGGATGCTCTTCAATTCTGCAACCATGCATTTGCGTCGATCGTTTGATTGGCAAGCCTTGGAGAGACTGAGATTGGTCGAAATTAGGATAACGGTGTAAGACTAATTACATTTGGGTGCTGCCAGGAGCCTCGAAATGGGTAGGTGAGTCTGAAGCTTATTGAGGGGATGGAGATGCTTGGTAGGGTATACCTGGCTCACGGCAGGTCGGCGGATCAAATTCTGCCCAGCTTGATCCAAGGGGTTCGTGTGGGGATGAGAAATCATCCAACTTCGCTGCCAAAGCTGACGGTACACAATTATGACAGCACTTGCTTATTGCCCTTGTGCTGTGTAATATACAGAATTTTCTGCTGTGTGGCTTTCAAATCCCTCCAAAATCTCAATACGAATGCACAAAAGGCGTCTTTCGATTGATGCTATGCCACAGGACGGCACCACATGAGAGCACCTCGATGATCACTCTCTCATGCCGCTTTCCGGAGCTAGGATTGTATCGGACAAAGGGGTTCGCGCTACAAAATCAAAACATAGTTCACTCCATGATCGGGACTATCAAGTTATGAATGATTGCTAAGCTGATGGTTCATGGAATAGAGCAAGCTCATGTCTACGTATGTACAAGAAGGTGACGATGACAGGAAAATAGAAGTATGAGAGAATGTAGTCTGTAGAAGCCAATGAGCAAAGAAAATGGCAGGGAGTACGTGTGAGCTGGGAAGACAATACGTGTTTAGGCGCCTCGAACCCCAGTCTCGTCCCCAAATCATCCTAATTACTTACATGCGATGCCCAGTACTGATCAAGGTTCTTATACACGTCGTCAACTTTGCTGTACGGGTCGGTAGCGGCCATGGCCTGGACTGACTCCTCAATGGCAGAGTCGGAAAACGGTCCAGCTCGAGTGCGCAGATCGGCCATGACGTACGGCTTCGCTCTCCAGCGTGCTTCCATAGGATCAATGAACTTGGTCTCGTTGTATCCAAACTCTGGAAGAACAGTGACGTTGAAAGCGGCCATCATATCACTGTCCTCGTGAATCAGGTTATGGCAGTGAAACATGTAAACACCGTCCCAGGGGGCGTAGTGTGCCTCAACGAGGACTGACTCGCCTCTGCCCAGCCATACAACATCCTTCAGACCCTCCGCTTCGTAGGGCATCACACCACGATCACCGTCTCTAGCGATGACTTTGAAGTCGACGAGGTGGACGTGAATGGGATGAGACCAACCATCAGAACTGTTCTCAAGCTCCCAAATCTCGACTTTGCCTCTGGGGACGTTTGCGAGAACGCGATTTTCCGCATCGGCGAAGCCCACACCATTGATGCGCCATTCGCCGTTGGTACGATGGAAGCGGAAATGGTGGTCAATGACGTTATCCGCTGATGTTGGGAAAGGAACTGTGCGAAGGACGTCTGGAACGCTTGATGTGTCGGGGCTAGATAAGGTCGTGCCGACGACGAACTGTATTACTTTGTCGGTGTGCAAGTAGTCATCCTCGACGCCGATCCCGCCAGCCTTGGGGAAGTTTCTGATTTCGAGTCTTTGGCCAGCGTACTGAGCAAAGTCGATGATGATCTCATATCGCTCAGCTGGTGAGACGTACTGACTGATATTAGCAAGTTCCCGTCACTAGTACGATATCGATGCGGCTCACAAGGTCTGCAACTTGCACTGGCTTCCCTAAGAGGCCATTGTCGGAGCTGATGACCTGAAACGGCAGCTTTCCGTTCACAGCATTAGAGTTGACCAGGTATAGTGCAAAGGCGCGGGAGACAGCTGCGTTCAAAAAACGAAACCGGTATTTTCTTGGCTCGACGTTGAGGAATGGCCAGGGCTGACCATTGACGTGGATAAGATCGCCCCATAGACTATCAGTCTCCCCCTTGGTTGAGAACAGGGTACCATCCTCATTGTATTGCTTCGCAGAGAGAACAAGAGGGATATCATGAATGCCGTAGCCTGAAGGCAGGTTGAGAAGGCTCTCTGCCTCATCCGTGATCAGGTAGGCTCCGGCCTGTCCCATGTACGCATTTTCAGCGGTCTGAGATCTCAAGTTAGCGACTCTGTCCGCCATTCAAAGGTGATCAAATCAACTCACAAGATGCATTGCGTGATCATGATACCACAGCAGTCTCGCAGACTGTTGGTTGGGATAATAGTAGTCCTTGTACTCCCCTGGGTTGGTGATATCTTCCGCCCAACCGTCGAAAGGGGCGCGAGAGTAGGATCCGTGAAGATGAACCGAGTTCTCGGCAGCGGCATTATTGATAAATCTAACGATAGACTCCGTTCCTCGAGGGATAATCAGTGTCGGACCCGGGGAGATGCCGTCGTAGCCCACCAGCGTTGCAGGGCGCAAGTTAGGATAGACCGCCTGAGTGAAGGGCTTGATCTCAAGCTCGTAGTACCAAATCTCTTTGTTTGTCACTGGGTTGATGACTTTTCTATGAGATATATTAGACAAACGATTGCTCCAACAGAAAGGTAGCTGATAGTCGTACTTGGTAGGTTCCTTGACCGGCGGGATTGGCAGAGGCACCTTGTATATCAAGGCATACTCAGGGCTTTCCCAATCCTTGAGAAGGGTGAAAATGTCTTCTGGATCATCTTCCACGATTTGAGCGAGGGCTGTAACCTCTTTCTCGGGAATCCGGGAGATGTGTGTATCATCGAAGGAAGAGTTCTGAGCCTGGACGAGACTGGCGGAGAGGGCTGCTTGCAAAAGCGCCACGGTCAGTTGAAACCTCATGGTGTAGGGAGAAGAAAAGTGACTTGAAGACCAGGAGATCGAATCCTGTATAATCTGTCAATAAAGAAATTCTGTTGGATCGAAAAGAAAAGGGTTGAAGACTCTTAAATAAGAATGAGGAAGCAAGACCGAGGGAAACGAATATAGAGGAAATTTCCCGTACCAGAGTCATTTCTTCTTCCACTCCGAAGTCGGATAGAATTCCTGTCAAAAGACATCGATCAGTCTCCTTATGGTAATCCGGTCGCAACGTGGAAGACGATGCATGCCTTGTGACTGCTGCAAGTATTCTGCAAGAAACTCGCATATCAGGCTAGGATAGGAAATCGATGGCCGATGTACGTGATGGAATCAACTGCAGAAATCGCGCACACTTAGGGATACATGCCATGTCAGTTACATCGCCACTAAGCCGGTCGTCTTGTGATGTTGACCATATCTCTCATACCGTGGTATGGATCCAATTTTACTGCACAAGGTGGCAGTCACGGCAAAACCCCACAGGCAAACAAAGTGAAGTGATGTTTACTTGGATAGAGTAGTATTGGCGCATGTTCCGTTCCTCATGACCCTTTCATCTCGAGATTGGCATGAACGATGCTTGTGCTGGTTGCTGCTGGGATGGTGCACGACCATGTATCTTGGCAAACGCCGCTAGAGGCTCTTTGGCGATAATACTGTCAAGCAAATTCTCGCTAAGAATATGGCAGTCTTGGAAGAATGACACGCTATTGCGCTAATATGACTCGGGATAAGCTTGTGCTTGTTTAAAGTCGAAGGGCCTGAGCTTGAAACCGCAATTCCATTGCATTGCGACATCAAATCGGAGAGGAAGCACGTAACAAGCTAGGAAGGCGAGAAATACCAGGCTCGACTCAATTATCTACGTGTTCAGTTGAAGTGCCGCGCCGCTTGGGTACATGGAGGTACTAAGGTAAGTTGATACAGCGTGCTGCTTTTATGAAGCGTTCAAGAATTTTGTGTTATTCACTTGGAAGTTGTTAACTATTCGCGGGCTAGCGTGCTTCTCTGTTCTACGCGTATGTTCAGTGGATAAATAATTACAGAAAGGGCATATTATCATTGGATCTTTTCCTTTGCCCCGTGTACTTGGACCTGGCCTGGTCTCAGTTTTGAGTTCGTGATCAAGACCGGAAGTACGCTCGTATTCCCATTACGGACCTGAATTCAGCTTCTGACATATGACCAGCCGATACCGTCAAGATATAAGCTGCCCGCTATGGCGGGGAGCATGGTTCTACCTCCTGCCAAGAGCTATAGCGACGTTGACTAGTCTATCCGCCCCTCCAAGGAAGCCTTGGTGATAAACACCCAAAATGGACCGTCAATCTAGAAACGAGTTCTTCTTGCATTCGGAATGGAGACAGCCCGGCTGCTACTCTGCTCCCTCGGGTGAACTTGCCCCCCCTCCAGCAGCGGAGATGGGATCGTAAACGCAGACTCGGTGACGCTTTGCTATCGACAACTATCTCTCCCGAGCGCCTAGCATGGGTTTCGTAAATCCCGCATCTTTCTTCTCCTAGCGTCGGCTTTCGTCGGCAGGGGCTCCAGGATCATAGAGCTGTTCTGCTTGATTCCGCTGGCGGTAAATCAGGGGACAAGCAATGAGCCGTCCAAACTTTACCCCAAGAGTCAATCGGCCAACCCGCAACTTTATCCGCCAACTTTACTTCAATAAGAGTACTCCTGCAAAATCACTAGTGACTAGTCTATTCGTCTGATCCCTTTGACTTCGAGAAGCTTGCTGAAGTGGAAGATTTGCTTACTTGCTATCTGCTCAAGCTAACAAAGTTCGAAATCTTCCTCTTATTGTAGATTCATGACACCGTTCAGCCGAACATCTATGATGTCTTGCTGCAGGAGGATGCTTTAATCTTGTAAGCATTTGAAATCAGCCACAGAAAACATCCGAAGGCTGACGCATTATGTCAATGTCAGTTCAGGGATTAGAGTAATTTGAAGAGCCGACTCTCTCTTTCTCTCTCTCTCTCTCTCTCTCTCTCTCGCCAAGAGGGTCCAACACGATGGAGATTGGGTCGCATCGTCCATCTCCATTGTAACCAGGCCACCCCGCCACCGGCCCGCGCTCTCTACCAACTTTGAAAGGGGGAAAGATAGAATCACCCTGAGAGGCATGTAGAGCCGGGAACATGGAGCAATGAGGTTGCGGCCGCTTTTCTAGACAGGAAGGTGGCAATGTTAACCGTGCTCTAGACCCATTCTCACGGTAGTTCTTGGCGGGAGTGGCCGGTCAAGACCCATGACTCCCGCAGGCAATGCGCGGGGATACTGCAAGGTAAAGATGTTGGCATTTCCGCTTTCGAGATTCGAATTGCCTTCAATGACGACCAACGTTCGAAGGCGAGAGCGTTCGACAAAGATTTAAACGCTCAGGAGACCACGTCCCTCTCCTGAAATGGAACCTAGCCCGTGGGTGGGACATCGCGTAAAGATCCCCTACTGAGTATTACTGGACCCGCCTGCGACTCAAGTCTTGATGCGGCTGCAATGCTTGTCTGGGATCGAAGCCATGGAAGCAGTTGCATGGCTGTTGTAGCTGTTGCCAAGATGTAGCATCACCGTCGAGGGACGGCAACTCTTAGCTAGCTTGGTAGATATACTGCGTAGTCCGTCGGTAATATCTCCAACCCAGCCCATAGCACGCGAAGTTGCAAAACTTAAACCGTGGAGAACGCCGGATGAAAGGCGTCTCAGCGCGCAGCAGCCACTCTGTTTTGGGGATCGGGTTAACCTGGTAATTGCCAGGCGTGTTTCTTGTCCTTTATCAGAACCCTCTTTGAATTTCCAGAATGCCGTTCGTGTTGTTCTTGCCTGGCCAAACTTGTCGGCACGCGCTGTGACCCATGCTTTACGATTTCTTGGCCGAGTCACAACCGTGTATCCAACGAGATCAGATTATGAGAGCTGAGACAACTGGCAGTGTCTGGACGCACCTCTTGCGTGACGAAAGTTTAGGCGATTATCTGCGGTTGACATCCTTGTCACCAACAGCCCCTACCTATCCCTGGTAGTTACGACCACCAATAAGGTGCTCGTCAAATTGTAGTCCTAGCTCACGTCCCATGAGCTGGGGCCGCTCAGGAGCCTCCTCTTGGGTCTTGAGACCTAACTCACCCATCGGCAGAAATGACCAAGAGTCTAAGCCGGTCCGGGATCCTTGGTTGCACTCCCCCAGCCGTTGCAACTTCCCCGCTCCCGGGATTCTTGAATCAGAATGCCGGGCTGGCAGTTTTTGACGACTCGGTTCTCTCTCAACCCGATTCCTACCCCGGCATAGTTCGCCAATTATAGACCTGTAGCGCACCTCGCGGAACCAGGCCCGAGACCTAAACCATGCGGGAGAGTTGCACGCAGTGGAGCCGCATCCTAGAGTTATCATGGCGCACTCGCGGTTACCTCCACGATGTAAGGGTACAGCACTACATCTAGGGGTCAGTACGTACATTCTTGTCACGCGCATGGCCGGAGCGAAATCACTCAACCAATCTTCTGTCTTGGCAAAGACGGCGGAGCGGGCTTCTTAGGGAGGTTGACATGGACTCCAAGATGGGTACTTCCTCGTTGGCCTGTCTGTTTGGCGGTCAGCGTTCTGTGTATCATGAGAGTCCTCATAACTCCAAGATTCATGGTCTCTTGCAGACTGGTGGCCGGTGATCGGAGGAATACGGAGGCCTCACATTGCACCGTTACCCGCGTCGGCTTGCCCGGGTCGAGAATGTCGAATCCGCAGAGTCACGCTGCAGCGTGTCATTCGCCGCCTATAGTTGTCGTGATGAGAAAACACTTGCATCTGCTAGAGGGCCAAGGCAGTCCATCGAAGGAGGCAATAGGAAGACGTGATGGCTCAATCTTGGCAATGGTCGTTGACGCGGGGATTGGGCCTGGGTCTACTACCTCACCCTCTCTCTTGACTGCAATCTACGACAGCTTCCTGTTAATGACGACGGATCAAGAAGGAGCACAGTGGAAATGAAGTGTTTTTCAAGACTGACGAAAAGCTGGGTGATTATACCTGTTGAGATTGGTGATAAAATGGCGACGATATCCGTATGACACTCTAGCAATCCCTCACCAGAGTCATCGTCTTTCTTTTTCATCAATCATATACGTACAAAATGCACCGTCTACGCGTTTTCATCACTATCTGGTCCCTATTGTTGGCTTCTGTGGCATGTCAAGAGGCCCCAATTTGGGTTCAGGGTGCCCTTGAAGATGCTACTGCGACTGATGACGCGTTCAACACAGGCGGGACAATAGTTGTCAATGGATTTACAGTCAATGTTCCAAAGAACCTACTAGTCCAATTTCCAGCTGCCTGGGTCCCGTGGAAGGAATTTGTGGCCAATAAGGCGGACTTCACCGGATATGAGACCTTGGTAGGTTCAAGTTGAACACCAATCCCGGATATGCACTCTAGAAAAGGCGCAGAGCATTGCTGATGTCCACCTATAGGTTATCGGAAACAGTATCAATGGAGAGCCCCGCGTTGCTCAAATCCAGATGTACGAGTTCTTTGAGGGATTGAGCAGTGGCTTTATTGAGTCTTTAGACTTTGCGGATGGAAGCCTCAAGATCCAGAACGGCCCCACTGTGAGGATTTCAGACCCGAACGCTGTTTTCTCAAAGGGCTATACCGGCGCTCCGTTGATGACTGCCGATGATCAGAGCCCTAGTATCACCTCTTTCTCAGGCTTTCCAATGTGCATTCCGCGCAATGAGTCTGATCCTTTTTGCCCTCTAAGCAACCGACCTTTTGTCGGGCCGGGCACCTTGTAAGCTCGGACTCCCAGTGTCTATTCAACATAGTCTTCAAGTTCCAAAGTGTTGACTCTTCAAAGTACTGCACCTGACCCAGTTGTCATGGCTCCGTTCCAGGCCGGCGATTTCATCACCTTTTCCGGATTCCGTCGAGGTGCTGAGGTTATTGCATTCAGTATCGTGGCGCAGAACGTACAGATCAACACGCTTGGCGACGTTGTCTACGTGAGAATGGAACTAGGTCTGCTGGGCATCGACAACCCCAATCCTAACGCTGAAATTGCAGAGTCTCGAGTAAGTGTTTTTAGCCTAACCTAAGGGCTTGAGTCAACGTGCTGATAAATGACTTCACAGTTCATCGGCTTCGTCTCCAATAACCGTGCCACAGTTTCTTTGTACGCGATGGACGTTGATCCCTGCACAGGCGCAACTACCAACCGCATCATTGCGTCCATGGGACTTCGCGGTGGCCGCAATGCCCAGAACAAATTCGAATATCGCAACAACATCCTATTCAGGTACACTCGAGAGTATCGTGTCACCGCAGAGATCGACGGGGTAGCCAAGACCCGCGTGACCAAGAACGGAATCACTGCCGGAACATACGTGCAGCCCGTTAACGTTTGGGTTCCCGGAGAACAGGATGTGCCTGGCGTTCCGCCAGTGTCGTATGACTTCTCTCAGATGGAGTTCCTGACGAAGGGAGTTGGCGCTGACGATGATGGCAACGTTTGGGGTCCCCTCGAGCCCTTTCCCCAAACCGGGGTGCTCATCGAGCCTCCCGTCTGCGCCGCAGCTCGGGGCTTGGAGTTGGAGAAGCGAGGTCAGATTAGCCGATGGTATGGCCGCGCTCGCGCAGATGCAATCTCTCAGGCTGAGAATGTTGATACTACTGAGGCCTTCGTCAACATCGCTCCTGAGGAGGCCGCAGCGATTGCGAAGAAGAAGGCCGAGGAGGAGGCTATCAACGGGTCACCTTGAATGCCAATTTCGGGATCTCTGAAGTTTGGTGTCCACGCAACCTCCGAGATTGGGCAACGGACCACTGTGACGTGTTCCAACTGTTCCTTCATCACATTCTACGGGTTCCTCTTGCTCAACAACATTCAACACACTTGTTTTCATTGTAGATAGTTCCCTCTGTCTTTGCAGCGTTTTGCTGCTGAATACACACACGAGTTTTCTCACAGTAATCAATGGACAACGCAAGACGACACTGTCGGCCTGAGGGACATAGTGGAGTAAAGCTACCATTGAATTTTTTCAAGACTACATGTATGTGCATAACTAAGTGTCGATTTTTTTTCAAAAGAATTGAGTGATATGTATAATAGAAAGAAACTGGCGACTGGCAGCTCCATCTTTGATCATTTATGAAAGATAGGTGTATTGCCCTACCTTGGTCCCACCGGGAATCGGGCGAGGTTCCTGCCTTTCAGATGACACTTCCCCACCATCAAGCAGGAGTGTTAACGGTAATGCTAGCGGATCCACTGCTGAAGTATCCTTCGGTGGCCACGATCATGTAGTTGTGGGTTCCGAGGTTGAGTCCGACCGACGCCCAAGCGGCAAAGTGGTTGCCAGTTGTAACAGTACCGCCAGTACGCTTGGAGGTTCGCTATGTTGGATATATCATTAGTCTGAGCCTTTTCACCACGATAAGTAGTGCAAGGGACTTTCAACGCATGCGACTTACGATGGACCAATACTGTTGGAATGTCTTAGTGCCCTCAATGCTGGGCTGGTTGACGCGGGTGCTGACATAGATGTCATAAGTACCGCCGTCACTAGTGACAGAGCCCTTCTTCGTAGCAGCGGAAGCTGGGTTGTAGGTGCCATAGTTCTCGACAATGTAGTACTCAATCAGAGGATTCTGAGTCCAGCCGTAGACAGCCAGGTACTGGAAAAGAGGTCAGCTATGAAATACACATTTCCAATTCTCCATCTTATGTGGTGTTCACTTACGCTGTTCCCGTTCGGACTGTATGTGCCAGAGTAGTTGATGGTTCTGAAAAGGTCAACTGATTAGAGATGTATGTTCGTTGTGCAAATGAACATGGACTCACTTGGAACCTCCCGGGTTCCAGCCCTTGCCTCCAACAAAATTCCCGCCGCCACCTCCCCAATTGACGCTGTAAGAGCCGCCAGCACCGTTGGTATAAGTGACTTGAGACCCTCCGTCAGTCCACCACGAGTAGTAGTATCCGTTGTGGTATCCAGTCGAGCTTGGAGTGGATTGGCGCTTCTCGATGAGTTCTCCAGTAGGACTGGCAATGACCCCAATAACAGTCGCCAAAGTGACGAGTGCTCTGGAAAAAGAAACCATTGTAGCAGCTGAGTAAGTCGTTGATTACTGTGGTCTGTTAAGTTCTGACTGTTCGTTTGAAGTCATGCTTCTATCGTTGGCTACCGGATCTATGCCGCTTTTATAGTGTGAACCCTGATGCCACAATCATCCTACTGGACGGGAAGACCTGAAAGAAATGAGGCTAAACGTGCCTGACAGCAACCACATCGATACTTCCTATACCCAATGACTACATCGCGGTTGTTGGAGAAGATGTCAACATTACTGGATGATTACAAGGCTGTCCGCGTGACAAGTTCGGCGTTACGCGGCAGTTGCCTTCCAAGTTTGGTACACTAAGCACTTAGGACCTTGGCACCGGGAGATAGAACTCAGGCTAAATCTAACTTTTTGGTGTGTCGGTCGATGAAATCTGGGGTACAGCGGCACTGCAATCTCTGTGAATACTATCGATAGTTAAGATCTGCAAGCCGTCCCGCTCTTGCAGCGGCAGACATTTTGCCTCGATATTTTACCCGTCGTCTAGGCCCAAAAGGTCAACCATCACACCGGAGAGCGAGCTTGGCCTCCGACTACCAAATCTGGCATCGGCTGAACGGAACAGAAGCTATCACCATTTAGCTAACACGGTTGGGAATTTTGTTCGAAAAAGTGACGCATTTTGCGGTTAATGGCGAAAATAGCCAGCTCAATTGTACGAAAGCAGGAAAGCCCGTTGCGACTAAAATTTACACGGAGTTGACTCAAGAACGTGCAAAGTAAGCGGCGGTGTAAAAATGTCTCCCGATAGGTTTAGATGACACAGCAAGGTCAGAAGAAGCGCGCTTGGATAACAAATGCTTGTATAAAAGGACGTATAGTGTCGGGATAGAGTCGATGCACATGCAAACAGGTAGACAAAATGCATCATTTCTCGCATAACCCACCGAGCATCTTGAAAGGCTTGTCAACGGTTGGATTAGGAAGGAAGCTACACGTATCTGGCGGCCATAAAATTCGATATCACTGCGAAATTCGGAAGGCCGTTGCTGCACGTGACTGAGTTGTCTGTGATTGATCTTCCTGCAACGCCAAGGTGAACGACACTGGGGTTGGCTGAGGCGAATTGCTTCTGCTTGTGCAAATCTAAGGTGCCAAGGTGCATCACCTGGGCCGCTTAGTCGAGTTGAGTTTGGCGGATAGTCAGTTTATTCCTGACGTCAAGAGAGCGAAGTCTAAAAACTCACCAGGCTAAAATTGCTAAAATTGCTTTGCCAAGAAAATTTACCTCATCTGAAATTGTGAATCAACTCGATGATTGGAGTATTGAGCATTTCTGTGGCCTAGAATAATTCTCCTGATCATGACTAGGATGTGGAAACATGGTCCTATCCACGGCAAAACTTGCCGCGGACCTGATACAGGCACAGGTTCAGGAGCTGGGGTCTAACAAGCATAGTCACATCCTCTACCGAGAGCGACGATCTCGCAGTCTGCACTCTGTAACAGCAATAGCGCGACAGAGTAAGATCAGGTGGTATTGGAGGGCTGTGGCTGTGCGGCCTCAGCTCCTGAATCTCAGCCATAATCATCCCACAGTCGGCGCAAGCCAACTTGAGCTGGAATGAAGGCGTTAATGACACGTCCTTAACACGGGGTTGGACGATCAACTTTGGGCGAGAGGACCATGTTTGGGGGAACAAGATACTTGAGGGGGAACGCGAGGACTACGCCGCGGAAATAAAATTCAGCGAGGCCAAAGATTCAACCATTGAGGTGGCCGTTTCTGATTATTTTTACTCACCCAAGAAATCCGAACGTGATTCGAGTCAGTCCGTGACAAATGGCTGAAGATCGCCACAAAGTCGGTGGCCGGCGGCCCCGATCCCTCTGAGCAAAGTGCGTGCTAGAGACAGCCCCAGGCCTGCCATCAACCGGAGAATAATGCACAATTCTGGGGGAGCCCATTTTTCTGTTCTGCTCTTGGCGAAAACAAGAGTCTACTCCTAGAACATCGCGCGTTTGAAGAAGACCTCGCTTCCGGAATCCCTGACCACCAAGAGGTCAGAGGTCACCCCAAAACAAGCGTCATTTCTAATACGGGAAGGCAGCAAGCTTAAAGTAGGGTTCCCACGTTATCCCAACAATTGGCTCTTGTCAAGAGAGACCGGGCCTCTCTCAAAATCATGCACGGCGAAACCCAGAAGTGCGGGGGTTCGCGTTTGGCAGAACAAGCTTGAATCTGGTCTCGAGGCCCTCCAGGGGCCCTGGGCAACGACTGTGGGAAAAATCTGGTTCCATCTGCGGTCCAATTGTAGGCCGAGTTGCATTAACTTTAAAGCTTGAAACGGCGATGCGGACGGTTTTTGCGACAGGATTGGTGAAGGGGAGCCCGACCTAACCGACTTCGATGTGTGCCGAAGAGCCGGGGCTACCCTTGTCTGCGGCAGAATAAGCCTCGTTTGAGCTGCTGATGTGACGGGATGATCAGGCATCTGAACAGGTCTTGTTGCAGGATGAGGCTCATGGCTGTCATCTCGAGTCAAAGAAACTCATCTGGAGTGTTGCTCAACGCAGTGGTGCACTGCTGCTCAGGTGACGCCGCCATCCGGAGTTTCAGGGTGTGACAGCAAAGTCTGTATGTAAGCATTGAGCATGTGGTGGTGGCATACCAGCGAGCGCTGCAGCTGGACGTACTTAAGAACATGAAGAGGATCTCTGTTCCCGCCAGGAATTCCCTCTTCTCACTCGAGCGTCTGTCTGGCTATCTCCGTTCTACTTCTTACTATTACGTTCATTCCGTGCTGTGCGCGGCTCTTTTTAATTGAGCTATCATTCATTAAGACCTGGTGTCACCTGCACGAATAATACCACTCACTCTCACGAAGTACCTCTATACACTTCAGTCAACATGAAGTTCTCAACTGCCGCTTTCTTCGCCATTGGCCTCTTGGCTGGCAACGTCATTTCTGGTAAGTGTTCCTTTTCCAATGTTCCACCTAAGTTAGTCTGGTGTACTAACCTGTGTCTCTAGCCCCCGCAGTCCAAGGAAACGATGTCGCTCTTCCTATTGAAGTCCGTGCAGAGGACTTTGTCGCAAACGACGCCGCCCACCTCGAGGCCCGAGCGAAGAAGAAGAGGGCGGCCGGAGCTGCTGCCAAGAAGAACAATGGCGCTGCCGCTGCCAAGGCGAACGCCGCCAACGCCGCAGCGGCAAAGAAGAATAACGGTGCTGCTGCTGCCGCGAAGAAGAACAACGGCGCCGCCGCTGCCGCCAAGAAGAAGAACGCCAATGCCGCGAAGAAGAACGCAAACGCAAAGAAGAATGCCAACGCAGGAAACAATGCCAATGCGGGCAACAACGCCAACGCCGGCAACGCCAATGCTGCCAAGGGCAAGGGCAAGTCCCAAGCTGAGTTTTCTGGCTTGGCTTGCACCGATGGAAAGGGAGCTGGTGCTTGCAACGCCAACGGCCAGTGTGCCGTCAACGGCAAGACAGCTGCCATCGCCGGACAGTGTGGTGTCGCAGCAAAGAAGGCCAACAAGCGCTACGTCTCGGATGTTGCCCATCTCATTTGAAGAAGTGGTTGTCGATGAGGTCTCAAATTGGCGTAGGGTTGGGCGGCGTGGACTTCGTGGATATGACGTTTATGAGAAAAGAAAAGGGTGTGGTGACTATTCTAGCTTCGCCGACTCCAAGTGTAATGAAAATCGATCAAGTCTCAAGCTCATAGCTTCCTCATTCAAGTATCAACTTCTGATCAAGTTAAATAGTCGTGACTGGACGAGTGAGGCAGTCCCAGCCATAATCATGGACACAGCTCATCTAGACTTTTTCACCTCAAGTAATCTAAGGCATAGAAGGTGCTAGGCACATGGCGACTGTGTTGCGCTGGATTAGGCTGTCCAGCAACTCGGCGATACTCTTAGGTGACACAACAGAACGAATTGACGTAATGATTTGGTCCCCTAATTATTTAGGTACATGATACTATCTTATGGAATAACAAGGAAGTAAAGGTTAAACAAAAAAAACTTAACAGTCTCCAGCTGGCTACACGTATATTATCATCATGGTATACATTTTCGAACTTTCTTCCTTGCTCTCTTCCTACTAATCTGCTGCTAGAGCGAAGAGAGTGCCTGTCTCCGGGCTTGATTTCGCAGTGACTTGCCGGGCATACCGCCCCATGTATGAATGGTCGCTGGGTCCGCGGTAATCGGCATCCAAAGGGATAACGAGTTCCTCGCAGACAAATTTTCTGGCAGCATCGATTGCGACGCGAGTGGGATGAGTTGCCGCCATTGCCATTGGTGTTTCGGAACATTGGCATCCATTGGCAAAATGTTGCAGATCCAGAACCCCTGCGTCGATCAACTCTTGCCAGAATTTGACATCTCTGTCACGCTGGACCCGCAGCTCCTCGTTGTCTGCATCAATCTTTGACGTAGCTGATAGTTTCGAGTTGATTCGTTGACTGTGGAGTAGCTGCTTGTCTCTGCTTTGTAGGACTGTTCCGATGATTAAGAGCCACCTGACATCGTTGCACTTGAAGTGTCCCCTGATTAGAGCAAGTACGGCGCCGACATGCCGGCCTTGAGCGGCTGCGATCATCGGCATCAGACCACGAAAGTGACTGAGACGGTGGTATGGGTTCAACCAGTGGTGAGTTTTTACGTCGTTCCTAAGGCCATAGGGGCCGACTCCTTTGGAAAGTAAGTTGCGGATACTTTCCTCATCTCCGCAACTAGCAGCGTGCTCAACGAGCGACCTGGCGGGACGACAGTCATCCGATGTCGACTGAACCGAAGGGTCGAACCCCCATTTCTTTTTCCAGCTATGACGGTAAAAGTCTCCTCTAATAGCGTGAGGCGTGCATGCGAGCACGTTGAACACCCCAGGATGGCCATGGTCGATAGCCTCCTCGAGGCACATATCTATGACCTGTTTCAACCTGTCATTCCTACTGTCAATCCTGCAGTAAGTGCTTCGGATCACCTTTTCCTGTCCCTGGGGCATTTGGTTATCCACAAGCAACTGAAGTAATTCTGGGCGTGGTACGCAGATAGCCTCTAGAAGAATTTTGCCCAGGGCCTTGGATGGTATTCTTCGGTCTGCGGCATCCAAAAGTGCGCTTAGGGTCTCCATGTCGTCAAAAGCCACGGCTAGCCTCCAGAAGTGAACATCGTAGAACCTGACGTCCTCCATCTTCTTTCCTTGGACCGTCTTCGTGATCTTTGCGCGCGAGGTGTTGATCTCATAATTAATCAGAAGCAAGGCAAGATTCGAACTGCGGCTTCTGATCGCAGCTTCCATGACTGATCCCATGAGTGAACAAACTCCGTGTTGCCCAGCCCGCGACGTGGTTGTTCCGATATATGACAGCGATTTGGGGCCTTTTTTCAGGATTTGTACTAGCACAATTCGTTCGGCTTCTTCTGATTGTAAATAGATTTTTGCCAGAAATACTAAATCTTCGAATGGCTCATCTGTGATGACGGAATCCAAAGGAAACAGCAGCCCCTGAAAATGGTTACCGAAGAGATGCCAAATTCCATAGCTTTCGACTGGATCTGGAAGGTGAATAGCGTTCTGGCAGAAATGGTGAACACGTCTGTATCGTTCTCCGTCGTCAAGATCCAAGCCATCATCCGACATTGTCCGATCTGTGATGGCGTTGATCACCGTGGCTAAGCTTGTGTTCCAGGGCAAGTGACGATATGACTGGACCATGAGGTACTTTGCCAAGAATGAACTTGCATTACTCTGATGCTGCGCACGACAACGGCGTGATATCATGTGCGAGTGGCCTCGCTGGGCGAGAATGCCGACTTCTGCATTGTGCTTCATCTTATGAAGAAGTCTGGTAGTGTGTATCGCTCTCATGACTTCGACCTCAAACAGCTCTGATGCTAAGTTAGCCCTACTGAGCAGACATTGAAGGCTTACAAGTCGTCAATTCGGTGTTTGAACTACGAGGGCACTCACTTGAGACAAATAAGAGACGGGCTGCATCCCTCAAATTAGAGTCGCTCTGCGCGTCGTACTCGACAATATATTCGAAAATAAGGTGAAGGCATTCCAAGGGCAAACCTGAGAGGCAAACTAAGTTCGTGGCATGGTCCAGACGGACTTGTTCTTCCTCTGTCTGAGCCATGAGGGAGGCCGCGACTGTCAAACAATCTGGTAACTCCGGTGTTTTGACGCGTGTAGTGGAAGAGAGTTCGAGTTTGCCTCGATAATATAAGACAGGAAAGTGATTATTTGAATGTGGCGCATGAAGAGAATACTTCCGAGAGACCGCGAGTGCAGATATCAAGCAAATCCAGTTTCGCATCCAGTTGGGAGGCTTATCAAGTATCGCATGAGTGGTAAAGCAGTTGCAAGCCGCAACCCCCTGTCAATCTAATACCAGACATGATTGGCTCAATCCAATCTCCAATAGGGTCTCCACTGAGGCCAATTTACTTTTGAGGCCATTCCCACCGGACACACTGCGCCGCAATCATTCTCATCGGTCAATCTTACCTGACAGTCCCGAATTCAAAATTGTAAAGGAATTCCAAGGAGACTGGATCGAACTTTGATGCACACTTCCAAATGCAATTTACCAAGTGACCTTCTCTATGTTGAGTTTGATGTTTCCCTAGTTCTTGTAACCTTTCCAACCATGCTTGAGCGTAACCCTAGAAACAAACCGTCTCACTGCAGCTGGAAACTTTTCTTGAGTGCCATACCCAATCGCTTCACCGCCTCCTCAATTTGATCCAGAGGTGCGGCAGCGAACGTGGTCCTGTAGAAAACTTCGTTCAATGGGATGTGCTTATTAGCGTTGAACCAACTGCCCCTAGCAATGAGCGCGCCTTGAGCCAGTGCTTCTTGCCATATCTCCTCTTCGATTTCACTCGGAGACTTCTTCGAGGCACCGGGGTGTTTTTGCCAGTCCACGCCGAGCCATTGCTAAAATTGTTAGTAAATGAACGTTCCAGCAGCCCACTATGTAGACAAAGAAAGAGTTACTCACAAACATGCCCGCTCGTGTAGGTTCCCATGTGACGATTTCTCGGGGTAAGTGCCGTTCGCAAGCTCGCACCATGAAGTCCCGACGCTCAGTATACTCTCTGCGAATGTGCAGCAACCACTCAAGGAATCCGGCGTGCCCCCAGAACTCATCCAAGAGCTTGAAGAATGCGAGTTGGCTGAATCCGCTGGGTCCCTGTGTCGATACATCTGCATGAGTTTTGTATCGCTCAACGACTGCCTGTGGAGCGGTGATCCAGCCAATTCGGGATCCAGGGCTGACGACCTTGCTGAAGGAATCCATGCGCATGACACGCCCGTCTATATCGAGTCCGAGGTATGTTGGAACGATTGTCTTGAGCAATTCTGCTGGCGATTGGGGGATCATAGAGGATCCTCCTAGATCTATGGATGGGCTGTAGGGGTCCATCTGAAGCCAGTAGTAGGGATCGTCTTCCAAGATAATCAAATCGTGCTTCTGTGCTACGCGGTAGATGTCCCTACGACGCTGGAGACTTTGGGTCGCGCCGGTAGGGTTGTGACCTGTTGGAACGAGATACAATAGGAATGGCTTCGTTGCGTTGTCGTGTTCCGCTGGGTTCCATGTATCCAAGACTTGGAGTAGGCTCTCTGGCAACAAGCCTTCTTCGTCCATGTCAACACCAAGGAACTTCACACCCATCGGTTTCGCAGTTTCGACTGCCGTCGAGTATGTGAACTTCTCTGACAGCACATAGTCTCCGGATTTTGCGAGCATGCGGAGAGCCATATCTAACGCTGAGGTATTGCCAATCGTCATGGTGCATCCCCAATCCGCATAAGGGGGGTTGTGAACCATCTCGGTGTGTTCAATGATCCATCGCAGGAGCTGCGGAGACCCACTACCTTGACCATAGTTCAGCGCTACAGAGATGTCGAACACGCTTCGACCTTCCGCAAGATCTGTTTTGCTTGATCGAAAGCGTGCATCGTCAACAGACGCGTTTGTCGTAGACTTAGACTTTGAGCTGCTCGGCACGAATGACGGCGTAAATGAGAGGGTCTCGAAGGGGAGGAACTCGCTGAGGGGAATGCCGCCGCCGAGAGAGATGACATCCGGGTTCTGTAAGTGCTTGAAAGCTGCCTTCAGCGAGGATCCTGTTCTCGTTGTCGATTCGCTGGTCAAATGGTCTGGTAAGTATGGCGAGGTTAGTTCTACCGTAAAAACACCTCGAAGGTACTATCCAAGATGTCGGACTAGGTGGGAATACTCACGACTCCAATCCTTTGCTAGTGGCTTATGCTTGTCTGTTTTGGTCTTGAAGTCTTCGGTGGTACATTGAGCTGCGACGCCCCATTTGCTGGCCGGGACCGTGCGCCGAGTCGGCTTCAACACGGAATCGGTGATAGCGTCTGGGATGGAGGCATTGTTGGAGCTGGTGTATTCACCCATGTTTGCATGTATTATATAAGGAAACTGAATCCGGGTAACGGTGATGTTCGATGCTGTGAGCTAGATTCTGTATACATCAAGACGGCTAAAGCAATTACTTATATAACGGCCTTCCGTACATTGGCTTTGTCAATCTGCATGGAAACCATTCCGATGGCGTTTGACTCATGTCATCGGAGAGAGGGGCAGATAGAGGTAGGAGTAAACCTAACTTCAATGGATTCACAGCCCAATTCTCAGCCAGGATTAGCATCAGTTGATGTCTCACTTGTGGATAGCTATAATGACATTTGCGCCTTTCCTCGCCGTCTATGAACTAATCCGCGCACTCCACTGCTCCTTATCGAAAATGTTCCTGTCAAGGGCGCCCTAGGAGTCCAATACGGTGGGGGGAACGAGACAGGAATGGGACTACGGCGTGATGTCGGAGTGATGTGGGGCTCGGAGTTCCCAACTCAAATGCCAACACGAGTGTTGTCGGAATCAAAAAGAGACCAGGTTCGCCGACAGACTTCACTCCGAGTATCGCACGCCAGAACCATTACACACTCAGCAACAAGCAACTTCTGTATGTCTGTTGATGCTCCGCACATGTCGGAATGAAAAGCGCGATGAACGTAAGACTTGCCGCCTGTGAGCCCTGTCGGCGTTCGAAGTTGGCATGTGGCCACGAAAGACCTGCCTGCACACGGTGCACTGGCCGTGGGCAGCGGAGCCACTGCGTTTACAGATCTCGGCCCTTTCGGAGAAGAGCAACAAAAGCGCAAGTCGGTGAATCTGAGTAAGGCTTCAGTGACCAATACAGTGTCCTGATAGCCGTGGCTGACCCGCACTTAGTCTATCCCTCAGAAGTCCCATATCAGTTGGGCCGACGGAGACTATCGCTACGATGGCCTCATCGGCACCTCAGTCTCCAGCTGATACCCTGACACTGATCGCCGGGACACCAATCTCCTCGACACAACCATATCGATATCCTAATCCCGGATTCCTCGGAGTCTCGAGCCACTCTACGATATTTAGCCATGTCTTCTCCGGTGACGGGTTTGGCGCTGCCTCCGATGTAGACTTGACTCAGCAGTCTAGCTTGGCGTCGCCAATTGATCTAGTTGGCAACCAGGTTGTCATGGACAAGGCGATGCATGCACTTTCGCATCTAGAGAAGATGGACATCTCCAAAGTCACGCCTCTTGTGCGTTCTTGGCTCGGAAGAGGTGTGAACTTGCCTTTGGCTGGCCCTGTTGTCATTGAGTGCTTATACTCTATGGACAATTGGAGGGAGGTGCTTACTCCGACGGGCAATCATTCTAGGGAGGACGATGGCTGCGGCTCCAGGATCACAAGTGCTGGCTATGTGGCAACTCTATTGACCAACACACTACGACCTATTGCCTTGAGTTCTAAACTAACCAAGCAGGAGTTCCTAGCTCAGATGGTTGGGTCAAACTTGAGGTGGGAGACCTTGGGTATCTTCTTCGTTGCTGCAGCCAGGGCAGCTTACGACACTGCCTACTTCCCGCCACTGTATACAACAAATGAACAACGGCGAAGACTTATGCAGGCACTGACTTACATCGGCGACTATTGCTTGGAAACAAGTCTATCCCTCGATTGTTTAAATGATCTGCAGTTGATCCTCCAGTATGAAAACTTCATTGTGCATTCTCATCTAGATGGAGATCAGAGTAAGTGGCTTACAGCCCCTCAATTATACTCTCGTAGAATGCTGCTAATATTGCCTGCAATAAGGTTACCATTCATGGAGACGTATTGGGGATCTTGCAAGTTCTCTCTTCGCGTTGGGTTACCATGAGAAGATCGAGAGGTGCAATCCCGATGTCCCACCTTTCGTCATCGAGCTGCGAAAGGCTTGCTTTTCTCGGATCTACACTGCCGATAAGGGATTAGCTGTATTTCTTGGACGACCTCCACGAATAGTGAAGGACTACTGTCATTTCCAAATACCAAAGGTACACGATGGATGGATTGAAGACGAGGCCGGCGACGTACAGATTACACAGTCAGAGCCCATCAACTACAACACCGATACGCGTTGCGTAGCCCGCTTCGCATTTCTCAAGGAAGAGGTGCTTCAACTTCTAAGGAGAAAGAATATGACAAATGTCACAAGAAACATCAGGTTTGCATTCTACCCTAGAGTCAGGTTATAGTTGAACAGGTGATACTGATCGTACTAGTGACTTTCGTCACAAGGTTGAAGCGCTATGGCAAGATTTGCCGGTCCATTTCAGGCTCAATTCGAGTCTGCGAGATTGTCAACAAAGCCCCTTCGAACGAGACTTCTTGGCCCATATCAGGCTAGATTATCTGCATAACTTGTTCCTTTTGGGACTCGTTTCACAGCAACCTATCTCCGAGCCAAACGACAAACTTCTGAAGGTTGCGATAGAAATGCTTTCGATCGTGGTTGAGGTCATTCTACTGCGCGACCAGCTGGTCAACTCTGGAACGTGTTTGATTTGGAAAGTTGCGCAATACGGACTCCCTGCTGCCGGGGTCATCTCGCTGGCGTTGTTGAAGGCTAATGCGGAGTCGGACGTATTTCTCCACTCAAGATCCAAGATGATACAAGACCTCAGTGTTTTGGTCGCCGAGACTAGAACCGGAGCTTGGATCCAGGCCGGCGAACCGAATTTTGCGTTATTTACCCAAGCAACTGGGACAATACAGACAATGCTTGACTCTTTGCTCGCTGCGAGGTCATCTGCGGAAGAAGCTCAGACAACACATGATGCTCCTCTTGAAGTGTGGGAACCTTATACCAATCACCAGCTTTGGGACTTTGAAATGGAGTTCTGGTCTAATCTCGCAGAGCACCCTACTCTGCTTGCTTGATGTCCCCAGTTAGGTTGGGAGATCAAGCCAAAGTTCTTACTTGACGTGGATAGATTGTACTACAAGATTCGATACGGTAATACAAATGTGATCAAATAGGAGCACATTTGAAGTTGAAACTTTGCCTATCAGTAGGTGTGCCTGCCTTCATGGCTTGATGCGCTCTCCAATTTCCTTGAGTATCTTCGCTCCTAAGGTACTCTGTACAGATACTAAAATACTTGTAATGAGTATCTCAATCCGCCCAAATTAGTTCATTGAGGGAGGGGTGTCAGCCCTACATAGTACTCATAACTATTTTGAGAATGCGAAGTCCTGCGATGCGCTATGTGTATGGGCAACCTCCCAGCATATGGATGCAGCGGGCGCGAATAGCGATTTCAGCCCTTGCTAATTAATTGATCGAATCATCCGAGTCATCCGTGAGCTTGAACAGCCCGGAACGATGGTCGGTCCCGACTTTTTAGACACGGAACTTGATGTCATAGGCGAGCTGCGTCAATGGGCTACTTTCTGTGAAGACAGGCTCTGAATGGATACAACCCATGTTCTTCAACATGGCTGCACGGGTTGAATCCACCTTTTCCCCCTCTTCCTACTAGTGTTTGAACGGCCTGTATCAAATGAGACCCATGTCGACCTTAATCTAGAGATGATTGGTGTTTAGGTGGAGAAAGATGGATGCATATGACCCTCGACAATCATTTGGGGGCCAGGCTGTCCATATTCCCGGATCCTTCATCAAGCCTTCAAGTGAAAGACTGTCCAGTCATCAATGTCGAGTGAAGGCAATGATCTCTAGAACCCAGAGGAACAGCACGATTTGGCCGGAGACTCTTAAGGGCAATGACGTCGTACGCTATCACTGCTTCTTGTCAGGATTCGGCGATTGCAACGTAGCATCTGTAGTAGTTGACATGGACCTTACAGGACCTGGTCAGAGTCGAAGGTTGAAAGAAATACCATGACCATCCAACGTCAAAAGAGCCGAAGATCGACAAGAAAAGTAATCAATGCAGATTCTTTAAGTTACCAGCCAAGACAGGAGCATTCCATTTTCGGTACTCTTCACGTCAACGTGGCAGAGACAACCGAATGTGACCACCAGTTCAATATTTTGTGACCTGTCGATGCATGTCGCTCCACACCATGTCCACTAGTGGAGTCTCATGATACGCAATAGTAGAAAGATTATCATTATCAATGAGGGGCTACCTGTTGCTCCGTGGGAATAAAATCTCGTGGTGTTTTGACATGAACCTCAACACTGTTTCCAACTCCATAGGTCAAGACGTTGTTAGTAACTACCAACATGGCCAATATCTTTTTGTGAGTGACCCCCATCCTAACTACAGGTAGTTTTCATAGTGATCAGTGTGGCTCAATTGGTATCTGCAGTGTCGGTAGTACTGGCCATATTGGCGGTGCTGTGTTGGACCAGCTTGTCCACAAGCATACGAACGCAAGAGTGAAAGTCTTGGTCCGAGACGAGGCCAAGGCCGCACGTCTAACCAAGGTCTACCCACAGATTGAGACTGTCATTGGTGGCGCTGGTGACTTTGAGATTCTGGAAAAGTGCAGTCAGGTAGCCGACATCGTCATCAACACGGCACCGGATATCACCCACGACGAGGGAATCAATGCAATTCTCACCGGCCTGAAAGCGCGTGGGGCATTCAGTGGCACCAAGCCTTACTACATTCACACTTCCGGAGCTTCTCTCATCTGGGACGAGCCCGCTGGCTCCAAGGACGCTCGACGATGGGACGATATCGCCGACATTGGGGACATTTGCGCTTTCAAGGGCGAAGCTCACACGCATGCGGTCACCGATCAGATCGTGCGTGATGCAGCTACACAAGTTAATGTGGCCATCGTATCGCCTGGGTTCGTTGGTGGCTTGAGTCCCTCCATTGAGCACCCGACCCCGATCACGACGCCCGCCCTCCTGCTTACTGCCCGTGCTTTCAAGTCGGGCTGGCAGATCGCCGAGGGAGAAAATTCCCACGCCTGGATTCACGTCTCGGATCTCGCAAAAATGTATTTGATACTCGTCGGAAAGGCTCTTGACGGCGCCTCTGAGTCTGAACCCTTCCCTATCTGGGGACCAGAGGCTTACTACTTTGGCACGGGCGAGGATATCTCGTTCGGAGAGTTCATGAAGAGTCTTTCCCCTGTTCTTAAGGATCAGGAGATCATTGAGAGCACTGAGATCAAGTCAGTCAGCGTGGCTGAGGCAGCGAGGGCCAGCATTGCCGGCAGCGACTACGACCCTGATGCTCCGCCGCCGCCGCCCGACACTTGGGCTATGCATATTGCCATCATGTACGGCATCAACATGCGTATTGAGGCGTCTAGAATGGCGAAGCTTGGGTGGAAAGCAGAGAAGGGATCTATCATGGAAAGCTTCCCGCAAATAGTGGCTGGGTTGCTTGCGCGGGAGTAGTCGATTAGAAGGAAACAATTCATGTCTTTACCGACAGTCACTTGTTAAACGCTGATGTTATTTTTATAACCGACCTAATTGAATTTGCACGGAGACGCGCGAAAATCTGCAATCAACACAAGCGAGTAAGACGAAAGTCCGTGTCTATGGAGTGACCTGGAGTTTGGGTCTCGAATATTCCCGGTCCTTCCATACGATGGCAGTAAACAGTTGTACGATACTTCGGACACCCATCGTGACCGAGATCTACACTAGCAATTTCTTCTCACAGGGTATACCGATAAGCAGGGTGTCGATGTCCAAGCAGGTGAACCTTGTTCCCTCGCAGTCGTTCGTCTCGATCTCCTCGCTCGCGCTTCGAATTTTCCCATCGACAATAGAGCATCTGTAGAGAGACCGTAACGCAGCAGAGGACTAAGGAACCTATGCAGACTGAGTGACCCAGAACATAATCCGGACTATGACATACGTCAGTTCGTTTTCATGCGGTGACGTCTCCGTTGCTAATGACTTACGCATCCTTCTGCAAATAGATGAATGTAGCTGGAAAAGCAGACGTATTTGCCAAGCCTATCAATAATCCAACCCCAGTGGCGCGGACGTAGTGAGGTGCCAAATTGTTGGATAGCCATCCCTGGTCTGGTCAGCAGTCTTCCCGGCTGTGTTAACTGAAGCTTGAAGCTTCTTGGTAACTTACCATGATCATCGCACTTCCAGGGAAAACTCCTGTCGCAATGAGGAACGTACCCCCATAGCGAACATTGCTTGATTTCGAGGCAAGAATCATAGTATATCCGCACAGAGCTACCATACTCCCAATAGCCATAATCGGACCTCGTGCCTTGATCTTGTCAGAAAGCGCAGACGTGGCGAGGACGACAAGAAAAGCGGCGATGTTGGGTGGGACGGTGAGAAGCTGGATCTGAGTGGTGTCGCGATATCCGAGGCCCTGGATGATCGACGGCAGAAATAGTGAGAAGCTCTGTTCTTTGGATAAGAGGAGTCAGTCAGTGCAATACGTCTGAAGACACAATAACTTTAGGGCAACACTCAAACGTACGTAAAGTGGGATGAGAAGAAATATCCATGCTAAAGTGCAGAAATATGTCTGCGGCGCGAGCACCGCCATCTTCACCCAGTGCCAGCTAAAGTGCTCATCGTTGACATCTTCGACATTCGTAGCCCCATGTGAGTCTTCTCTCAATCTCCTCATTGCCTGTGTACGTTCATCCGTTGTGAGGAAGTTCGCATCAGCTGGAGTGCTTGGCATGAAGAAGAAGCAGATCATGCCGAAGACTGTTGTAATTGCACCCTCAACTATCGAAAGTTAGACATCTGCTGATCCGTATGTAAGTGATGTTTCTGAACTACACGTACCAAAGAAAATCCAAGGCCACCTGTTGTAGCCGCCGCGCCGTATCGTTGCCAATCCCGTGGCTAGCAAACCTCCAAAAGCGCCGGATAAGGGGGCTGCACAATAGAACAAGCCGATGCGATACAGCATTTGATGTCGACGGTAGAACATGGCCAGATACACAACGATACCTCCAAGTAGACCGCCCTCAAAGAGTCCAAGAAGCAGTCGACAGACCACAAGGCCGGCGAAGGATTTCGTGAAACCCAGAAACGTGCTTACGATGCCCCAGCAGGTGATGAGAGTTGGTAGATAGACGCCGGCTCGGATCGTTTTCACGATCCAATTACTTGGAACATCAACTAGAATGTAAGGGATATAGAAAACCAACAGTGCAACGTTGAACTTCGTGCCGGTAACCATTTCGAGGTCTTCCAAGAGGCCGTCAATCTTGGCGTTCCCAATATTGCTCCTGTCGATGAATGCGAAAAGCCTAGATGGAACCAATTAGTTTCTTACACCAGCACATTGAGATCAAGTCCAATACGGTATCATACCAAATTCCGAAAAGCCAAGGGATAATGTGGAAATCGAACTTGCGGTCTAGGCGTTTACTCAAGGCAGGATCTAGATCATAGTGGATTTGGGATTGACGAATGTTCTCCACGTGGCTATCTTCGGGCTTGCCATCCTCGAATGCAACATGCTTCTCCGGGTCATGGACACCTGGCCCCTCGCCTTCTTTAGACTTCGAAAACATCATGCGCTTTCAGTGCAAAATTGAGATAAAGGTGAGGCTGCTAAGTATTGTCAGGTCAAAGACGGTGTTCAAGGTGCTGACAGGAGAGTTGATTTAGCTACTCAGACGAAGTTGATTAACGGATGACCCGATCGCAGAAGCAACGTTTCCAAAGTTCACTGGGATTTTTATGTCTCTAAAGACCGCAAGTTGTTTCTCATTCACACATTCGATGGCGACCAGAGACGCTAGATCACCCCCACAAAGCTCATCCGATGGACGGATACTTCGTCTCGTCATCACCCAATGGGGTTGATGTGCGGGGAAGACCAGGGCAAACATTCAAGTAGCCATCTCGAAAGGGTGAGAGACCGATGTGACTTCTGCGCGATGGAATTAAGAGGAACGCTATAGGTCCTGTAGCGTGCTCATCGGGTCGGGAAGCCTTGCCCGGCATTTCGCAGTGTTCTAGACGGCAATTCATCATCCGAGTCGGATGTCCGCAATGGGAAACCCGTCAAGATGGCACCGGAAGTAGGTATCAGATAGGCAAATTAAAGGGTCTCGGTATTCCAATGTGCCAAGAAATGGTTTTGGAGCTCAAGCTATGATGTTTGCAAGAAATGATAATCAGTAATACTTAGTAATAGTGTTTGGTCAAATTAAACATTGAGATATTATTACGTGCCCGTGTAGGTATGAAGGTAAAGTTAATGATACATGTATTTGGAGCAATTCTTCAGGCCAATCAGGACTTAACTCCGAGCTCTTTAAAAATGGCGTTGTTATGCTCGCCCAGCTCAGGCACTCTATCCATTCTTGACGCTGCCACCGAAGCAAAGCCAGGTGGGATGAGAGCAGGAATTCTGCCGCTTGGTGTCTCAACATCAGTCCACCTACCTCTAGCTCGCAGCTGTGGGTGTTCCCATACACCCTGCATGTCATTGACATTCGCGTTAGCAATAGATGCGGAATCCAGCTTTTGGAGGACCTCTTCAGCCGAGAGCTTTGCAAACTGTTTGGAGATGATTTCCTTCAATTCATCTCGGTTTTTTACGCGAAGCGTGTTGCTCACGAATCGCGGGTCTTTGGTCAACGTTTCATCGCCCAGAGCGATTTTGCAAAGGTTTGCCCATTCTCTCTCATTCTGCACACCGAGCATGACAGAGCCGCCGCCTCCTGTCTCGAAGGGCCCGTAGGGGTATATGGAAGCATGAGCCGCTCCAGACCGAGCGAGACTGGGAGCTCCATTGTAAGTATAGTAGAGCGGGAAGTTCATCCACTCGACCATGCTTTCGAGCATTGAGATATCTATCCGGGAGCCTTTGCCCGTTTTGCCGCGCTTGATTACTGCGGCGAGGATGTTGGAATAGGCATACATGCCGGCAGAGATGTCAGCAATCGAGATTCCTGCTTTCGCTGGGTCCGGACCGTTCCCCGTGACGGAGAGAAAGCCTGCTTCGCTTTGCACGAGGAGGTCGTACGCTTTCTTGTCTCTATAGGGCCCATCTGATCCGTATCCTGAGATATCACAGACGATCAGAGATGGATGGGTATCTTTCAGGGTGTGGTATCCGAGGCCTAGCCTTTCTGTGGCGCCAGGTGCCAAGTTCTGGACCAAGACGTCTGACTTGGCAAGAAGTCTCTTCAGTACCTCAAAGTCTTTGGGTTTCTTGAGGTCTAAGGCTAGACTCTCTTTTGAGCGATTTGCCCAGACAAAGTGCGAGGCCATTCCATTGACGCGAGTGTCGTAGGCCCTGGCGAAATCGCCAACTCCAGGCCGCTCGATTTTGATGACTCGAGCACCCATGTCCGCCAGCTGACGGGTGCAGAATGGCGCGGCGATAGCATGTTCAAGGCTGACGACGGTAATCCCCCCCAATGGCAGTGGGTCTCTCTTCGGTTTAGAAGTTGAGGAAGTTGCTATAGTACGATGCTGTAGTCTAATGCGTGGGAAGGACGTCGATGAAGCGACGTTATTGATATATCTTGAGCTAGTATGCCTTGGTGTTGTGAATATTGTAGATGAGGCAGTGCTGTTCGCGAATCTGGAGGCTACTACCGAGAAAGTAGCCCGGGTTGTCGACATGGTGGACGAGGGAGCACGGGAGGAATTTGAGATTCGGCGAGTAGAGGTTCTGATAGACTAGCGAGATTGCTGGTAATAGGATCTTGGCTTCAATCTCGAAGATTGAATCGTAATGTGTTATGCAGCTCAACGGCTTTTAGCACTTCCATACGTCGGCACAGGCACGTTCATCACTCACTTCATCCTGGCCTCGGCTTCAGATCTGAAGGACGTGCGAGTACGTGGTGGGGTAGTGTAAGCATAGCGCTTGTAAATGCAGCATCGGCTTCTCCGATTCAAGTCGGCTTTATGCATCCCCCAGCCCAAGCGCCGATCGCTCCCCTTAGTGTCGTCATTTGCTGGCTAACCTGGAAGACAGTAGCCGGGCGGGCTTCAGGTCTATTTGCCGGAGATAACCTGCCCTTGAGTTACCTTCATGTTTCGAGATCTGTGAAAAGGCCTTGACGAGAAGATACGAGAGGATATTGATGGCTTAAGCGCAGACCTAATGTACTCGTGTTGTCCACAGAGAGTTCAGCGCTCTCAATCTACACCCATCAACGTATCAACATCATGTCGGCCGCTTTGCTACGGAACCAATGGCGCATCGTGCGGCCAGCCACCAAGACCGTTGGGTGCCTTCGTCGGGCAACGATGACCTCGAAACAAGGATGGGCAGGATTTTCGACATCATCATTGTGGAGGATCATGGAAACAACCGGATTCACCGAAAATCAATTGACTGTTCGAGAAGCGGTCAGCCAAGTCTGCGCGGAGTTTCCCAACACCTACTGGCAAGAACACGATCAGAACGAGCAGGATCCGAAAGAGTTCCACGCTGCTCTCGCAAAGGATGGGTGGCTTGGTATCGCTCTGCCAGAGTCACTAGGCGGCTCCGGCTTGGGCATCTCCGAAGCGACGATGATGATGCAGACCATCACTGAATCAGGCGCCGGCATGGCTGGAGCGCAGTCTATTCACGCCAACGTCTACGCGACACAACCGCTGGCCAAGTTCGGAACTCAGGAGCAGCTAGAGAGCACCATTCCCAAGATCATCTCTGGGGAGTGGCGTACATGTTTTGGTGTCACAGAACCGAATTCTGGCCTCGATACTCTGCGCCTCGCGACGACAGCAAAGAAACAGACTGATGGATCGTATGTTGTCACTGGTCAGAAGATCTGGATTACATGCGCACAAGTAGCATCTAAGATGATTCTTCTCGCGCGAACGAAGGCGTACGAGGACTGCAAGAAACCAAGCGAGGGCCTATCGCTCTTCTGCATCGACATTGACAAGTCACAACCCGGCCTAGACATGCGCAAGATCAAGAAAATGGGCGGCCGAGCCGTCGACGCCAACGAAGTGTTCTTCGACAACTACCACATCCCTGCGAGCTCACTCATAGGCCAAGAGGGCCAGGGCTTCAAAATCATCCTTCACGGAATGAACGCCGAACGATGTCTTCTCGCCGGCGAGGCTCTGGGTCTGGGCTACGCAGCGCTAGCAAAGGCCTCAGAGTACGCGCGGGATCGCGTTGTATTCAAGAGACCAATCGGCCAGAACCAAGCCATTGCCCATCCATTGGCGGACGCATACATGAAGTTAGAAGCAGCGAAGCTGGCTACTTACCACGCCGCAAAGCTGTATGATGCCAGCAAGGAGGACTCGTCGATTCGTCAAGATCAGGTTGGAGTTGCGGCGAATAGTGCAAAGTACGTAGCCGCGGAAGCAGCATTTACGGCATGCGAACGTGCGGTGCTTACACACGGAGGCATGGGCTATGCGGCAGAGTACGATGTGGAGAGGTACCTGCGCGAAATCTTCGTGCCAAGAATCGCGCCTGTATCTCGCGAGATGATCCTCTCTTACATTAGCGAGAAGGTATTGCAACTCCCTCGCAGCTATTAGAGCAGAGTGCCGTAAATTGTAATCTTCACCCACGGCCCGAGGAGATCATGCACTGCTTGCATGGCGTCTCTCTGATCACAAGTTTGAGTTACCTAGTTCTACCAAGGAAGTCTTTTGCAAGTTTCGCGCTTGGTCTTGCGTAAGTAGTGCCCAAAGGCTATATAAACTACCACAATTACCGTTGCAATCTCCTTTCAGCGGTGAGACTACGCTTGTCGGTGGGCTTGATCAGCAAGTGAGGATGAGGCGATGAAAGTCTGCTCGGTGAAGCTCGGTGAAGAAGTCCACGGAACGAGAAGCCGAAACATCAAAGCGTGACTAATGAGGAGGACAGTGCTTTGTAACCGGCACTGTACCGAGAAGCTGGTTGCGCAAAGATATTATCCATGTTCATCCCGTTACAGGCCCAGAGCACCACCAATCCGCGCCTTGATTCCTGATGTTCGAATTACGCCCTGAAAGACTTCTCATGTTCAGCTAATTGTCCTTGCTGCGGCATGTTAAGTATCTGTGCCTACAATACCGATGGAGGGCCTGAAGAAACCACGCGCGAAGCACGCGTGTAGGGAGTGCAACTCGCGACGAATCCGCTGCAATGTCACCGAGCGCCACCCATGTTCGAATTGCGAGACAGCACAGGCGACTTGTGAAGTCATTCCGTCGCGAAGAGGCCGGTGAGTCTCCCGATTTTCCCCACACCCATGACTTCTAGTCGGCAAGTACTAATCTCGTCGGCTCAGGTATCTACGGAAATCCAAAAGGCAGAAGCAGACGGAAGAGGCCGCATCGGCGACCCCGGAGCCCGCTGCCCCCGTCGCGTCGTCCGCGCTCACCGCTGATGTCGCCGCGACGCTCGCTTCCATGAGTACCGTGTCTCCATCGCATGGACTCGGCGGCTCTTCTGGGGTATCACAGACTCCTTTTCACGCTGAGACGCCTGCTTCGTGTCATTCCTCCTCAGGGACTACGGGCGGCAGCCGGTTCTTCGGAGAGTCAAACTTCATCACGCTGGTTCCTGGAGCATCGGGACCCGGAAATGAGGCTGCGACAAGGGATGGGGTATTGAAGGGTCGTCTTACATTTCCAGTGCCACAGACGCCGCAATCTCATGACCTGGCTACTTCGCCTGCCAGTGTGAGTATTACTATGAGCTCTGCGACGGAGCGATACCTTCGGGATGAGGGAGCGCTCACCTTCCCTGACATGCAGAGCTGTCTACCAGCTTTGCATGCTTACTTCGCTTGGTTTCACCCTTGCTTTCCCATTCTTGACCGCGCAGATATCGCGAGGCGGCTCGTGACAATGGATATCTCGCCGCTCTTATTGCAAGCGATGCTTTTCATCGGTTCGACGTATTGCGACGAGGCAACAATTCTTGGCATGGGCTTCAAAGACCGGTCCGAGGCTAAGGTTCTGACATACTCTCGCGCGCGAGTTTTGTTTCATGCCAATTGGGAGAAAGATGAGTTCACTCTGATACAATCGCTGTTTCTATGCAGCTTCTGGAGAGGTGGGCCGACGGATTGGAGAGACGTGAGGTATTGGCTCGGCGCCGTTCTAACCCTCGCCCAAACACATGGTCTCCATCGCTCGTAAGTTATTATGAGTGCTATTGTTTTGTTCAAGAACTCAACTTAACATGTGTTCAGAACTCGATTCATCACGAAAGATCCCCATTTCGCTCGGATGAGAAGAAGAGTCTGGTGGTCAATCTACGTAAGTCTCAAATGATCATGCATCTGTGTTCAATATGTCCCGTGTACCTACTTGGCTTGCGGCTGACATGCAATAGGTCCGCGAACGTCAAGCAGCTGTGTCACTTGGGCTACCTTGTCGAATTCGCGATGAGGATTGTGACATAGAGCCACTGACTGCTGCTGATCTGGAGGATGACGCTGACGAACAGCAAGCAACTGGTTTCGGTGCACCGAAGTCAGAGCACATCCATTATGCTATCAAGATGATTGAAATTGCTCGCCTTCGTGAGTCTCATTTCTGAATGTCAAACCGTAGTTCTCTAGGCTAACCGATCTATAGTCGGGAGAATCATGGATACCCACTTTGCGCCTGGTCGAGGTCCTCCAGCACCGACAGAAGTTCATGAGTTGAAGCAGCAGCTGGAGGATTGGAAGCAAAATCTACCGGATGAGATGCGGAGAGGACCTGACGATGGGCAGTCTTCGGTCTTGACCTGCTTAATCCACCTTGCATACAAGTAAGTTGAGCGCAGTCTGTTGAGCGCTGTGCTGAACATAACTACCTCTTACGTGGCGCTGGCTAATATGAGTATATCTCAGTCATCTACGCATTCTTGTGCATCGAAACGGATGGCTGCGGAATAGAGACCAGGAAGACAAGAGCGCAGCTCTTGCCGCCGCCTGTCGCATAAGTCGCATTGCCGAAGACATGCTCGCGCAGAAGACCTTGCAATATGGCCAAATGCACCTGTGAGAACCCAATTGCTACGTATAATCCAATACGGTCACTGAATCTTCCAGACTTACTAGCCTGTTTGCGGCTTTCTGCATACATGCAATCGACATCAAGTCTGCGGACGGCATCAGTCGCCGACTTGCCGAACATAGAGCTGAGATGTGTCTTCTTGGCCTCAAAGAAATTCAGAAGTACTGGCGCATCAACAATAATGTGCTCGATCTCTTTCTGCAGTACCTTGACGAATCAATTGCCAAGAGACTCAACGGCGACAGCACCGAACCTGCACCGACGAACACACTACCCAGTTCTATCACGGGTCTTGGTCCGTTCAACAACCCAGAAGCCAGCCCACCGGTGACACTACTTCATGACGCTCTTCAGCAAGCTAGGCCTGAGGCAATGGAGGACCAATACTTCAGTCTTATGCGGACGAATTGGGAAGGCGAAGATGCTCTCGAAGATCTCGGGCTATTCCTGGATCCCCAACTTTACGCCAACGGGCCAATGCAGGTAGAAGGTCTGAATTTCCTCCAGCGTTGCCTGTGAAAGTGGCCGAGAACCCGGCTACCTCTCTGTGATTTTTTAGGTCTCTGGCGACGCGGAAAGTCTTCACTAGGCCGGCATGTGTCGCCGTGGAGGGGAGGGACAGTCTGATTCTCACTCAATCATCACTTCGGCTTCTTCTGCCGAGCACAGTAGCTGCTCGGCTTTGTTCAATGAATTCTCAAGAAGCCGAAAGCATATAGCCGAGCGGCTCGGTTACCCACAGACCTAAGATCGACGCTGCTCAGACCATTCCTCATGCGGCGAATTAGAGGGATTGGGGTTCTTCTGGTCAGCAATTGGGTCGGTCTTGATATCCCGAGGCTCCTCCAGTTCCCGGCTCGAACCAACACCTCGATCTAAGGGTCTCTGATGAAAGGCATGTGTTGATTGCACTTGACCGAACAAACAAGAACCCCCAAATAACCTGCGAGCCCTGAGTATTTCATACACGCCCATAATCCCTCGGGTCCCAATTTCCGTCCACGATGGCATCCCTGGTCCATCAAATACCGCCGGCCTTCCGTCACTGCACCGCTCGCTCACGGCGATCTATCACCACGAGTGCAACAGACGCAGCCTCCAAGCTCATGGACACATTTGCCGGTAAAGATGTTGTCCGCAAGCAATTCCTCGACTCTAATCAACTACAACGCCTGAGCTTGACCCTCAATCGAAAAGAGCTGCATCCCGGTGTTGACGTCTCTTCAGATGCACCGGCTCAAGGCACGCCCCTGCCTCCGGGCTACCATCTCGTTTACTTCACCCCGACGGGCGTCGAGAGTGAGCTCGGCATGGACGGCACAGATAAGACTTTCAACGCACCGGCGCCGTTTACGCGGCGGATGTGGGCTGGCGGGAAGATGCAGTTTTTGGAGGGGACTTCGCTGAAGGTTGGCGAGACTGTCGAAGAGAGGACGAGTCTTGTCGGAGCGACACCGAAAAAAAGTAGAAGTGGGGATGAAATGGTCTTGGTGGATGTCGAGAAGGAATTCTGGGGTCATGATGGATTAGTTGTCAAAGACCAAAGGTAAGTCATGAACGACCTCATAGCCAGTCTGTTGTGGAGGCAGCGAAGCTCAGAGGTGCGCAGATCGTGGATCTTCCGACCCGAAGTTGATGTGTCGCTGGCTGCGAGAACCGCACCAATACGAAGTCATAGACCACCTGCTTTTGGGCCATCTACCATCAACGATCAGCAGAGTGCAGAAGGTAACACAGTTCGTCACTTTCGATGGTCGCCCGTTGGCCTGTTCAGGTTTTCTGCTCTCACCTTCAACGGCCATATGATCCACTACAACGAGCCTTGGACGAAGGATATCGAGCGCCACCCCGAGGTTGTGGTCCATGGGCCTTTGAATCTAATCAACATGTTGGACTACTGGAGAGATGTCTACGGCAAGGGCGCCAAGGAGACGCGTCAGGTTACTTATCGAGCTATGTCTCCATTGTACGCCGGTGACAAGTACACTCTTCGAACAGCTGCTTGTGAAGCAGAAAGTGGAAACAAGTATCAGTTGCTTGTCGAGAAGGGTGATGTTGTATGCATGAAGGGGGAGATCATTGGCAGTTAATCATAGTATGGCAAGACAAACATAGCATTCAAGACTTGTCACTTTAGTTTTGAGCATACATGTCACATTCCATAACCAACATCGGTCTGATGTCGCTGCCCCTTAACCTCAAGGCCTTACCCCAGACCTCAAGACTCGCGTCATTAGGACGTATCCCGACACTAAGAATGATACAACCATTCAGAACAAAGATCTGAATACCCGTCTAAGTTGACCATCTTGGAATAAAATCAGTAAATGAACCTTGGGGGCTTATACACAAACTCACATGTAGTCACTTACTGGGACACTGGTTCCTCCGCTCTTGCTCACCCATGGGAAAGCTCGATCGATCATTCTGCTCTCGTACTGACTGCACGCTACACTGATATCTCGTGTTGATGGCCCGATGCCCGAATCAGCCTTCTGTTTGAGGGCGAGTAATTGAGGTAATGCGTCGGCGCAATCATGGAAGGCTTGGTTCCCTCCCATTCCCCTGGAATGACACTGTATGTCAGTACGTCGGGTCAACATATCTATATCGGATTGATCAACCAACCTATTAGGTTGCATTGCATGCATTGCATCCCCGATCAGCCAGACTCGAGGATGTCCCTCGTCACCGGTTGTTTGTTTGTCGTCTTTCCGCCATGTTTTCGAAAGTCTCTTGCTTGCTCGCATGCGTGCTACAGTAATATGGCCCATGTTCTTGTCGTCGAAACCTGTTGTCAACATTGTTCGGCTATCAAGGCGCAGCGCCAGTGATTGGTGATGTGGGAAGGTGCTTGCCGGCTCACTATTTAGGTGCCTAGTCTTTGGTCGCGCCAAGACAAAGCTTCATGGGATCCTCCACCTTGTTCCAGTCATCGGTCGGCATTCTGTCTTTGGGAATCATAAGACCCCAGTAGTAATACGCATCCTTCGTGCTATATCTAGCGCCATTCTCGGCCTTTTGGGTCGTCTCGTCCGCGGCGGGCAGAAATACTGAGTGTCTATACGTCAGCCTTCGTTGTACCTTTCTTCGCACAGTGGTACAACTCCAGACTCTACGTACACGCATAGAACATAGAAACACCGCCAGCAAAAGTAATTAGTGGACTTTTGGTCAGACGTGGAGGCAACTTCTCCGTCCAGTCTTCTGGCAAAGGGCCTTTGCTGAGGATCATGGCATGACTGTCAATTGGTACAATGTTCCGAGCTCCGACTTGCTTGTTGACCTGTAGACACTTTCATCAGCACTCCTTCCTTTGATGATTATCTCTGTTCTCTTAAATCTTACTCTTGATCCGCTGCCATCTGCGCCAATAAGAACATCACAAATATCCGTAGTGCCGTCGGCGAAGTGGACTCTCACACGTTCCTGCCCATTGTCGCTTTTGACAACTTCGTACCCTTCAAATGCCTTGCCGAATCGGATGATGCCCCTCTATTGCAAGGGAGCAACGAGAACATCTCGGAGCACAACACGATTAATGGCGGAAGACGCACTGTAGGACGGGAGTTGGCCCAAGTCAAGCACAGTCTGAAATCTCATGTTCAAGAAGGCCGGCGCCGTAAGGCCTGTCGAGGACATTTGACTGAAGTGAGACTTAATAGTCGCAATTTCAGCTGGCTTGAGACAGGCGTTGAAACCTGTCATGGCGCTCTCACCCAATCGAATTTGATATCCCTCTCTCTTGGTATCCTCTGCGTCTCGTTCGTATACGGTTTTGTCCACGCCGTGATTCATCAGGCCGTCTGCGAGTAGTGCCCCGGCGAGACCGCCTCCCGCGATGATGATCTTGAGGGACGTCGCCATGGTGAAAAGTAGTTGAGCATCAGCTCCCAAGACTACACTAGAGAAAGAAAGGTGGACGACCACGACGATGTTCTTTTCTTGGATCTCACTGGTCACATTCAATTATCTGGTGGGTAGGTTGCTGTGCGCCTTACGCGCAATTGTATTCAATCCCCTGCAAGTGCTCGGAGCACCGCGAAAGTTCGGCAAACAATACCGACAGTGCGGATGCGAGTCATTCTATAGAGAGGATCATAGAAATATCTGATGTCTTCAACTTCATACGATAGGTAGTGCTTCGCGAGAGCCCAACTACCGGGTACAATGTCAGGCCCCACACGGGCTCTTGAGGGGGTCCGGGGCCAGCCTCCGAGTGGCTCGGTGTTCGGTGCCCGCAGTTGTCCGTCGATACGCTGGTTGCGTTATGTTGCTTCCCACAAAGTAACATGAAACTCGAGTGCTTGGGGTTCGTCGTGAAATACCAGAAACCCACCATTTTGGATATCTTCGCCTAGTGCCAAAAAGTCATGTATTCAGGTCAAATTCCAGCAAATCAGGTCCACCGATCATTGCCTGGATGAATCAGAAAAGTGGCTTTGCGAGACCGAAATCGAGCTCTTCCACCGTTGACGAGGTCTGGGCGTGAACCATGGCAGTGGCGGCAGTGGTGTTTACTCGGTACGGTTTGATCGCGCTATCAGCCCGCCCATCGTGTTAGTGACATGAGCAACCGCCCCCCCCCCCCCTGTTCCTCGAGATGAAACTTACCCCTCGTCATGGAGAGCCCAGAACACCTTCTTGGGCTGAGAAAGCCAGCGGATCTGGTTCGTTGCGAACTGGGCAGCCGAGCCGTCGTATGGTCGACCGTTTAGATTGGCTCGGCCGGCGATGGTGAGGATCGCTACGTCCGGAGTGGGTTCAATGCTCTTAAGGATGCCCTCATAGCCGCCCAGATGTCCATTCCAGAACACAGTTTGTCCTGGCCCAATGAGGAAGTTGTAGGCAAGTTGACCTCCGTCGTAGTTGGAGAAAACGTTGTTCTCTCTGTCGCTGATGTAGTTTGCAAAGGACTTCATTCCGTTGTCCATGTGGTCGGGCGGCATGATTTCTTTCATGCGCATAAGACCATACTTCATACCCATTGTGATATCAAGCGTACAAGCATACGGTGTCGCTTCGCCCATGTACACTGTTCCGGTATCAATTTCCTCGGGGATGTCGTGATGTCCACTGCCCGGCATAAGAGCATGTAAAGAGGGCCAAACGTGGGCAGACATGACAGCGCGCGAATGGTGTGGCATAGGTGGCATTCCAGGCGGGCCACTAGCGATGGGTATCTTGCCAGCCGCCGCGGCTTTGCGGTCGTCCTTGGCGAACAACGGAATACGCTCTCCACCGGCGACGGGAAAGAGCTGTGACTCATTTACACCGGCTTTTCGGAGAAGATTTATTGCTTCTCCATTGGCGAAGACTATGGCACCTGTTTTCTTTGCAATCTTATCTGCACCAGGCAAACTAGGCACGAGAGATGTTAGCGTCAGCGAGCAAATCTATAATCCAGCAGGAGGCAAAGTAGCATACTGATCGAAATGAGCGAGAGATATAAAGATGTAATCTGCTTGACTAATGTCGTTAATGTCAAGATATTTCGGCAACACAGACGGTCTTTCTAGCCATGTATCCAGGAACAAGACGAGCCCATTAGCTCGCAACCTGAACGTAGTGGCCCCTAGTTTTTCATGAACAGGTCAGCTCACAACTTCTTCAATATGACATTCGCCAGGTTCCAGACGTACCAAATCATTCAATAGTTGCAGGAACCATTGCAATGACAGGGATAAAGGTGATTTTGCTTTCGAGAGCTGCAAAGGAAGATCTAGAACGAAAAGAAGAGGGTATTCGATGCGTGGGACAGAGCTCGGGAAATATGTAAGGGAATTGAAAGACAGGCAGTTTTGTACGTTGGGTGGAACTCTAGGATGGAGGTTAAATACGTCCGAGGTAGCGTAGGTAGTTCCCCAAAGGGGCCCAAAGGGGCAAGGGATAAGAGAGGGGAGTGTGGTGCTTAGCCGATCAGCGAAGGCATGATTGTGTGTGCACACACTCCAATCAGTATTATGTTATCATCCTGCTCACGAACCTTTCCGAACCATCAAGAATTCTTTTGAGCATGACTACGCAGTACTGCGAGCCCAAGCGTTCGGCACTGCTGGAGCTTTAGACAGTAATCGAGCCTGATCCCGCTGAGGTTCGAGATTGACGCCTATTGGACCTGAAAATCGCCTATGTTACCGCTTGTCGTCTGAACAATTGGGTTGGCAAGTGCGGCTTGAAGAGCAAAAGCTTTGTCAACGGATTCACACTAAGCATACCTTCCAATCAGTGACCCCCAGATACGACATGAACGCCGCAAACATAAGTCAGAAGCAAGAAAATCCAGGACGTTTGGACCATCCTTTAACCGTCGTAGCTTGTGCAGCGTTGACTTCAGTGGCCGGCTTCCGTGGAGTCGCGTGTACTTGTATCCTCCAGTCCCTCAGACATTTGCCGTAAATGCTTCCGAGAACCCCAACTCATCACCAGCGACTGTAATCACAACAACAAATAAATTAAGTGCAGGATTTCAGCTTTGAAATTCTTAGGGGTTTCTTCCCGGACCAAGACTCGTGCAGGACGGTGAGGACAAGCAACGAAAACTGCCCTTGGCATCTCGACTGCTATCATTACTCATCCATGGATTTTCCAAAACAAAGTTAAGCTCATGAATAGTAAAACGTCTGACACGAGCTTTTGGCATAGTACTACTTACTCAAGCCAAAGTCAATGCCATGCAGCTGTTTTGATCGCTTATGTGCTATTGGTCGATATTTCACGCCTGTGAATGCGCGAACCCATCGCGGGCAGCATCGTTGTCGAAACAAGGTACGCAGTCGCTCACCAATCCGCTGAAAATCATGAGGATAATTGGGAACATAGCTTGACAGGGGCTCTGAGATGTCATGCCAATTCATCTGTTTGGCATGTGCACACGGATATAGTGTGACATGATGGCCAGCACGACACCCCAGAGACTGGCAGCACATGCATGCTTGCTCCCGTTCAAAGCCAAAAGATTGGAGCCTAACGGACAGACTTCAAGTTGTCTGTGCTATTGATATGGGCAAATATGATTCATTTCATAGAAGACGAGACTGTCGTACAACTTGGGGAGTATGGAGATTCCAAGTCACACAACGTTCTCATGGTTACTAGATGCCAGAGTTTCATCGTCCGTCCAGATTCTTTCCGCTCAACAAGTCTTGTCGATAACGCTGTCAACTTGTCAGCTTGATTGAATATGTTGTTGTTGTTGTTGTATTTAACGCCGTGGCGGCCGGGCTAGAGCCCTTACCGCAGACCTCCCGAAGGGTATATGGCGTGGAGGGCCGTGAGCCAAGGCTACCTACTCTACAGTACGTCGTCTCTTTACATCGTCCTCCAAATCATGCCTTGTGGCCACTACGCGTTCTGTCTGTCCCCGGTTCCCGCTGGTGCCCCAGTTTCATTCTTTCCCAAATCGTCCCTTGGAATCGGGAGGTTCTTTGTAGTCCGCACTCACATCTACGTAGGTGTGGATGCTGCTACCGCAGACAGATCTTCTGGAAGAAGTCCGTCACGCGGAGAAAGGCCTCGAAGCCTCGTGGGTCGGTGATTAATCTCTTGAAGTAGGCCTCGAGAGATCCCATAGGGCCTATGGGCTCGGGCATACTGCGAGAGTGGAGGGTCGGCCACCGTTGCCTCCTCGCCAGCGTTAGTCGACAGTAGACCAGGTGGTCCACGTCTTTCGCCTCTCCACAAGAGCACATCATTAGAGCGTCGTCGTGGTTGAAACGTCGGTGATATTGCTCGAAGTCCCCGTGACCCGATCGTGCCGCCAGCAGGTGATGTAACGTAGCCCGCGGCAAGGCCAGTTCAGGAGGGCTGGACAGAGCTGCCTCAAGCCCCAAGTCCGCGTACCGCGGCCTTCGCTCTTTATACCACCATCTCCTGTGCTGGCTTTGTAATTTTTCCCTTGCAAGCCGCTTGATGCCCGCTAGTGTTGCCATTTGACCCATCCGCGCCGGCAGTGTCGTTCCTTCTTTGGCCAGCCGGTCCGCGGCCTCGTTTCCTTCGATGCCCTGGTGTCCCGGGGACCAGTGCGTCCGTATATCAAATATCCTGGCCGCTTCTTGGATTTCGAGGAACGCGTCTTGTGACGAGTCCGGCGCCTTGCCGCGGATGCCTTGTATAACGCTGGTGTTGTCGATACATATGTGGATTGGATGACCGCGATTGGTGAGCAGAGCCCTTCTGAGGCCGGTTCGCGCCCCTTCGACCTCGGCGTCGAACACTTCTGCTAGTCCGAGTCGGCCGCACCCTTGTGCTATGCGTTTGGAGTCTCGGTAGATGACGAAGCCGTACCCCACGGCTCCGTTCGTCGCCCTGGAGCCGTCCGAGAAGACGATCATATGGCTTTCCGGTACTGTCTTTAGCCAGCGCTCGAAAGCTTTCGCAGCCTCTTCTTTGCATTGAACTACTATCTGATCCTGTGAGCTTGGCAGGTACTGTGATTGAAGGAACGCTGGTCTTCCGCATCTTGGCAGAAGTTCAGCCGTCCGTTGTAGTCTCGTCTGTTGCTGTCCCTGCTGGGAGAGCCGCGCGACTAGCGGGTGTCGGCGATCAATCCTCTGTAGTCGGACTGCGGCCCGTAAGCGGACGCCCTCTAAGGCGACTTTGGCTGACGGTAAGCCGGCGTCTCGGAGGAGGCTACTGGTTGGCGTTGTCCTCCAGACAGGCAGAACGGCCCTTGCTGCCGCTGTAATGACGCTGTCGATCTTCTGCACGAGCCCCTTTTGGCCTGTGTTGACGGGTCTTCCTTGGAGAGGCGGATTCGTGTCTGTCTCCGCTTGGCGTCTCGAAGCCGGCTTCGTGATACCTGCGTACCATGTTTCGGCGCCGAAGAGCGCGATCGGCAGTACGCAGGAGACGACGGCTTTTCGCACGGCGGCCGCTGGGAGTCCCCTCTTTGTGTTCGTAAGCTGTCTCAGATGTTGAGCTGCCCTCTTTGCTGCAGCTACTTTTGCGTCGACATGGTGCCGGAAGGACAGTCTCTTGTCGAACCAGACACCCAGCCAGCGTACAGGTTTCGTCGAGGCCTTGACCACCAAATCCCCCGCCCGGACCTCTGGCAGCTCCGCTGGCTGGCCGTGCTTCCTAGTAAAGTGGATGACCTCGCACTTGCTCGGGTCAAAGGAGACCTTGTTCTCCAAGCCCCATCTGAGAATGCCGGCTGCGCTTCGGTTGAGTATTGCGACGTTGCTCTCCAGGGAGGGGCTGATGGCCAGAGTGGCGATGTCGTCCGCGTACCCGAATCGCGCGTTCGGGTCGTCTTCAAGTATCTCTGCGATGTAGAGCAGAAAGGCAATGGGAGATAGTGGTGACCCCTGAGGCAGCCCGCATGACAGCGGGAAGTACTCCGTTGTGCTTTCTTCCAGTCGGACTCTAGCGGTGCGGTTGCAGCAGAAGCTAAAGATCAGTCTGGTCAGGCCATGTGGCCATCCCTGCTGACGCAGTCTAATGACGAGCCGGTTCCGAAGGACGGAGTCGAACGCCCCTTTTACGTCCATAGTCAGAAGTGTCGCCGTGAGTCCTTTTAGGAGGGCCATCTCGATGTCGTGGGTGAGGCAGGTCGTCAGATCGACGGCTGACCTGCCTTGTAGAGCCCCGATCTGTTGCGGACTGATGATGCGCTCGACAATCGCCAGGGACGCCATCCTTCTGGCTATCAGTCGCTCTAGTCCCTTGCCCAGGCACGAGAGGAGCGCGATCGGCCGCCAGGACCCGGGCTTGGAGGCATCCCTGCCGGCCTTCTGGATCATGACCACCTCAGCTCTGCGGAAGGGCAGAGGAAAGTGGCCGGCCCGCATACAGGACTGGAATAGCTGCCTGACCGGTTCCGAGATGACATCCCAGCATGCCTGGAGGAGGCGTGTTGTGATGCCGTCCACACCAGGGGTCGTTGTCTTTGTTAAGGTGGCCGTCTTCACTTCTTCTCCGCTAACATTGTCCTGCCAAGTAATCGCTCGCCTCGGGACGACGGGTACGTCAAACGGGTCACCCGGTGCGTCATCTTCCGCACTAAACCTGTCGAGAAGGGCTCCCCGAAGCGCTTGAGCCTTTTCGTTAGTATCCTCGATCGTCTGGTTGTCCACAACCAATGGGGGTGCTCTGGTCAGTAGGCTCGCCTTCCGCCAACCCATGATCTGGTACAGGTCCCGGTCTGAAGCGACTCCATCGATCTTTCCGGCCCAGTATGCTCGCTTAGCCTTCCTCACCGTGCTCAGGAACGCCTTTCGTTTCTCCATTAGATAAAGGTGCGCATCTTGCTCCGTCTCCCAGGCTTGTTGGTTGCGGGCAGCACGGTATGCTCTGTGGGCCTCTGCGCATTCCTCCGTCCACCAAGCCGCGCCTTTACCATGTTTTCCTCTCTTCTTGCCGACCGCCTCAATGGCTCGGGAGAAGAGCTCGACGATGTGACTTGCCTGCCCGTCCAGGTCTTCCGGAGTAGGTTGATCCCCCAGATTGGGCATCGCAGCTAGCCCCCCTTCGATCAGGTCTCTCAGCCGAGGCAGCGCCGAGTCGGGCACTGACAGTGGCCGTGGCTGCGGGTGGCCCTCTCCCTGTGACACTGGGCGTTTGAGTAGTGGTATGACGGCCACGATGGCCTCGTGGTCAGCTCCCGGGTGTAGCTGTGGGCTGACCTGCGCGTGCGCAAAAGGGATATTAGAGAAAGCCAGGTCCAGGACATGTCCGCAATCCTGGGTTGCCACCCCAACTTCGCTGATAAGAGAGAGATTGTGGCCGTCTGCCCAGCCTGCGATGTCATCTCCCCGGTTCCCGTTCCTCGTCCCGGGCTCCCAAGAGTAGTGATGCGCGTTGAAGTCACCCGCGATCAAAGCTCGCTCCGGGGGTTTGAGTTCTAGCAGTATCCCTGTTGTGCGGCTGTGGGGGTCGCGGGGTTGTCTGTACACGTTGACGATAGTCGTCGTTTTGTCGACCACCAGCCACAGTACGTCTCTCGTGTGGACAGGCCTCTGCTGCTCCACCGTCATCCCTATCCCTTTGCGTGTGTAGGTCAATACTCTTGGTCTGGTTCCTTCGCTGTCCCAGAAGTCGACCGGGACGAAAGAGTCGAAACCCGGGTGCGTGTTCAGTTGCACGTTTCCGTCCTTCCAGCCCGTCCAGGGTTCCTGGACGAGGACCACATCTATCTGAGCCTCCCAGCAGAGCTGCAGGAAAGCCGTGTGCGCCGGGGAGATCTTTCCGACGTTGCCCTGCGCAACGCGTAGCATCCGTGGGGTCGCCGCTCTCGGCTTACGTCTCCGAGTCGAGTTCGAGGTGGGTGTAGGCATTCGCGACGTTGTAGTTTGGCTTCTGTGCTGCCCGTTGGCTCCTGCTTGGCATGGGTAGCACGGGACGGTCGATGGAGGTGTTGTCGGGGGAGTCTTCGCCTTCGCCTTCGTCCGCCTCGTCTTCATCCATGCTGCTGCTGTCAGTGCTTCCGTCACCGAGGCAAACGATCGAGCTTGCGGAGGGCGTTCTCGTGCGCGCGCGCTTGGCGCCGGGTTGCTGGTTCTGGCTGGTGGAGGTAGGGACGCCTGCCGCCTCCTGGCTACTGTCGGATCGAGTAGCCTTGTACAGAGTGTCCGATGCTTTCTGGCCGGCCTTCCGGATCCGAGCCCGCTCCTTTCGACCGGGAAGGGAGACGACGCCGTTTACGGCCGAGGGCCTCGCTGGGCAGTCTGTGTGGCTGGCTTGGAAGGGGCCGCAGCAGTTGGCACATTGGGGCCTGGCCATGCAGGGTCCCGTTTCGTGTGAATCGGAAGGTCTTCCGCAGTTGCTGCAGATCGGTCGTCGTCCGCAGAACCGGTTGGAGTGGTAGCCCTGGCAGCCGGGGTCGTGTCGGATGAGCGTCCTTCGTTTCTTGACGGGCAGAGATCTGCCGCTTTGGTTGAAGAGCCTGAAGGGCGTGACCTCTGATGTGAATGATATGAGCCAAGATATTTCGTTCGTGACTGGGTTGGGCCCAAGGCGGGACGGTCGAGCAAGGACAGGCTTCTGTCCTGTCTGTGCGAAGACCTCATCTTCAACGAGTGTGGCTGGGTCCAGGACGTCCCCGCCAATGCTGTGTAGTTTTGTTGGGCATCGCGGCACAACGTAAGTGTACCACTTGATAGGCGTCTCGACCTGGTGGGCGCCGAGGCATTCCGCCAGCTTTGCCTTACTTGCAAGTAGTCTTTCCTGTATTTGCTTGTTTCGCGGCTTCAGAGAGTAACCTGTGCTGATATGGTAGACGTGGGGAAGGTCCGCTAGCCCCAGGCCAACGGCCTTACAGACGATCTGTCGTACGGCGAACGGTGCGATCTTCCGAGCGGCCGCTAAGCTTTCTTCCGGGACGCGGGCAAAGATGCGGAGGTCCTCCTTCGGCTGCGCCTGCGGCTGATCCTCGGCGGGGAGTGTGGCCTTCGGGCGGGCAGAGCTCTGGCAGCTCTGGCCGCTCCGGGTCGCCGCAGTGGTGTTGCCCGCCATCGGTGCGACGACAGCCGCCCAACTCCGGGCCGCTATTGGGCTTGTCTCGTGATTGATCAGTCTCTTGAGGGTTTGAATGACATAGGCAGTGGCTTCTTTCGCGATCTGCTTTCTAGAACCGTCAAAGCTGGCGACAACGCTGTCGACGGACCGTGCAATGGTCAGAAAGACGTCTTTCCGTGCCTCGTACTGTCTAGCTTCTTCTGCAAGGGCTGTCAAGACGGACCCTGTGGCAGATCCGCTCGGAGCAGATGCGGTAGAGGCTGCGGGCCCCTCGGCCGAGGTAGGGGCGTCGGTGGTGGCATCAAGCTGGCTTCCCGTTAGGCTGGGCCGGGTCGGCTGTGCCTCGGCGTCGCGGCGTCGCTTAGCTCTTGAGGTGGGGTTCGGCTCCGGAGGTGTCCCGGAGCCTGGTTCGGGGTCGGCTTGGTCGGCCGACATCAGTCCGGTGCCCGACGGCGGCTGTGAGGCCATCGCGGATGCGGGCTCCGGCAAGGGGAGGTGAAGAGTTTTCGGCTGTTAGTAATTTGGTGGTAGGCTCACTCATTCACTAACAGCAGATGCCAAGAAAAATTAGGCGAGAGGGAAGTTGAGCTTGATTGAATAGCTCTCCAAATTATGCTTTGTTTTTGGAACTCGCCATTGTTGAGTCTGACACTTGCCAGTAACAGGATTAGGGAATTGTCCTGACTTCGGATCGCACGAGACAGTCTTGCCACCTGAGCATGTAGCGCCTAAGAAGTTCCCCCACTGAGCGAAAGTCGCAGAATAATCGCCACCCATCGCGTTCCAGCCACGCCAAATATCAAAAGCACCAGTAAATGTCTGAAGACCGCTGGCACAGGCACCTTGACCCCCGCTCACGGGCGAGTTTGGTTGCCAACTCGCGCAGTCTGGTCCCATGATTGCGACGAGCCCGAGGCTTGCCACGTTGTATGCCTCGTCTGCGTTCGGGGCGCAGACAGAGACCTGGCAGTGTATTTGGTTGCAACCTGAGGCTAGGACGACTTGGCTGTAGGTCAGGCAAAAGAGAAGGAGAGCGAACCTGGCAGCGGTCAGTCCAATTGTGACATAGAGTCAGATATTGTGAAGCTCACCGTCTCAGAGCCATCTCGAATATGACTGATGGCTTTTCCGCTGATACAACCTTTGAGGATGCACAAAAGCTCCAAATCCAAAAGATGGTCCAGAGCTGTTTGTTGAGAAGTGGCCGGAAACCGATTCTTTTGTCTTCCGAGTAGGACGATTGCAACTGCGAGCGACTGCAAAAGGAAATCGAGAATAGGAGACAACTCTGAGCTGAAAGCTGAGACTATTCCTTAATGACATATCAGATCTCAGAATGGCTAGGATGGCAACTGTCCGGACAATCGCAGTGGTAAAGGTCCCATAGACACGTTGCTTGAGTCGTGAAGGATGATGGGACAAGGGACCATTTGAGCCAGCGATGCCGACATTCCGTCCCATAATGAGAACAAAGGGCAGAAAATATGCTGCTTGCCTGTAATTTTTGCTACGTTGACCACTTACCGGCCCACGTGCTTGAAGATCCTGCCGCGATCATTTGCGGCAATGACTCAGTTCAGAAAACGTGCTCCGCGCCTGCTAGGAAAGGCGAACAACTCTGATATATTGAAAGCTTGTTTCGTCCCAAATCACAATTCGAAAGTCCATCACTGACCTTCAAGTGATCATAGTGTCGCCATGGAAATTTCGAAATCCTCCACCGCTTCGCCTGGCCCGTTTTTGTACCCACGCGACACCAATACCATTCATTGCACCTTACACGTGGGAGGAATTTCTGCCTATGCTTATTCAGGCGCCTTTGCAGGTTACGACTGAGAATGGGCCAGCCTTTCCCACAAAGTCACAAAGGGGTCGACCGACTCTTGTTGTCAGTGAGTCTATTACCATCCAGACTCGCTGGGAGCTTGGAATGAGTCCGTTGTTTTGTCTCTGCAACATCGCCACTTTCACTATCACATCAAACAACATAATGCGCAACTTAGCATTCCTTCTGTTGGCATCTAACGCTCATGCTTTTCCTACTAATCTTTGGCCCCGTACCGATAAATGGGAGCAAACTACTTGCTCTGATGCCAACATCACTGATGCAAAGGTTCTAGCTAATGTCCGATGGGCATCAGCTGACACGAATACATCATGGAAAGAAGCTGTTGCAGCATGGCAGGACTATAAACCGGGAACAACTTCAGCTCAGCTTAAATTCCCAGCCTTCATCAGCGACTTTTACGGCGGTCCGGAGGGATGGGATTGTCAAGATCCTGTCAATACACCATGCTCAACGACAGTACAGTGTGCTGATACCAAGCACCCAGCAGGGTAAGTACAGTTCAGTTCATTTCAATCCGAATCAGGAGTCTTTCTGACATGGTCTGACATTTTATTCTTCACAGATTCCTTCTCCTCAACTCCTTCTCCAAGTTACACGACGTATGAAGTACCCGAACACCCAGTCTTCAAGGTCGAGTCAGCTAACACGCGACAAGGTATACCAAAAATACCACGAGGCGCTCCAGGATGCTCAGTTGAGCATATCTGCTGTCATGGGAGACTTCACATCTACTTTCGCGCCCCAGCTAAAGGCGGATGATCAGTCGACTCTCATCAAAACCATAATGGATGTGATGGCATTTGGCATTGGCATTGCATCGGCTGGTCTGTGGAATATCGGTAAGCCTAGCTAGGCTTATGTTGTAAGCTCGGCCAATCTGAGCTAACTTTTGGGTAGTCATCAAGGATGCCGCAATATTTACTGGCAACAATTTCGGATTCGCCAAAGACACATTTAACAGCGCCATCTCCGCTTCATTTGCTCTAAGTAAGGACAACACGAAATCGTAGGTCTTTTTTTTTTTTTTGTGACTACTTGAAGTCATCCCTCTAACTGTTCCGGGCAGTGCCAAAGACTCTGCAAGTGTGCAAAACGATTTGACCTCCGCAATGGGCGCCTTATTCGACGTATGGAAGAAGACACAAGAAGACTACTTGTCCGAGATCTTTTCCGGGTCGAATAGTACCACCATAGGCATGCTCGAGTCTTTCATCAGAGACGGCATGATGAACATGCTGCCTGTCGATATTAATCTCTCCGGCATGGTAAATGTGGTCGAGACCATCATGTTCGGACAAATGATTCCCATTGCGTGGCAAGTAGCGCCTGCTGCCTACACGCCTTTTGTGCTGTGCGTTGATATATTCACCGAAGACTGGTTCCGCAGACATGGATCGGGAAAAGTGGCTAACAAATTTTGACCGGTAGGAAAACTGGTGATGCATGTTCGAGCACCATGCCCAACACACTTAACCCATACATGACGCAAGAAACACACGAGAAAGCTGGTGTATGCTGGAACGGCAACCAGTTCTACGTTCTGACCGTTGGTACCTACCGAGTAGACGTGCAAGCCGATACGCCTGGTCTGCCCGACTCTGACCCGCCCTTCCAACTGATGGCAGGTGCCACCCATGACGTTCTCGACGGTAAGAATTGGGGTGGCATAACCTTGGAAGATATTGTCATCAGCTCATACGGAGGCTATCTGAATAACGGAAACCGCAATGGCTACACCATATCCCTAGACGACAGCGCCGGAGAGGTGAATCAACTCATGTGGACGGGAGGGGTACAGACGCCCGGTTTCTTCTCGCTTCCTGTCTGCACGAGTTTGTGGAACACTCTGATGAACATTGCCGGAAGTAAGGCTGGAAAGGACAGCTACCCCTGTGGGGTAGTAGTTGAGAAGACATACCCAGCCACATGATGTTTCACACAGGCTTACCTCAGCTTTACTATAATTTTGTATTCTATGTATTGTTAGTATTCACCACACAAGTGTATGAACAATTTTAGCAACTTGTGCATAAGTCCTTTCTCAGTTGTTGAAGAACTGGAACCACATGGGCCTGTCTCTTCGCTTTCAGGTCATTGCCACTACATTAAAGACCTCTCAAAAAGCTAACAATCATGGCGTGCATGTACCAAACTTATTTGAGGGAAAAACAATTGGAGCTAAAGTATTATCGACTGCTAGATGCCGTCCATAAATGTGCATAATACATTTCTGTGGCAGATAAAATAAATGTATAATACTTTTCTAAGGGCCCAAGGGCAATAATGAATAACATAAGAACCCGACTAAATATCCATTTTATCCGTCTATGAATAATCTCGGAATAGAGCAAAGTTACAGGAAGACAGGAGACGGTTGTAGCGGCTTCATCCAACAGTGGGAGAAATATGTACATGCAATATATTACTTGGTCGGAAGATGTATAGCACCAAAAACTGACTGATGCTATTTCCGAGTCTAATCATTTTTTCTGTCTCGATTCGTTTGCTCGATGCCCATGCTTTAATTATAAGACGAGTTCGTTGAGATCAAGAAATCTCTTGAGACACCTTAATCCCACATCAAGAAGACAAAGACTAAGCAATGGGCTTTTTCCATGTTCGCTTACAAGTAGCCAGCCATACCACCGCAAACATCAACAGACTCGTAGTTGAGGCCAAAGTTGACGGTCTCAGGGATGATACGGTAGTAAAAGTTGGCAGTATGGTCAGTCTTGACGAAACCCATGAGGTCATGAAGGCTGCAGCAGCTGGCACGAGTGTTCCAGTAGGTGGCAAGACGCTGGGAAATCTCAATCTGGTGCGCGCGAGTGAGCTTGGATTGGAGACGAGTGGTGTAGGAGATCTTGAAGCCAGGGGCCGAGGCACGCTTCTCCATGCGTTTGGTGATGGGCTCCTGCTCCTCGTCAAAGGGAAGGTAGATGTGACCCTCGCCGTCGCCAAAGTCGTAGACGTCCAGGTTCAGAGTGGTGTTGAGGAAGTTGAGACCCTGAACGCTGGCAACGGATTGAGGGGTGCGGGCGTCGGAGTCGTAGCGAGCGAGGAGGTGGGGGGTAGCGTCGGTGATTGACGCGAAGGTAGAGCCATCGGCGGCGAGCTCCCGAGTGAGGAAGTCAACGAGGGACTCAGTGCTGCCATCGCGAGCGGAGATGGCACCAGATCTTTGCAGGATCAGGAAGATACTTGCAACACCGGCGGCGATGGCGCTGGCAAGAGTGTCGCATTCACGTCCGTTGATGCGTCTGCAAACATACAGGGCGGTGAGGCCGCCGGTTGTAGCATAAACGGCTACCTCACTGCTGGTGCCGATCTGCTCAATGACAGTCGAGAGAGTCGAGCACTCTGCACGGGCAGTGAGAGGCGAGACTGGGCTCATTCCCACCTCACGAACCTCAAGAGCTGTGACATCGGTGACCACAGGGTGGGCGATGGCGCTGCCCAGAAGAGTCGCGATAATCGGGAGGAGAAACATTTTGAGAACAGGTGTTGGTAAGATAAAGAAACGATTCTGAGAGTCCCGAATTGGCAGATGCGTGTCTGAGTTGGCAGATCGTAACTCGGACACTGGGCCATTGTTTTTATAACCTTCCCGAGCAATTCATAGCTATACCCAAATTCCTTCTGCATCGTGTCAGCTCACGAGGCACAAAGCCAATATCCAGATGATCCTTCTCGGGTCTCGAGGTGTGAGTCCCACACTTCCAGGCAGTCACAGAAGACATCCTACACGTCTACTAGTGGCGGTTAATACTGCAAGAGCCATTGAGTTTGTAGTCCCTCCAAGTCAGGAGAAGATCCATGTTTCCCCGCCGAAGAGTAGTCGCCTGCTGCCGTCTAGCCGCTGACTGTGTAGGGACCCGATTTAACGTTGGATCAGGCACACTTAACCATGCCAGGAAGATTGCCGATTTGCCGCACAAGGCCATGCTGACAGCTATTACAATGGGAATTCTCGTAGGAAGATCGCAAAGTTCTTTCAAGAACGGGAGCCGCTTTCGGCTCCCGAGGGTTCATACAACGATGAGGTGCCTCGCGGTTCCGCCAGAACTATGCATTCGCAGCAATTTTCAACGTAATTTCAAAGTACGTCTAACATGAGTCTCCCTAGGAACGCTTACGGCAGGAACTTAGTTACGTTGGTCGCGTTCGACTGTTTTGGTATGTTCCAGCCGACACTGGGTACCCAATGGGACCTTTATTCAAGCCAATGATTTGGTTTCGAGGTCCCATAGGCTCTATAGCGTGCTATTATGTTCCATCTCGGCAGCAATCTCGTCGAACAAGACCAAACCACCTCAGCCGTTCATTATACCCGGATCTTGCTTAACCGTTGATGACCTCGAGGCTCAACAGCCTTTTGCTCAACCTTTCTTGAGGGACTCGCCCAGTTCCAGACTTGAGTCCTGCAATGACCACAAAGATAGCACAAAGCAGGTAAATACTTGGGCAGCCCACAGAAACAACAACCGTTGTTTGTCAGCTAAATCTAGACCTTCGCGGTTACCGCGGATGAACAAAACTATCGACTCCACAAACCCAAGGAAGACCCATCCAACTGGTCATAGGTCAGCTTAGGTTGACACTATGAGGCGCGAGTATCGCGAGTGAACTGACAGATCTTCTTGAATCGTACGCCGTTCGTGCAGGAAACGTAGAGCAGGTAGAGCGTAGTGATTAGGCTGGTGAGAAAGAGCCCTGGCACAGTTTCAGTTACCACATGTAGAGTTCCATGCTATATGCATTACACGATCTCGAAAAAGTTTTGACTTACAATCGTCTGCATTGATTTGAATGACCCACTCCATATGGCGCCAAGACAGGAGTACGTTTATCATTTTGTGAGGTACCGTACAGATCTCCTGACCGAAGGAAGTTTGCAGCCTTATGGAAAGTTTTTACTTCAGCTTTTCGATCGATGTCTGCTGATCCTTCGGGCCAGTGCACCGTTGCGGCACATTGCATGAACCTGCCCCGCATGCCGATTAGCCGGGTCTGAGATCAGGCCCCGTTTCTCAATCTGACCGGAAGGATTTAAACCTGACGGGGACTTTCGACGCATTCCTTCTCAGTGGGCCAATACGAGGCGCCGCGATGATCTTGGCAGGGGATTTGACTTCAATCATAGAGTCTACTAGGTGCAAAGACTGCTGAGCCATTTCTCACTGTCAACATGATAAAATCAGATATCAACTACAAAGCTTCGAACCGTTTGACACGGGACAAAACAGTGTGTTCGTTCCCAAGCTGTGAGATACGTCAAATTTGAATTTTGTCCTATGAGCTAGCTCTCTGAACAGAAGTGGCTGATGTCTCGTTCGCGGATATCACGGACTTAGCGATAAGGTGTCGAATTGGATGGGATTATTCGGATCACGGCTCGTGCCTTTCCATAATATGCTTACATCGATCCACACCATATGCGGAGACTTTATTTGCGTTTAGCCTTGTAGGGCCCCGGCGATGGATTTTCGGAGGGACTTTGGTGTCGGAGCCCCGAGTGCTTGTTCGTAGATTTCCGTATCTGGAAGGCAGTCGTCATGAATTTGGTTGCCTGACATTGGCGTGGGTCTTAGACTCAACATCTTGTGTCAATTCTGTCCATAGAAATGAGGCGGATCAACATGCCTGTAGATGCTCTCTCTTCTTAACAAGTAGCCAGAACAGAGGACAACATAAATTGCCAGTGAGTGCTATAACATTGATGGTACTGCCATGCCCTATTTAGACTACGTAAGTGCATGAATGTCCTAAGCTTCACGTGCCTCGGCGAAGAATTTCAGGTCATTGATGAAGTTTGAAAACATGCGGCGAGGCCACCAAATCGCTTAAACATTGAACTCGTTCACATGGGCACAAAGTGCAAATCCTGATGGATGGCATATATGGTAGTTCCTTATGCATGTCAAGGATAATGTGTAACTAGAAGTCGAAGGCTGACATGTTAGCTTTTTATTTAAATAAGTAGTCCCTAGTGGATGTATGATCCGTACGATCAAATGTCACGTGTGGCTACGCAGCCTTCGGCTAGTGACAACGTCGGCAACCAGGTCAAATTCAGTGGAAGCAACCCAACTAAGCCGACTTTCTGAGGCCGGAATCCTTGATGAAGAACACGAAAACATCGCTTCCGATTTATGTATCTGTTACAGACTATAGCTCCCAGACGTCCGAACCATTGAGGCATGATGTTTATATGCACTAAGCATGCGTTGATCGAATCAAATACTACGAAATTGCTTACAATGGCTTATTGAATTTTTGGCAAATACTTGACAGTGAGAACTTTGCCCATCTGCATTCTGGGACTGTAGTATGTACTTTGATAGAATATCTTTCGCAGACTAAACTTTTCGTATAATCAAGTATGCTACGCTAATTAAAAAAAAAAAGAAAAAAACCGGACCCCCTGCTTACAAGTACGAAGCATCAACCCACCACTCCTTCTTGAATCCCTCGCCAAGAAGTTCGACATCCTGAACAGCCTTGGTAAGCGTGGAGCTGAAGTTGGCTCTAACACCCGCTGCGCCGGGACCCGTGTTCTGGAACTCCCGGTAGTAGACATCGGCCGTGCTCTGCGTCTTATCCCAGATAGACCAGCCAGCGGGCGCAACAACATCGCTCATCTCGCTGTTCTGGAACACCACACGGGAGAACGGTCTCCAAGGACGACCGAGGGTGACCGAGGCCGTTCCGCTGGTGCCGGTGATGTTGGCCTTGTTGAAGACGTAGAAGGAGGTGTTGTTGGCGGCGTCGCGACCATTGGCGGTGATGTAGCCCTTTCCGATGGTCTGGATGTCGCACTTCTCGAACCAGGCAGCGGCACGCAGGCCAAAGATGAAGTCGACGGCGCCGTTGATCAGGGTCTTAGCATAGATCTGTCTTCCCTCGTTGGCGTAGACGGTGTCTTGATATCCAGTGATCTTGCAGGCGTAGAAGCCGAGGTTGGTCTTCTGCGCACTGACTGCCAGGGCCATGCCGTTCTTGTCGGCCTGGCCAAAGGTGTTTGCGATATTAAGGTTGTAGATCTTGATGTTGTCTCCCCAGAGGCGGAGGGTGGCGGTTTGGTCGTTGCTGGTGAGGTTGGCCATGGTGCGGGAGAGGTTGTTGGTGAGTGTGGCCTGGTTGTCTGCGTAGTCGCGCGCGTCGCAGGTGTATCCCTGGATGACGAGGTTGCCGAGGTAGTTGGGGATGCGGACCTGCTCAGTGTAGGTGCCGGGCATGATGAAGATGCTCTGCTCGTCGGTAACGTTCTTCAGGGCGGCGACGGCGCCGTTGAGCGTGGGGTAGCTGTTGGGTTGCTTGCCGGAAGCATCGACGACCAGCGACTTGGAAGAAGGGCGAGTTCTAGCGAACTTGCCATCGCAGTTCTTGCCGCCGAGACCGACGTCGAGGGAAACTTCAGCCGGAGCTGCGGCGACCGCTACGGCGAATGTAAGAAGTTGGAGAAACGCAACCATGATGAAAGAGTGTATAGAAGAAGGTAAAGACAGAATACGGTGGAATATGGCACTACAACGCTAAGGACATGGGGAAAGTCGCCGTGTATTTATTCACCATGTGTTTCTGGGAAACCCGGCACCAAAGCTCTGGGTCAGCTACCTCTTCCCTGGTTCGATAGTCCTTTCAAAGACCTCGTCCTTGGGGTCTAGTCGATTGCGTTCATCTGAAGGCCTTCGATAGGGTCACATTCAATTACAGCGGCGGGACCACGGCACTTGGTGCAGGGAAGGGCTTGCATGCGGAGTGCAGGACGGAGACTTCAGATCGAACATTCCTCCAATAGCGTCTCCCGTGTCTCTGGATACTGCCAAGCACCCTTATTTAGTTTCCTCTCCTCCCGGGGCTCGCTGCGGCTCTTGGCGAACTAAAGGTGAGGGGATCACGAGTCAAGCCTCAAGGAGGTGGCCAAGCTCCAAAGTTATTTCTTTATTGGTGGACGTCCACGGGGTGAACACTCTAGCGTTGCGCCACCAATTCTTGTTTTTTTTTTTTTTTTTTTTTTTTTTTTTTTGAGGTTTACTGCTCCGAGGCTCGCTTCGACTCTTTGATGGTGACCCGCGACGTCTATACGTCAGTTTTGTTTTCTTCCCCTCGTGCTGTTTGCCTTGGACTCATTGAAGCTAAGCCCAAACTGCACTGTTGTGCAGCTCGGTTCAATGCTCGCAAACAGAAACGTGTCAGTAAGGTTTTTGCCATTTAAACGCCGGGCAGGTTTTCTCCAGGCTCGGTTTGTCCCGCGGAAGGCGTGCGGTGCGGCCGCCCACCGCGAAGATTCTCGCAATTGCGCAGTCGAACCAGTTTGCAAAGTCTATTTGATTATCACTGCCAAGGAATGGCAATGTTTTCTAATCCTTTCAAGGATAGCATCACTATCACCGTTCAAAAATGCCTTGGCGGACAGACCGGCAGCCGGTGGATACTATCTGAAACTCACCTCAATTTGCACAAACAGATCGACATGGAGTTGACTCGATTATAGTGCCCACGGCCTTTGAGTTTGCGTAGTGGTTTACCGGACAAGCCCCTGAGAATAAACAACCTGGGCTGGGTTCTTAACCGCCTGTTGAGTGAAGATTGATTACCTGAACAGCGAAGACAAAGAAATGCCAATTTCCAACGGCAAACTTTATGAGAGGCGGTAAATTGAGAGCATCTGAAAGCGCTTGGCTCTCCCACCATATCCATTCACCGTACGCGGGCTTTGTACTTTTCGTCTTGAGGCTCTGGTCTGGCCAACGGTTCTAGCGTGCAGCATGCAATAAAATCTCCTTTCGGTAATCCCTTCCCCAGGCCCAACGCACCGGGGGTTATCGACAATTCCTGTCCGGGGCCGCTGTAGCCCTATCTCCCCGTTCCCAGGCCAGGCCACGTCACACTCGGTGTTCTAAGTGCCGTGACTGACCATTAGACGGAACTACGGCCTCGCAGGCGATCCGGACAACGGCTCAAACTCGTTGGTGCCGGCCCGTTGAACACTCGGCAACGGGAACACCACGCTTATTGGAGATACCATTCTCCCTGGCCGCCTTCTCCTTGCCATTCTCCGCCGCGATCTTGACCTATTCACATCCCACGATACTCGGGAGCCGAGCTCACTCTCCGCGAAGCCGACATCGCTCAGGTTATCCAACTCCTCCAGCTCACGCTCCACCCCCGGCGGCGGCTCCACCTTGAAAACGGCCTGAATGTCTCCGTGCGGATTGAACCCACTGAAGCTCCAGTTGAGCAGAGACTGCGACCGTGCACGACGGGGGTGAGCGAGCCGGCGACGCTCCAGAGCACTGATTATGAGGAGCGCTGGCGCGTTCAACGTGCGTATGACGGAGATGTTGAGATCATGGAATGATCGCGGGCTGAGAACAGATTTGAGCGGGAGGAGGATTGCGATGGCCATCAGATTGAACGGCGGAGGGTAGGCGAATATTGAGTCGCTCTTGACTCCGGCGAAGGTAAGTACGGCCCGTCGAAATTGGATCTCCGCAGGCGCGTCGGCGATGAGCTTCGAAAACGTATTGCTCAAAAGCGCAACCAGGATCGTGAGGAAGAGGATATTGCCAAGGAATGCAAATGCAATCATTAGAGCTGGCCCCAGAATGGGGTGGAACTCATCAGAGCGGTCAATTCCTGTGCCATCCAAGCCGAACCACGTCCAGATGAGCCACTTGCAGGTGTCGTACCAGTTCAAAGCAGGCTGACCGTTCGCATTGGTGGCTGTTTCGTTACTTCCTATCAGCCATTGCAGGGATAGGAAGAAGCCCATGAAGCACCATATCGAGATGAAGGTTAGCCGGGTGAAATCCTTCATCATGGCGTGCATGGCGATGAAGACAATGTTGTCTGGCATGATTGTAAAGGCCACGCGTGTAAGTAATACAGGAGCTGCCAGGCATAGAATGTGCACTCCGTAGCCGTCAGCAATGACGCCGCCGTACGCCAAGACATCATATACCCGAGCGAAGATGTAGCAGCTGAATATGAAGCTGAACGTGATATCGAGAAAAGACCACAGAGTCTGAGAGTGAACTGCCCACCCGTGCTCAATGATTGCCGCAAATTCGTTGAGAGTCCACCCGGCGGTATAAACAGCGAACAGACATTCCCATCCACTGACCGTAGGGTTACTCCGGTATACCATCGTCAAAAGATAAAGAGCAACGACAGTGACGAATTGGAACAACTCAGTCACTTGTCTAATCCACGGTACAATGAGACGTCTATCGTCTAGTAACGGTGCCCTGTGCGGCTCATAGAGCGAAACCGAGGCATACTCGTAGTGGTCAGGGAGAATATCGACGAACGACAGGGGGGTATAAGTGACGACCCCTTGCCAAACCGCATCAACGAGCCTTTGGCAGGCTGAAGAGCTCAGAAAGAGTTTGCTCTCGGAAATGATGGCCAGCTCCAAAGTCGTGAGCTTTCTTTCATGGCCATCGCGACGCTGGATAGGCCACTGGGCTTGCCGGCATCCGCTCTCGACTTCCTCAGGAGCGCCTTGGAATGGGTCAAACCCTTCGACAAGAATATGCGCTAGGATGAGAAGGCCTATTTGACCTGGGTGGTCTTCGTGATACCGACGCAATACTCGGCTTGCGACAAGTTCGCAGAGCGTCGCGCGCGCAACATTGACAGTATGATGCGCGGTGCTGATGTGTTGTCTGAGAAACTGAATCCGATTGGCGAGGAGGCAGTACACTTTTCTCGGATCAGCTTTGCCGTCTTGGCCAGATCAGGGTTCGTGGGCAATGGACATACCGATAGTTGGATCGTCAGGATCGTATAAGCGATCGACTAGAGGTCGAACAACCAATGAGTTCATCCTAGGCTCGCGGAGCTGATCTAGGGTGTAGGGGTCATCTAGAATTGATTTTAGTAAAGGTCGGCAATTGAAACAACGACGATTATACCGATGCTTGCAAGTACAAGTCGCCTGATTCTGTGATTTTTTCTCCATCAGCTACGGCTATTCCGATATGAGGGCAGCAAACCCCGGCAAACTTACCGATGTATCGTAAAATACACGGATGGCGGCACCTCAGTGCTCACGCTCACGCTGGCGGTAGCGCTGACAGAGACATGCTGCTCTGCCTCTAAATCGGGCACGTCGTTGGCGTCCGCGGCACGGGTTATCGAGTCTGCATCACCCCATGGTGATAGCGGTCGAGTCCAGTCAATCAAATCCGGTGTTCGGGGGGCCTCTCCTTCTTCCATCTGACGTTGGGGAGTTGTGATGACGAAGGACCGCCTCGTTTGCAGTTCTGCGTTGTTACACTAACGCCGTCCCGGACACCCTCTTCGTTATGTTTCCCGTTTGCCCAGCCACCCACAATCCAAGCCTGTGCAACTCCCCGTGTTGGTCTCAAGCTGTCAGGTCAAAGGTCAGTAGTCTGCATGTTGTCGACTTGTTCAAGATAATTAAAAGGTGAAAATGTCGCATGCACCTATGCGCTCGGGTTGCCTCCCAGTGAGGGGTTTATCTACACATGTCCCCTGACTCGATCTGTCCTAACACTAACGCGATCCGATCAGCAGCTTGCACTGCCACGCTCGTGCCGCCTGACGTAAATGGGATAAGCACCGCGGCATTTCCAGTTGACCGACAACTCTAAGTTTCTTCACCGAGGTGAGGCGCTTTTAAGCTCAGATCACCCTGATGAGATGAGATCGGATGTCTCACCACGTGCTCACTTACAACAACTTACCAACCTTGTCAGCAATGAGTAGATGTAGGTGTTCAACGTCTATATGCACCTTCATAGATGGACTGCCGATACGCGATCATGATACTCATCTGAGTTCCTCGTTCTCTCGAAGGGCCAACGAGCTAACATGTTCTTATGTTACAGGAACAAAAAAGGTGGTTCGCGATACCGTTTGGTCAAAGAGCAAAAGGGAATTGAAAGGGACGAGACTCGAACTCGCGCGGGTTGCCCCACCAGGAAACAGATGTTAAGCTGACCTTAACCTGGCGCCATAACCAACTCGGCCACCCTTCCATGATCTCGTGGTTCAAGAACCTGTGATTGCTGAGTTCAGGGGAAGACATTTGTGAATATGGAGCGTGAGGTGTCAGGGCAAACCCTCAGATGCGCTGATTTGACGATGGTTGTGGAAGCGGAGATGATTTGCTATAGCCCTATTCCTAGTCCGAGAAGATGTGGGTACCGAATGCCAGTAGAAGTCAGACCCAAAGGTTCCCACAACAGTATTAGTTGTGGCTCAGTCGAGGCAGACTTGATACAGCTCAATACTTTTGATGAGATTTGGCTAGGGCTACAGCCAGAAAATCATGTTGGCATTACCAAGGAGTACGTTCAAGTTGTAGATAAGAAGGGTGACATGAAAGCAGTGACCGCGATGGGTGCAAGATAATAAATGTGAAAATTTATATCATTTCCCAATTCCTCATCAAGGCCATGAGAGTAAGTTCTAATTGTACATTCCCGCTCGAGGCTCAAACCATCTTATGGTTTGTAGTTGGCATGTTTCCAGTAAGTAGGTGGCGGCATGTGTCATTTGCCAATACATCTACCAGCATCTAACTCAGGTCATCCTCAGGCAATTTAGACATCCACGAGGACTAAACCCCTTGAATTCGTTAATACCGAACGTCCAATCTCTGGATTCACCGAACAGCACCTACTACCGACCATCTTGCTTATTTTAACAGGACGCATACAACGTTGGCGTACTTCCTCAAGTCTTCAACAAACCGATGGGAACAATGAATTGAAAGGCTACACATTTCGACTGCACACTTATATACAAATCTTTATTTCAGCAAAATATCTTGAGTTAGTAGTTTTCTATTGCATTCATCTCAGAGCTCACTGAAAGATATTGAGAGTGACTAGGAAGCCAGAAATAATTGAGCAGGCTTTGTTTAGCTTAGCCCCAGACACTCGTAGCCCATTTCCTGGGCGTAGGGATTTGCCTCGAACTTCGCATGATTGAATAGGCACTTGAGCACAGGTATTGAATGGCATATCACAATCCATCGCCGTTAGTTTGTTGGAAGCCACCGCATCATAAGCCTCTGAGTTCCCGCTATTCAAGCGACACGATGGGTCTCGAAATAGTGTGACTAATGCTGTGAGATGCGATAAGGGATTGATCGGCATGTAGACGATTAACGTAGTATTGATCCTTTGGGCAGCAGTAGGGCGTACCGGGTGGGGATGCCGGAATTGTTGGTTACAACCAGGCCGGGCAAATCTGATAAGAGAGACGTGATGCACGCCCAAGATAAGATATGGCTAACATGCACCTTTCCCCGATGCTTACTCCAATCAGAAGGATGCCTCCATCGAGCTGCAGGGTGCATAATCACCCCCATTCTCGGCGCAAGAGTGGGTGAAGATGCGTGCCTTATATCAAGCCGTCCACAACGCAAGTTCAAAGTTGTCCTCGTTAGACATATTGTGCATATTGGCAAGACTCCGCAGGGGCACCCTCGCACTGGAGAAATACCTGAGATTAAGGTCACGCTTCAATATCAGCGACAATGACCACCGACAGCAAGACGTTAGCCAAGTCTGAAGAGGACCTCAAGCGCGGATCATCTGATGATGTCGAATCCTCTTCACTGCATGCACCCCAACATGGCGGCAGTGTTGTTGTTGACCTGGAAGGAGAACGATCGTATGGTAAGCTCTAGTCAAACGCATATCACATTTGAGTCGATACTTACACAGTTCCGCTTCCAGTGAGGAAGCTTGACTTCTATCTGTTGCCATATCTCTCTCTTATGTACTTCTTCAATGCCGTCGACCGTTCCAACTTGGGCAACGCCAAAACCGACGGGATCGAGAAAGACCTCAACTTCAAAGGAAATGAGTACAGCCTACTTATTCTTCTCTTCTACATCCCTTTCGGAACATTAGACCTTCCCCTCAATCTCCTCACAAAGAGATTCTCGGCAAGATGGGTCTTGCCTACGTTGATGGTGGTCTGGGGCGGCATTGCAACCGTTCAAATCGCATCGAAAAACTTCGCCGGAATTCTGGTGCTCCGACTGATCCTTGGCGCATGCGAAGCTGGTTTCTTCGCCGGCGTAGTATTTTACTTTACTTTATTCTACAAACGATCTGAGCTGGGCTTCCGTGTTGCCATCTTCTTCGGCAGTGCTCTCCTTGCGGCAGCCTTCAGTGGCCTCATCTCCTACGGTGTCTTCCAAATCGAAGGCACGAGGCTTCAAGGCTGGCAATGGCTCATGCTCATTGAAGGTGTCTTGACCGTGCTTGTCGGAGTCATAGCTTTTTGGTGGCTACCAGCTTCCCCGGCAACCGCCTGGTTTCTTAACGACAGAGAAAAGGACGCAGCCTTAGCCAGGACCCTTCGCGATGGTTCAAATAAAGTGGACTCTGAGTTTGACTGGAAAGAGTGTTTTACGCTATGGAAGGATTGGAAGTTCGTTTTCTGGCTTTCCATCGCGTTCAACTATCCCGTCGCCTTCGCCACCACGTCCAACTTCTTGCCGCAGATCGTACAGCGTCTCGGCTACAGTGTCGTCAAAACAAATCTCTGGACTGTAGCCCCCAACGCCGTTGGCTTCGTGATACTCCTGGCGACGGCATACTCATCCGACTACTTCCACGAGCGGACTTTTCATATCGTTGGCGCCTTAGCAACCTCCCTGGTCGGCATGATTATTCTCATCACGATCGATGTTCTTGAAAACCGGGAATTAGCCTACTTTGCCTGCTTCCTCATGGCTGCAGGAGCATACACACCTTCATGCCTGGTTCAATCATGGCACAATAACAACAATCTGAACGAGAATAGTCGCGCTGCCACGACGGGCTTGCTCGTGGGCCTGGGCAACTTTGCTGGTATCTTATCAGCTGCAACATTCCGGACCGAATATGCGCCCAAGTACATCCCTACTCTCATCGTTACTTGCTGCTGCAATGTGCTGGCAATGGCCTCGGCGTTGATACTCGGCGGGTGGATGAAGTTGGAGAATCGTCGAAGGAACCAGGCCCAAGGAGTTAATCTTCAAGCCCAAGATGTGGACACTTCAGAATTGCACGATGGTGAAAAATCGCCCAGGTTTCGATTTTTCACATAGAATAGTTGAGCCCTACTTTGACCTTGAATAGCAATACAAAGTCAATCTCAAATCATTGATAGTGCAAGAACATCGCCTCCGCACACGCGGCACACTTAAAGGCCAACAGACCCGTTGCAGTTCGTATGGCTGCTTGAATCTTATCCACAAGACCTGCCAATCTCCGAACCTTCCGCAAGCCAGCTAAGGTAAATTGACTGAAGTACTTATGTGATACGGTATTTTAATTACATGAAGCTACCCAGACGTTCAACAACACCATGGGCATAGGGTCTAACCATTTTGCCATTGCTGGTCACAAGATTGTCATCGTTCCCACTGGATGTAAGGAAGATCTGATTTACTACCCCGACGGGTTTTGGCTAACGTTCGGAATTTCGCGAGTGGGGGGATCCTCGTTAACTGGCAGCCGCCGCAATGGCTTACGACAATGTCATTAACCCCGGATTCATCCGGCCGGCCTATCTCTCCCCGCATATCAAAACTGGAGACAGCCCAGCAATGAGATAGGGGAATGTAATAAGTTCAATATTGCTATTACATATTGTATCTGTGCATTCGTCCGGAAAGTCGTTCCAGTTGAGTCCTCATCCACGCCACCCCTCTGTGAGCTTGCGTAATTCTACCACCGATCATGGCCGTTCTCAATGTCGTAGAAGCTTCAATTGAAGATTTACAGAATGCCTTGACCAGCGGTTCTATTACGAGCGTCGAGCTTGTAGCACGTTTTCTCCGCCGTATCAGCACTTATGACTGCCGCGGCCTTGCCCTAAACTCGATTCCCATCCTCAATAATGCCCTTTTCGAACAAGCTGCTAAGTCTGATGATCGAAGGGCATCTGGCGAGAAAATCAGGCCCCTAGAAGGAATACCTTATACGGTCAAGGACAGCTATAAAGTTAGGGGCATGGTAGCCGCCGCGGGATCTCCTGCTTTTGAACATCTCATTTCCAACGAAGACGCCTTTCTTGTCAAAATCATTCAGGATGCTGGTGGAGTACTCATTGGGCGGACAAATATGCCTGCGATGGCCTGCGGCGGTATGCAGAGGGGCATTTGGGGAAGGGCCGAGAACCCTTACAACCCAGACTATTTGGCCGCAGCATTTGCTTCGGGTTCTTCCAACGGGTCAGCCGTTTCTACAGCAGCATCGTTCGCAGCTTTCGGGCTTGGGGGTGAAACTGTGTCATCTGGGAGATCGCCAGCATCCAATAATGCGATCATCGCTTACACTCCCTCGAGGACCTTTCTATCCAATCGCGGCAGTTGGCCGTTGTATCCAACATGCGACGTACCAGTACCTCATACCAGAAGCATGAAGGATATGCTGACTCTCCTGGATGTCATCACGGCCCCAGATCCAGTTGCCCAAGGTGATCTCTGGCGAGAGCAGAGCAGCGTTCAACTGCCACAGCCTTGGAGGGACAGGCCGGCGAGCTTTCAAGACTTTACCTCATCTGATTCATTGTCTGGGCTGCGTATTGCCGTGCCAGAGATCTTCCTCGGTGGACCGGTGCCTGAAGGCGCGAAGCCTGTCCATACGAGCCAGGCAGTCATTCGGTTGTGGGAAAAGGCAAGAAAGAATCTTGAGTTGCTTGGCGCGGAAATTGTGATGGTTACCGACTTTCCGCCTTTGACAGCTTACGAAAACGGGAATCTTTTGCCGGAGGGCTGTCCCAAAAAGCCTGCGGACTGGCATGCTACTGAGAGAGGAGCATTGGTAGCACATGCTTGGAACAACTTCCTCCGAGGGTTCAACGATTCACAGTTTCCAGATATCTCTGCAGTCGACACATCAAACATCTACCCAGACAGCATGAGGACGGAGCCTGAACTACAACGCAATTCAGTACCACCGGCTAGCCGAATACGCCAGCAAAGGGACTATTCTTGATATAGAAGGTCTGGATCAAGCACTCAAGGCGCTAGAGGCTATGCGGAAGATTCTTCTTGAGGACTGGCTCAGTAAATTCAACTGTGATTGCGTTGTCTTTCCCGCCGCCGGCGATGTCGGACCTGCGAATGCCGACTCAGACTTTGAGGGGGCATCCCTAGCTTGGCAGAATGGTGTCTATTACAGCAACGGGAACAGAGCAATTCGACACCTCGGTATTCCTACTGTCTCAGTTCCAATGGGAATGTTGGACGACAAACATGTTCCCATGAACCTAACCTTCGCTGGTAGAGCTTACGATGATGTCCGACTGCTGAAATGGGCGAACGCTTTCGAAGACAAAACGAAACACCGGACCCCTCCGCAACACACGCCATATCTCGAATCTGACCTCATTCAACTTTCTAATAACGAGATTAACAAATACCCACGACCGAAGTTAAGCATAAGCACCTTTAAGGAGATGCCAGCATCTAATGACACCGACCCGCTGATGGCTCAGATCGTTGTCAAAGGATCCGTGACAGTGAGCCCGCCGCATGGAGGTTTTCCAGAAGTTGAGATAACCATCGATGCACAAAAAGTTCATCCGACTTGCATTGATATTCAGACACAGCTTCAGTCGGTAGAAGGGGAGGAGGTGTACTCATTTCAGGTCAGAACGGAAACTTCAAAGCCTCCAATAAGACAGGGTTTAGACTTGACGCTGTCCCCGGTTGTCCGAGACAAGATCATGGTGATTATTCTGGTTAAAGCTACGCCAAAGGGTAGACCATCGGGCTGGATGGGGCTTATTTAGATGATCTAGACGCAAGTTTCCGTACATAATCGCAGAAGCAGGCATGTTCAGATATGAGAAACCTGACAGATTTGATACTATTGCAACCGCCATTGTAGTAGATGTCGTTCAGTCAAGTGTTAGTTGTGTGGTGTTTAAAGCCCGTTTGTTGAAATTACCGCTGATGGTGGAGTGACCGCTGGATGTGATGGTCTATAACAACATTTCAACAGTGCGAGAAACGTGCGAGACTTATACCCGTACGCACTTGGCCATCTATAAAGGCTTATACCTCATCATTGAAACTGTTCGTAACTACTTTGGTTCTCTAATGCTGTCAAAGGCTGTTGATCAAAATTGGAAATCTCGAGTTCACTATGGTAACTCGAAGATTACTAGATTTGGCATTCCAATAACAAAGATAACTGCTCTACCGGCCGTGACCTTTTTCAGAAGTTGGAATGTTGATATGTCGTTACGTGTTATCATCTTGTCCGGCATCATGATCGTTTATCATACCATAAGGAAGATCGAGGATTCGAGAGACCAATGAGGCAGTGTCTTCAGGTTGTGTTGGCTACTTTAAAATATAATACGTACCTTGCTCTGGTAGATGATTTATGTATAGCAATTTTGACAATGCTAAACCGACAACAAAGACCAGAGTCCTCCCTTATCTCTGTAGAATTTATGCGTGTCAAGCTTTGATGTCTTTGGTCAATCTGAAAGACACATTCGCTTGTGGATTGAGGAGCTTTGTCCCAACTCTTTTGTATGTATGTTAAGGACTGCCTTACACTTTGGTTACAGCTTTGCTTATCTGATTTCTCGATTCATTGATTGTCCTGAGAAAATGAAGTCATGCAGGGTGGGTGACCCAAGAGCACTGACAGTAACAAACAATGCGGTTTTTGTGCTCACTTTATCCACATGAAATCTGACGAAGCACGTTTTCACTCTGAACTTTTCCATTCCCTCATGATCAGTCTAGTATCTTCGGGCAGTCTACTTAGAGTCGATGTTATAAACCCTAAGGCGCCCACTTTTGTTATTCGTTTGTAAGTTCTCATCTTCCATCTCTGCACATCCTACCACTGAGAAAACATTCGCCCACTAAAAACAATCTTCAAGACTTGAATACAATCCCCTGTCGACATGAGTTTCCTGCGGGACTCCCTCCACCTCAACCGAGAGTCTACTAAGGCAATCATCAAATACCTCGAAACCACCGTAGCCGAGCAACAGCTATTGGACGAAGACCGTCTGGACCTTCTCTCGTACGAATACTGGGATAATGATGAGCCCGAGGAGCCTTACATGGCCTACAAAGATGGTATGTTCCATCCTGTCAAACTTGGCGATCAGCTTGGAGACGGGAAGTACACTATCGTGAACCAACTTGGAAACGGCTCCTTCTCGACAGTATGGCTTGCACACAACGCCAAGACAGGGAAGAAGGTTGCTGTGAAGATTTGCGTTCCCAAGAGCAAAAGTATACCGGCTGGAAATGAGACTCGTATCTCGAAGCTCCTTCAAGAGGACTCGGCCCATCCTGGTTATCGCGTTATAGGCTGCTACGACGATGTCTTCCTTCACCATGGACCCAATGGTACCCACGAATGTCTCGTCAGCGAGCCGACACGTGCCACGATATCGGAGAGCAAGTTCAGAGGATTCGTTTTCCCTACCAGTATCGCACGAGCGTTATGGAAATTGCTATAGATCTCCACGGGGGAAATGTGATGCTGGCTATGCCGGCCGGCGAGCTTTCTTCTCTGACTGTGGAAGAGATCTACAAGAAGTATGGGAAACCGACGATCTTACCGATTGACCTTTGTGTGGAGTCTACCGACTTTCATGAAAGATATCCTTTGCCAGCGAATGCGCCCCCATACATGCTGTGGAAGATGTTTCTCACACAGGACTGCGATGACCTAGAACTATCGGAAGCACGGGCACAGATCAAAGATTTCGGAGAATCATGGCAACCAGAGTTAGAGACGCGATTTGAACTCAAAACACCCCGAGAAATATCGGGCCCCGGAAGCCATGTTCGGCAAGAAGCTACGACTTCCCGTCAGCTATCCTGCTGATGTCTGGGCGCTGGGATGCTTCATCTTCGTGCTTTACGGCAGGATGGGCATTTTCGGGACATACACTCCTGGTCACGACGGGGTCTTGGCCGTAATGACCCACTGCATGGGCAAACCCCCGGCAACATGGTGGAACGCCTGGGATAAGGGCGAAAAGCACGTCGACGATGATTGTGACTATATCAGAAATGGCAAAGCAGAAACCAAGGCTGCAGAACCAGATACAATCGAAGGACGGGTGCTGAAGCGGATCCCTGAACACAGAGGCATCATCAGCAATCCTGAAGAGAAGTATATGGTATCACAGGAGGAGCTACGGGACCTGGCAGCTATGCTGCAGCGAATCTTTCGCTGGGAGCCCAAAACTAGAGTGACTGCGGAGGAGCTGAACAGTGATCCGTGGATGCAGAAATGGGGTGTTCCGGCGAAAGAAGCCATGGAGGAGGGCTTACGAAAAGAGGCGCAAAGAGTACGAGAAGCCCCCGGTCTTGTCTAAATCGGTGGCCGTTGGTTTAGCGGTTAGTGTTTTCGAGAGACTCGTCCGCATTCTGTCTTTAATGTCTCCATCTTCTTGGTGGCAAAATCTGAAGTGAGTATTGGGGGTTTGAGATGCTGGGCTTGTATTCGTCCTTGTGCCGTGTTTATGCGAGATGGGATATGGCGAAAATTGAGGGAAATGGTGAGAGTACCGGCGTTACCTATAATTTCAGATCAATTAATAAATCGTGGTGAGACTGTGAGATCGGCAAAATTAAACATGCTGATTTCAAGTCTGTCACCGTACCTGCTGAAGACCATGTAGTGCTTCAATATAAAGCTGATGCAGACCTGAATTCGTGCTGGTTTGAATCTCACGATGTGTTAAACATGAGCTCTCGATAACTCAATCAGGGACTGTGCGATCATTGTGCTGACAAGGCAAGCTTCGTTCCAAAGCGGAATGCATTTCCAGAATGCATTTACACTGCAATCTAGCCGTGATTGTTGGCTGTATTGGTGAACCGGCCGAACGGCCCAAATGCAGTAAACATCCTGCTCGAATTCAATCTCCTCGGTGAGCCGAGCGCGGAATTGCGCCGACATAATAGCTCCTTTTAGACGCAATATGATCCGCGTTCTAGGAGCCGAGACGAACCGATCAACTCATTCCCGCGCACATTTCTCAAAACGCAAACCGAGGTCCTGGGACCAGAAGAACACCTCAAACCCCCACACTTCAGTGAAGCGACGGGAAGGCTGCATTCCTGGCGCATGGCTTGAGGTTTGCGGGGTAATTTAATCACTAGCAGAGCCAAGTGTCGAAGCGTGTCTTGTCAGGAACTTCTGTCAAAATGGTGCACAAGCGGTCCAAAACGCCACATTGTCAACTGTTGCTTCCAACGAATAGGCCTATTCCGCACCCCCACGAAGCTTATCCCGCACCCGTACTAGTCTCAATATAATAGAAACTAGGGCAATAAAGCCTCGAATAATTATTTTTATAACGGCGTAGATATGGAGCTTATTAAGTTAAATAGTTATAAACTTATATAAAATTAGTTATTAAATTAATCATTAAAACTATTATAATATTATGATTATTATTTTCATTTATCTTACTATTTATCTTATAATAGTTGATTTTATAGTTGATTTTATTAACTACTTTATAGTTAATCTAACTACTTATTATATTATTAGCCATAATATAGTAATTATAATGGTAATAAAGGTGTCAATAAAGCTATTAATTATTAATAATATTATTGAATTAACAGTGATAGGTACCTCTTAGGCCCCTTATAAGGGTAAAAAGTAGCTAGAGCTACTTAGTATGGCGGCTATTTACTCCTACCTACTATTTCCTCTAATCTAACGAGACTAGTATGGGTGCGGGATAGGCTTCGTGTGGGTGCGGAATAAGCCTACTCCTTCCAACGCAAAGTTGGTCTCAGCCAAATGCAGGTTGGGGAAAGCTCCGGGCATCCGGCGGCGTCCGCCTTCGTTCCTAAGTCCGGTTGTCTATGTCTCATCGGTATGACCCTACATCCACCTGCAGCATCCATCGGACCGAGAGCGTCCTGGCCACTCGCCAGTCGCACTTTGATATAGAGCCCAATAGGCAAGATGTTTGAATCAGAGAGTCGACCAGGAAGACAGTGTGTGACTACGCAGCAGACAGTATTACTCACACTTCCTGCATCGGCGGACGGAGTGGATCAGAGCCAAGTCCGACCCGGGGCCGGGGTGGAGTTGTGAAGCTACGATTGAGTATTTACGGGGCAAATTTTTAAGATTTGATGACCCCAGAGTGAGCTCGAGTTCAGTCTCGGGTAACTCCCGCGAAAGCCTCCCGGAGAATAAGAGCTTGCTTACGGGCACCTTCTTTTCATGGCATATGAGAGGTTCGCTTCGGATACGAGACGCCGTCTACTGTTGACGGCCGTCGTTTGGCATTATTCAGCTTCCCACATGACCCAATGCCCGCTCCGCGTGGCTCTAACCCTTAGAGGGCTGCACAAACGTGCATACTATTGGGAAGCCGCTTGACTGCTTCGCACCAAGAGGAAACGCGGGGTTCGGGTGGGAGGTCGGGGCGACAAGCAAGGAAGTCAAGCACCCCCAGCAAAGCAGCAAGGGATGATCAATACCCATTGCAAACCCCCATCCCTGCTCGATGCTACCGCTGCCAGTCTACTCCAACCCGGGCCTAGACTTGCGTTGGTGCCGTCCTTTTTGAGGACAGTCTGTGGAGCCGGGAGGATCACCGACCCTGTCCTTGGTGTGAGTCGTCGCGCCGAGGTCGGGCGCGAGAGAGAAAAAAAGTAAGTGAGTGAGTAACCTTGCTAAACAGAACCGCCGTCGTGGAAAAAGAATGGGTGACGAAATATAAGCTGACGGCCACCCTGAGAGATCTTCGGACCTGGCTGGTATCTCCTTCGCTGCACCTTCAGAGTCTCTATCCCTTCTGCTCCCTTGCCGGGTTTGTATCCGCGAGGCCGTCTTTGTTGGCTGGAGAGTTCTACTTTCGTCAATCTCACCAACACTACAGAGCCATTGAGCCCAATCGACCCCCAGGATGCAGTTCGACAAGGAGACCAAGACCGCAGAGTCGCCGTCGCGCTCCCTTGAGCATGCGACAGACCTGGATCGACCAGTCTACGGCGATGAAGTACCCATTCAATGCCCTCCTCACACGACGGAGTCGAAGCTCATCACCAAGATCGACCTCCGCGTCATACCATTCCTGTGTGTCATGTACCTTTTGGCCTTCCTCGGTAAGCTCTCCCCCGCTCCCATCCTCAGAAGCAATTGCAATTGCATCAATACTGACCAGAAACTCATCTCACTAGACCGCGTAAACATCGCCAACGCCAATGTCTTTGGTCTGTCAAAAGAGCTCGAGCTAGACGGCACACTGTACAACAACGCGCTCGTCGTCTTCTTCGTGCCCTACATCCTCCTCGAGATTCCCTCTAATATCCTCCTCAAGAAGTTCAAGCCCCATGTCTGGCTTAGCATCAACATGTTTGGCTTCGGCCTCGTCACCATGCTCCAGGGCTTCGTGCAGAACTACGCCGGCCTCTGCACAACGCGCTTCTTCCTGGGTGTCTTTGAGACGGGCATGTTTCCGGGAGGTAAGCGACCGCCCAACGCCCTTGATCGATCCCTTACATTCACACAGCTAACCGACGTCTCCTTTTCCAGCGTTCTACCTCATCGGCATGTGGTACCGCCGCCACGAAGCCCAGCGCCGCTATTCCTTCTTCTTCAACAGCACCACCCTTGCCGGGGCATTCGGCGGTCTCCTCGCTGCGGCGATCGGAAAGATGAGCGGCGTCCGCGGTTACGCCGGCTGGCGCTGGATCTTCATCCTCGAGGGTCTCCTAACCGTTGTTGTCAGCGTCTTCTTCTTTTTCTGGCTGCCCGACTTCCCAGAGGATGTGAAGTGGCTCAGCGAAGACGAGAAGGCCTTTGTCTCGGCTCGCTTGCGCGCGGACCAGGGCCGCTCTGCCGCTGAGCGCAAGATCACTTTCCGTGACGCCGGGCGCATCTTCAAGGACTACAAGGTCATTGTCGGCGGATTCATGTACTTCGGCCTGATTGTTCCGGCGTACGGGTATGCCTACTTCGCACCGGGTATCATCCAGACCTACGGATATGACAGCATCCAGACGCAGCTGCACAGCGTACCACCCTGGGTCGTGGCTTTTGGCTTCTCGATGATCATCGCCTTCGTCTCGGATAAGACGCGGCACCGGTTCGGATTCGCGATCTTTGCGATCTGTGTGGCAATTGCGGGTTTCGCCATCTTGATTTCCGTCCACAACAATACGTCTGTCCAGTATGCGGCGCTGTTCCTTGTCGCAATGGGCGCGTATACCGCAATGCCGATGTAGGTCCAACCAGCGCCTTCTGCGTGCCTTGCAGATGGAAAGAGTACTCGTTACTAACTCAAGCCTTCTAGTATTGTTTGTTGGTTCAACATGAACCTGGGTGGCCACCACCGACGTTCTATCGGCAGTGCTTGGCAGGTTGGCTTCGGCAATATCGGCGGCATCATTGCTGTGTTTGCCTTCCTGAAAAAGGACGCGCCAAAGTACATCCCTGGTTATAGCATCAGCATCGCCTTCGTTATTCTCAGCGGTCTTGCGTGTCTGGTGTATGCCATTGGCTGCTGGTCTGCAAACAAGCATAGAGATCGCACCGCGGCCGAGTCGACATTGACGGAAGACGAGAAGATGGAGCTCGGAGATATGTCCCCTGATTACAGATATTTGCTGTAACCACCTGCCTCAAGATAAAGTAGGAGTTGCCTTGATGGGTGACCTAGGTGCATAATGAAAACGGTTTCTCTGCATAAATTATGCTGCCGCGCCGCCTCGATGCACCAGCACCAGATCTGTCTGGGACCACAAGTATCCCGCTCAACTCCCGCAACAATCGACATTCGATTGCTGAATCATTTGGACCATTGATCAAGGCTTCAACCTATGAGTGCTCAACTCCACGACTCTCGTCGTGTTCACTATTCAAGCCATCCGTGGACCACGTTGTCGCAGTAGAGTTGAACTGTTGGTCCCTCCCGTACTTTGATCTGCATTGCATACGCATTCCCTTAAGCATTGTGCATATCTCTGCCAGGATGGCTATCAGCTTCCAACAGCTCTCAAATTAACACCATCGCCCACCTCGAGATGTCGAGCACATGTGAAAGCAAGGAACAGATGCGATCACCAACCGGTCACCAATAGATGGGGCATTGTTGGAGGTGATCCGCGAGATGGCACACATCCCAGTGGGTCATCAGGCGCTCTCCAAGGGGCCCTTATGCCGGGGCATTTAATCGATTCAGGGGGGTTTGCATACGGCGTAACATTGTTGGTTCAACAAACATGCAGAGTTCCCGTTGGTTTTCACTACCGCGCCGCGTCCGCCCGCTTTTTCTCGCCCGTCGCCTCAGATGGTCATCAATCAAGAATTTCATGCAAAAGGTGCTGCTTCCTCTTGCGTAGATTTCGAGGCCTGATTTTCTCATTATCGCGCAGCATACAGAGTTGCCGATGTGTTATGTGAGTCCGCAACTCACTCCCAGCCATCACCATGCTCCCCGAAGCCCTCGTTAGCGTTTATCAGTCGTACAAGACGGACACGGACTTCATCACGACCTGGCTCGCCACCACAGCACGAGCGTACGGTTGTCCAGCTAAGCTCATATCAGGGTTTCGAGACACGAAAGATGACAAGCCTGACTCGGCACCGGAAGATGGCAAGCCAGCCGGTCAACGCAAAGCAAAATCAACCAAGGAAGCATCAAAGTCGTCGCAGAAGAAACCTCGCAAACGATACATCCTTGCAGTCAAAGATCTTCTTCCGTTGGCTGAGTTCCTCGCAACATCACAGAAGCCAGCCCTCGTTCCTCCTCATAGTCTCACCGCCGCTCTCGATAGAGTGATTGAGCTCAGAGCCAAGTTTAGCACCCAACTAGTCGAGCATGGTGCCACGACCAACGATCAACACAATAGCACCCACTTTTACTTCCTAAGGGTCTTGTGTCAAGTACGCCATGTCTTGACAGCTCATCGGACTACTTCCCCAACCAACACAAAAGCATCAACTGACGATGCTGCCGAGAAGCCGCAGCCATCCGCCAACAAGTTCGAAGGGCTACTTGTGTCTGAGCCGTCTGCAGAATTCATCAACGCCCCAGATGCACCTCTACCGACGAGACCAGCAAAGTCCGAAGCCGATGTCAACTTCGAGGCCGAGAGCGAGATGTCGAGTTGGGACGCTCAGTTCGTATGGCAGCTGGTTTGGAAAGACCTTTACGGAGTGCGTCAGAGGGTCAGATACATGTGGCAACAATTTCGCGAAGGACGCCACGAGCTCGTCGCCGTTGCATTGGCCACCAACACCGCCATCGACCTCGCCCGCAACCTCGTCGAAGATATTACTCCAGTACTGCAATCTCAGCCAGGGGGCTTATTCGGGGTCATCTGTCTCTACAATGCCACATTCACGCCTACAAAAATCCGAAAATACTCGAAAGGTCTGCTTAATTTGCCAGAGGAGCCAACGAAAGAAGAACTTGCGTACGTTGCGGGCGTCATAGACTGCACCAACGTCTACAGCATGTTAAACCAACTCCTTCCACAAGATACAGGCCCCATCAATCCACCGCTGGTCACAAAAGGCAGCCCAAAGATCCGACTAGCGAGAGCTCATGGCAACTACCTTATTGACCGGAACACGCTTTCTCATGTTCTCTACGATATGAAGTTCATTCTCCATTACATCCCAGATTGGCCAGTGGATGATGGCGTCCTGCGAGGATTCCGAGAAACGACCCGCACGAGGGAGATCCCCTTCTATTTTGTGTATGCGGCCCAACTTCTCATTGACATCCATGGAGTTATGGGCAATAACCTGCCATTCATTCGAGTACAATTCATGCGAGGGTTGTCGACACTGCAGGAGCTCATGACACAGGCATGGTACATCCACCAAAGCACAAGAATGGACCCAAAGGCGCTAAGATGCTTCCCGCTCCTCCAACGTACGGTGCTAAGCATGCCCAAAATGACTCGCGATCCCATTCTCGTCGAAAAACAACGGCTCAAGAAGCCCATCGCAGATCCCTCTCTGGAACGCCTACGGCTGATGAAAACTGATCCGGTCATGGCTGGTCTGGTCATGTACACCTTTCGAGCAGCAACGTATCGCATTGGGATTTGCCTTGCGAACGACACACTATCCGCCATCTCGACTATGCATCTCTACAATGCTTTGTATCAAGAAGGTTTACTCAAGGCTAAGTGGTGGGATATGGAGCTTATCAAGGAACTGGCCGGCAAGTCCCAATTCTACGTGGGCAACCCCCCAAGTGATCCGAAAGGATACATCAAAAGTTTTCTTATGCAGACCGGTCTGAAGAGCGTCTACATGAGCCAGCTGCAAAGGTCAAAGACACAGACAAAGCTGTACAAAGAGCTCAAGAACAGAAGACGTATTTCTGAAGGGGCGACTGTTTCTATGATGTTTTACGAAAGGTACTGCAACGAGAAAGGCGAGACCTCGACAGGCAACTGGACCGCTGAAGACATCGTACGCATCCTCGATCACTGTCCGGAGGGTTTGTGGTTTGATCACCCCCAAGAGGAACCAGAGGGCGACAAACGGGACAAGTGCTCCAAGAAGTTGACACAAAAGCGGAAGAGGCCTGCAAAGCCCGCCAAACCTGGTCTACCTCCCTACGATATCATCACATCCCTGGGGGTTGGTCTCTTGGACGAAGCAGCAGAGTTTGGGTTTCCCTGGCTAGCTATGCATCGCAACGCATGGTTCCTGATGCGGAAGATTCGGATGGCCAGCGAGCGCACCTTCATGATGTTGATGCCGGGCTACAGCATGTCTGAAGCCGGGCTGATGACGCTTACCACGTACATCTTAGATGTCCTGGTGCATCCTAGGCCTGTCAACTCTTTGGTGAGGCGGGTTCTTGAGGAAGTGGCGGCTACTTTCAATCACTACCTCACTTATGTCCCGAAAGATCATGGCTGGTCCGCTGGTGAAACAGTATGGAAGGAGATGGAGATTGCTCTCGGTATTGGACTCCATATGTATGACAGGGCTGTTGGTAAAGTCCCAAAGGATGGCGACTCTGAGGGAAGGCTACAGCCTGAAATAGTGACAGACACGGCGATTCCTGTGTGTTGATGTGCCATTGTTTCTGTCTTCGAATGTTTCACGTATGGGCTACATGGGTAGAGTCGATTAAGCAAGCTCGGTATGGGTTTCAAATTAAGGTCTCCTTCTCTCTTTGTCTGTAACTTCAAGGTAGAACTCTCTTCAATATTGCATGGCGTTTTTGTCCGAATTGACTGTCTTCAATCTCAAGCCGTACCGAAGGGGGGGGGGGGGTTGTGCCCCTCCCTTGATACCAAGTTTCAATTAGAACGATTTCATGATACACTTTGATGAAACAACTTACTAAGTAAATAATCAAACAACCGTCGGTTGGAAAATTGAGCGAAGGTTATGGAATTTCGTATGTCCCAAATATCACCAGATTCTTAGATGAGAATGACACTGTCCAGTTTGCCTGGCTTTGCTGCCCCGCGCCCCACTACGTCATGAATCATCCCGCAGCATTTGAACTCCTACATCTTATCCCACAACTCATCTCATCATCCCATTCAACACAACCACAGTCCTACCAAACTGCATCGCTTCGTTCATAGCTTCGTTAAGAGCTTCATTCATATCGCCTATTAATCACAATGGCTCTCACACTCGACCCTAAAATTCTCCAACGCTGCGTCGAGCTAGCAAAAGAAGCCCTCGAAGCAGGCGACGATCCCTTCGGCTCTGTGCTCGTGAGCGGAGACGGCAAGATCATCCGCGAAGACCGCAATCGTGTGAACACTGGCAAGAATGGAGACGGGAAACGCGACGGGACGCTGCACCCGGAGTTTACCCTCGCGCGTTGGGCGCAACTCAACCTTGGCCCCGAGGAACGGGCCAAGTCTTCAGTGTACACTTCCGGCGAACACTGCCCGATGTGCGCTGCCGCTCACGCCTGGGTCGGACTGGGACCCATCGTCTACGTCTCTTCGAGTGCGCAATTTGCTAGTTGGCTGGAAGAGTTTGGGCTGAAGGCGGGCGGGAAAGTCAAGCCGCTGCCTATCAATGAGGTCGCGCCGGGTATTTCGGTGCAGGGTCCAATTCCTGGGCTGGATGAGGAGGTCAAGGCATTGCACAAGAGAAACGTTGAGAAGTCATCATAAATGAGAAGTATGTCGCTCGAGACCTAGTGGGCTAACGGTCTAGACACATGGTACATCTCGCAGATGGGATTCGAGTGGCCTCGAACACCAGGAAGCGATTAGTACTCGATGCGACAGAAGAGTTCAATGAATAGCATAATAATATTATCATCATCAAGTCAGCCGTAGCGACTTTTAGTAAAAATTGGCAGGGTCCAGCACTCCACTGAGCAGATTGAAATTTGACAACTCGACCACCGAGTTCTTAGGACATTCGACTGGCATGGGTGGCTCTCAGGCTTCGGGCAACCGCAAGGTTCTTGTCTGTCTGACCAGAGCGCCTTCATCGCCAAGGTACCGTCCGCTCTCGTAACTGCACATGGTCAAGGTTAGTGACTCTTTGACGTGACCAATGCTCCAGTCTCAACGAAACGCGAACCTCCAGTGAAGATTGCCAAGCGCGACGTCGCGGCAGCCATTGAGGTACCGAATGACCTCTTGGTCGATCTTCTCTCCGCAGATTGGCATCTTCGACAAAGCAAGATACCAATCCCGATAGCATTCGTCGATCATGTCTCCGATCTCGTCAATGGCTTCCTGGGTAGAGTGCCCCTGGGACTTCAGCAAGGCGATGAGGTTGTGCTGTACACCTTGTTCCTACAAGTTTCATCGTCAACAGTTGGTCGGAATGGAAGCTCGCACTCGACTCACCAAATCTTTGCGATATGACAAGATGTCATTGACACTGTGTGGGAATCAGCCATCAATCAGCGACGAACAAAACTACGCCGACTTACAGAATTACTAGATCAGCCGAGATACGCCTGCACTCTTGCAAGCTCTCGTCGTCTATGACCTCTGAGGGTACAATGATGCCGTGGCAAAATCTTCGGAATATGCCGTCAGCTCACTATTTGCTTGCCTGTGACACGGCAATGCACTCACTCAACAAGCACATAAGATGGCTGACATCCAATAGTCCCTCTTCGGAATCCCATGTACTCATCGACTGTCAGGGTCATGGCTGACTTGGAGGTTTCAACTCCAACTTGACTCAGCAGACCCGAGAAGTAGTATCTAATTGAGGCCTTGTAACGCCTCTGCAACTCTATCGAATCTGTGTCAGTGGCCTATAGGCTATTCACCTACGTCGACAAGTGTAAAGCGACGGAGAGAAACACTCAATACCTTTCGTAGATCTCTGAATATAGGAACGCACCTGTTAGTAACGCAGTATTGACAAGAATGGAGTGATTTAGTGCGAAAGTAGTAAGGTCGGGAAATATACCTTCTTGAGCCGATCCCAGACAGTCTGGAAGACATACCTAATTGAGTTGTCATGCAGTTGAACTGGGGCCTGGGTGTCCTCAAGCACCGCAAAGGTGGCATGCAACTCCTCCACGGCCTTGATAGGGTCGTCTTTCAGATGACCCTCATCAAATTCTGTGAAGAGTTAGCGTGTTCCGAAGAAGTGACATAGTCATGGTGTCCTTACGGTCATCAAAGGCAAAAACCTTGCCGCCGCATTAGCCCAATGTTTTCTGACGGATTAAACTCCCCTCTAAAGTTGACATACCCAGTTGTTCCAGTCGACCATCGTTCGGTATGCCTCCGCATCAGCGTATGGGACCCACATCGCATTCATGAACGCGAAGTTAGCCTGGACGTTTCTTCGAGCTTGAGCTTCACTGAGATGGAGAATTCTATGACCGATTCAAATCAACGTTGCGTCAGTGGAAACGTTGTCCACTGTTGTTACTAACTTAGCAATCCAACTGTCGGCTTCCTTCTTCACGTGTTCATAATTGATGTTGATGGCGGGTTTCACAGACATAATCGAAGAGAAGAAGTCTGGGATGCGGACATAGTTGACACTTGATTCGTCAGAAGTGATGCCGAGGTGGAGCTTTATATCCAATGTGCTTCCCTCTTGCGAGGATACAGTGAAAGACTGAGATGAAGACATTGAGTCTGTCAAAGTTGCAAATGGAGAGACTGGAGAGCCTGGAGACATCGTTGACTCTCCATCATCTTCAACGTCGATGTGGAAAGGATTCACTAGACTCTTTTTGGACATGTTGTTGGATGCGTCGTCAGAGTCGTTTTCAACGCCGGTTCGGTGGTTTCCGAAGAGAGAAGACTCTGGAGAAATCATGATGTCTTTAATGAAGATGTCTTAGTATGGAGTGAATGTTGTAGGCAGGTTTGGAAGAAGCTTGAAGAACTGAAGATAGAGCAAAGCAGTCACCGACGAAGGATGGAATACGCTGCTTTTCAGTTCATTCAGAGATATCCACCCTGTTTGCCCGGTTGGTTCATCAGTTCAAGCGACATTTGGAGATGCCTGACACCATCCTCCCCTTTATCCCATCGTGACGACTTGGCCATGGGTCTTCAAGAACTTGTCATGCGGTATCGCTGCTAGCCTCTACGAGGGTCGCCTATCCTGGTTCCTTTTGCCCCCACATCAACATCCACCACACCAAAGAATACTTGTGACTGTGCCGCAACGCCTCATCTCAGCAAACAAGAATTTTCTTGGACGTGAAGTAGCAATTCGTCATGATTGAAGTCTCCATCGGTGACTCCGTCAGTGAGAAGCCTCACTTTAGACAAAGTCTCGAGAATATCAACTGGTTGTGAGTGACTTCAGCTTCGAGTTGAGCAAACATGTCTCAGCTTCTCTGAGTTGTCGCTCCCTAGCATGGCTGCCATGCTAGTCTCATTCATACAAAGAGTAAATTCCATTTCATTCCGACTTGTTCGACTCCGTGATCCAAAAAGAAAGACGCACACTGAGGAACACATTAACGGGAAAGTGAGCTTTCTCGAAGAGCAAGATGGGAAGTCACATTGAGTCGGTCCTGCGGATGAAAGCTTGAAATCAAGAAGTGCATGAGTTGTAATGGCTTTAGATTATTTCCAGGTCTGAACGGTCTAGCTTCTCGACACTTCGTATGTCTGTCTAAGAGAAGATACGTGTACAGACTAATGACGCATTCAACTGCGGGCTGTCCAAGATAGCGAAAAAATAATATCCCGCCGGCAAGATAACTTATGGATGTTTCAAACGAAGTAAAATGCCAAATTTAAACTCATCACATGAGTTCTTACAGAAGCAGAGTCTCGCAATTGACGCCTCCAAGGACTCAGTTTAAGGTACTAAGAACTAGGTGACGTCTGGCTCTGCCTCGAACATTTGTGAAAAAGTGACGAGTTTATGCCTTTTGCTTCAAGGTCTTATGGAATGTCAGTTGCGAAACATAATATATCGAATCTCGTCTTTTGGTCCTCGTTAGCGCACGCAAAGTCCTCGCATCATCTCATCATTTGACATTGCTTGTAGGTGGAACCGGATACCGGGAATTGAATCTATCAACGTGATATTGGTTCAACCAATCATGACCCGCTTCACAATAATGTAAATAATAGAGGGGCTTTATCGGCCTTCTTCGGAGCTGGGAAAAGCGATCATCATCAACAAAAAGTCAAACGCCACAGGCAGAAAACTCCACAGGTGTTTGCTTTGTGGCGCCCAGCTGAGGTAGGTTTACATGGGTGTTCTACTAGTCGATACTGATTAGAGTGATGCCCCGAACCTTCCGACTGGATACTGGATATTGCGGATAATCGGCCCACACCAGATTGGGCGTCTTGTTTGCTTGCTCAACGTGGCACGCACCCAATCATTCTCATACACGTTGCCATCCCTCCGGATGCCTTGGTAGATATGTATTGTAGAGCGGTTGAATCTTCTTACAGGATGCCTCTCCCCTGCGGGAACTGGGAAGGCTTTCCAATGATCGTTGGGTACATGGCCCGTGGCATGGAGGAGTTCGCCAAGTTGCCAAACATTCCTTGGCCAGCTACGCCGCGTGACCGCCTCCGCGTGACAGAGAGCGCTTAAATGTGGTAGCAAACAATGGTGATCTTTCTTCAGTTGCTCTGTTGAACATTCAAAGACTCCGCGGTCCACAAGCTCAACACCGTCAATCTGATACATGGTTTTCAAATCAACATCTCAAATTTGTCTGCTTGTCTTACCTGAAATTAACAGACTCAAGTATTGTGATAGGGCTATGCCCTCAAAGGTCCATCGAAAGATAAGAAAACTTCAGGATATCACTTGACTTTAGAAATAAGCCCCGCGCCATCATCTGGGTCATGCCCAGGTGTAGTCTTCCAAAGACCAACCTTATTGAGTTATCTACTTTTTCCCGACGATGGCTCTGTTTCAACTACGCGAGATTCTCTGTTCGCCAAGCACTCTTGCCCTGTGCTTCTCTATTTATGTCATAGGTGGTGTATTCTACAGGCTCTTCTTCCACCCGCTTAGAAAGATTCCTGGTCCGTGGTACGCTGCAGCGACATACTGGTACGAATTCTACCAAGATGTGATTCTCAACGGCAACTACGTGAAGGAGTACCCTGATCTTCACGCCAAGTACGGTAAGTGAAATGCTCGCGATACATACATGCGTTCTTGGCTGTGTTGTGCATGCTGATACATCGTTCAGGCCCAGTTGTTCGGGTGTCTCCCAGTCGTGTGCATGTCAGTGATCCAGATTACTTCAAGGAGTGAGTTGAGCTCTATTCGTAAGCTAAAATTCAACGGACGTCTCACTGATGTGACTTTCCAGACCTTACGGAAGTGGCACGAAATACACCAAGGATCCCGACTTCTTTCAGAGTGCGGGCGGCATTAAATACTCCATCATCATGCTGATTGATCCCGAGGTTCACAAAGAGCGAAAGAATACGGTTCAATCACTCTTCTCTACCAAGCATGTGGACCACCTGGCGCCTGTCGCTTTAGATATTGTGCAGAGAGCCATGGCAAAAGCACAGCGCGCCTTCGAGAACGACCAGTCGATCAACTTGCAACCATTTTACCAATGCATTACCGTAGGTTGCTTCTCCGGGATCTTCTCTAATACGACTGCAAGGCTGAGTGCTGAACTTCTTCTAGGTTGACACCATCATGCCTGTTCTATTTGACAGACAATTGAACTTTGTTGATTCTGACGAAGACGAACCACCGTTTTTGAGCATGCTAGCCAAGTTCGTCGACCAATTCTTTCTTACCAAGCACTTTCCCATGATCAGCCATATTGCTATGAGTCTACCCCTCAGTGTAGCAAGGATGATTTTGCCGGATTATGTTGCTTTTCGAGAGGTTAGTGCGGTCATTGCAAGATGTGGTCAATCATCAAAAGGCAACATGAGCTTGAGCTGATGATCAAATAGCAATGCACCACGTGGATCAAAGAAGACGAGGAGAAACAACGAAACGGCAAGAAGACTACGGATGACGGCCGTAACACTTATTTCGGTCTTCTCCTAGAGGCAGAAAAGACCAAAGTGTCTCATAAGCTCAGCCAAGACGCACTCGTCGACGAAGCACTGTCGGTGTGTTTTGCCGGCACTGATACGAACAGCATTGCTCTTAGCTTTGGCACATTCTTCTTGCTGAGAAACCCGGATAAGCTTCAGAAGATGCTGGACGAGTTGAAAGGTGCTCCTACGAATGGTGATGGTTTATATGAGTACTATGCTGTTTCGAAATTGCCATACCTTGTAAGTGCGAGAACATTTGACAGGAAGATTGGGCTTCGCATGCTAATTCTCCATGATTCCAGACTGCAGTCATCAAGGAGATACTTCGTCTCGGTTCTCCAGTACCTGGCATTATTCCGCGCAGAGTCCCTGCTGGCGGCGCTGCCGTTGGAGGACATTTTATTCCAGAAGGCGTAAGTGACAGATCGAACCAGCTATACTGTGTGTTCATATTTCATTGACTCTGTCACTCTCCAAGACTACGGTTTCGCAGGCCCTTCGATTCATTCATGACAATCCGGATGTGTACCCGGAGCCCGAAAACTTCGTCCCCGAGAGATGGCTCGGCAAAGCCGGCTGGGAACTGGAGAAATACTATGTGCCATTCAGCAAAGGTCCACGAGCTTGCATAGGCTTGAAGTAAGTTCACATACGCTCGACCTCCTAGGGAGAAAGTCAGGCCTAAACTGAAACAGCATTGCATATCTCGAACTTTACCTCTGTTTTGCAAACCTTTTCAGCCGCTTCGAGATGGAACTATACGAGACGAATGAGAGCACCTTCAAGTGGGTAGACAATGGCGTTTCGAGGCTGTTAAATCCAATTAGAGTCAAGATCAAGTCGATTAGGGGGGTCGATCTGCGAGTTTAGGGTGGCAACTGCGATTCCCTAGATATTTCAACCGAGTCTGTTTCATGCTGAGGTAGCAGGACAGGTAGACACTAGATACATTCCCAGCCATCTGGCTTCGAGGGGTCGCCCTGTCCCTTGAATACGTTTCGTGTGGGATATTTACAATGCCTCCTCTGCAGATCGACCTCCCCGGAGGCCGTCAAGCGGCTACCAAGAATGAACTCGGGTGCCACGCCCTCCTCAACCCAGCGAACAATTGCCGCCAACACGTTAGCATCTGGGTCGTACGACGCGAATGTCTCCGGGTTGCCACCTATCATGCTAGCCCCAGTGCCATCGCGGCAATGCGCCATGCCAGAAATTCGGAAATACCGGTAAAAGTCGTCCAGCTCCTTTGAAGGAAGGTTCATGGTACGTGATACATGGTTATAGTACCTCTCTGAGTTGTCACTGCTGATCGCATTGTCCTGCATGCCATGGTAATGCAGGACCTTGACTCCACGATCCTTAGCCGCGGATAAGTCGCCTTCCCAAGTTGACACCTTCCATGGATCTTGTTTCGAAGCCACTGCATAATCCTCCGGTGTCATTGTCGAGAGATCCCATTTGGTATCGTTGTAGACGACATATCGCCACCAGTCCAAGGGATATTGATGAGGCTGCCCGTTAAGAAGCCGAGCAGTCGCGTTGGACCCAGGTTGCAGCCGAGGGAAGATGTACTGCCCATCCAAGCCATAAACTGGAGAAAAGATGGCCCGCACAGTAGCTGCTTGCTCTCCGCTCAGACAGCTGTCCGAGGAGCCCCCGGAACAGATGAGACCCTCAGGTCTGTATTGACACAAGCTCGGGTCTTCGAGAATACCGTCTTCGAGGCCGTCCAATCCATCGCATTGCTTGAAGATATCTGCATACACCAGCTCCCATTCCGCGGGAGAAAGGAATCGCGAGGTCTCATTGGTCCCTGTCTTGAGGAAAAGCTGGCCGGTCCAGTACATGAGTGCAATCAGGTCGAAAGCAGGAGCGCCTGCGACGATGCCGTCATAGTCTTCCGGAAAACTCTGGGCCTCCTTGAACCCCTGTCTACCGCCTGTAGAGCAGCCCAAGTAGTACGACTTGGTGTGCTCTTTGCCGTAGTATTGCTGGGCAATCTCCTTGCCTAAATGAGCTTCAAGGTGCACGGCGCGGTAGACGTAGTCCTCAATCACCCCGGGGTTGTTGAGAAAGGGAGCACCAGACGTTCCGTCGTGGCCATTATTGGTGCCGATTGTAGCAAACTGATGTGTGGCCCCGTAGTTGAGGTCGCCGTATTTAATGCATCCGTTCATGCCGCCATTGCCAGTGCCTAAGAAACGGCCGCTCCATTCTGATGGAAGCCAAGCTTCAAGGGAGATGTTGCTTGTCGGCCCTGTAGTAGTGACAAAGACGACCCGACAGATATCCACGCTGGAAACTTGAAAGGGGATTGCGCATGACGGGTGATTGTCAGGGAGCGAGATGTTTGTTCCTGCTGCGATGAAAGTTGTTTCGTGGATTGTCGTGTTCGGGAGACTAAGACGGCTCGCAAAGGATGCGCAGTCCTCTGGAGTGACAGCTTGGGCTGACCCAACCGCCAACAGGAATTGAAACACAGAAGAACGGGAACCTCTCATGGCTGCGATTACTGATCCGACAATGTCTACATCTGGTACGTAGAGGGCAACTTTAAGGATTATTTATTGCCATCATCTTCGTGTGCCTCGGACAGTGTTACTCACTCATATCGCTATCCTGAACTACCGTGACCTGCTACCGCGCTTTTCCGCAGTCCTCGAGGGAATCCGCTCTTGTGCTTGTAGCCAGTCTCCTGGGTCAGAATCCCCGCAGACGGATAAAGAATCGGTTGGTTGTGTCGTCTCTGCAGAGCTGCTAGATTGACAAGCCATGGGGCGACGGAGCAATAAAGTCGATCACTTGCCGTACCAGGCTAAGGATAGTCTGGGGTAGCTTGACAGACGGTGGGGAAGAGTTGCTTCTTCAGAGGGGCTGTTGCCGTCGTTGAAATTAGAGACGCGGGGTAACCAGCCGTTTCCCTGCAAAACGACAACCGGATTCTTGCGCTCTAGTCAGTAGCTCAGCGTTACCGGACGACTACTGACTCTTTTTGGTGATCAAATGCCTCTCGCTAGAGATGCCATGAAGTCTTTTCGGCTCCAAGATGATACGGGTAGGCTTCGGACATAGTGAATGTTTCCAGGCTGCTCCGCTCGGCTCTTGATCCGACGGAGGACTTGCGGTCCCCGTCCAGATACCAACGCCGCGACGATCGTGCCAGCACAAACAGGGAGAGAGAAAACCAGTAACCCGGGTTTACGGTTCCGCAACTGAACACTGGTCATAATTCAGTGCAGGCTGTAGACTTTGATAAGACTTCTCCATCGAAGGCGGCGCTAACTCGATTTGAACCTGCTAGCTATTGGTTCTCATGCCATTCAGTTCAGTATACCAACTCGTCTAATTCCGTGTTCTTTGCACACCCTTTTTAAACTCCTCCTTATCCCTTGCCAAGTAGAGCGCTCCAGCTTTCTTTTCAAGCTTCCAATTTCCCGTTCACATTCTATATCACCATCGTCTTCAGAGGAAGCAGACTCGTCGTCACCCTCGTAATCACCATCTTTGCAGTCCTCGTCATCGTTGGCGCCCCGCTCGATAGCATCCACCACGAATTCGACTCTCCTCCATGGGGTCTCTAGAGCTGTACAATCCTGACACCTAAAGTTCGGCTGGTTGTCTCCTAGATATATTTTGTCGCAAGCAGGTCGCGGGACTCGTGCAGGAACGTATTTGCACTTGGTGAGTTTGCGGTCAAAGGGGATGTCGCAGCTGGAGCATTTGTTGTCGTACCAGACAAAATGACACATGATAGCTAATCATTTGCGTTTGTTAATTGTCTCTCGCAAGAATCGATTGATAACGAGCCTAAGTTGGAAGTGTTTTGAACAGGAATTGTGGACTTACTGCCCGCCGCTGGATGGGTTTGTGCGAGAAAGTCAGCATTTGAGCCATTAGAATGCGGCCAGTGGTTGGCAATTAAAACACTGCTCTCCCTCACGGAAAATTCTCCTGAGCTACAGGTCTACAACCACGTGTGTCACTCAGGTGAATAATGAACTCCGATCAAAGTCGTTGGCTTCTCCTTTCATCTCAAATGTGCCCAGTAGTAGGTGGAAACCGAAGGCTCCTATTCACTCTTCACATCAAGAGAAAGCTACCACCTGCGGTAGTATAAATAGAACCTCTTTGTTCAACTTTCGATTGGCTCGGAGTCTTTAATCGAGAAATAAAGTTTCAAAGACCAAAGAACAAGCCATTGTCTTGCGCCTCTCACGTCTTGAACTAAAGTACAGAACCAATCCCCACGAACACATCGGCCCTTTCGCACAAGGTTCATAACAAATATATTCAAAACTACATATACCATTATACCCAACAATAAACAATACCCTCCACAGGCGAATCAATTATCTCCAACCATGTGTCGCCGCACTCAACATGACCTCCTCTGCACCAACTGCGGCGACGCCTACAGAATCATCATAGGCGAATTCCGGCAATGTCAACGGTACCACCGCCGGCGCTGTGTAGTAACGAGGGTACCTGCCAGTCCACTTAGAAGAGGGCTTTGCCATCAGTGCATGCCTCTGGTACGCGAAAGACATCATCCTCAATGCCAGGATATTTGCTGTCTCGAGCGTGGAAGGAGAGGTGGGTTGTCACAGACGCTAGAGGGTTCCAGAGCATGATCAGGAGGTTAGACTTTAGGGACATCTTGGGGTGTGATGGAAATAGAGGACTGCAGTTGATTATCTCGCCATTCAAGTAGAATACAACATTGAACTCTCGATGCCGTGGTTTCATCAGTCATCAGTACGTTTCAATCTCGTGAGTCGTCGATAAGGGGCCGCCAGACACTCTAAACGCCTCGATATATCCTTCCCGGCATTTCTACGCCGCTGCCCGGTCTACTCATCGATCACAACACCTGAATCATCATCACCTTGAAAATCTCGCTGCGGATAAAGCCACCCAACATCACTCAGAATCTGCTCCAACCTTGTCGCCTCTTCGTCTTTGTATGCCAATCTTCTGCCCGACTCAAGAAAGTAGTTCAGTTCGCTCTGTAGCCTGTAAGGCGACGTCTCGATATCCCAAGCCCATTCTTCAAAGTCTCGTCTCGGTCTCATGAACATGGGCTCCCAAGGCTGTATTCGCTTGTACACCGCGGGCGCCAGCGGCAAGTAAGGACTCCAGGCTCGACGTCGGAATTCCAGGTATCCGAAAGCATGGAGTGCAGCGAGCGAGAGAGTCGTATCTTCCGAGTCTTGCTCTACTTCGAAACAGGCGATAAAAGTTTCCTCTACTGCCCGAGGACTCTGTGCGACGACAAAGTCATTCTTCAAAAGGTCCAAGATCTCATTGATGGGTTCTGAATTGAGGTCAATGATGCTGCGGTCTTTGATGACGGGGATATCGACCAAATCGTGGTGCGACCTTGCCTCGTCGACGCACTTCATGCCAACCCTGAGGCCACAGAGCCGGCAAAATGAAACCTGCTCCTGCTCGTCTTCGTCGCAGAGATCGCAGTTGGGCATGCAAAATACTGTCTCGATGCACTGCCCGTCTTCCCTCGTTACCCATACATCGACGATCAAAGCCTGGAACAGACGTACAGCCTCTTCGTCGTATTTCCCTCTCGCTAGGAGGATGATAGCGATGTCTCGCATAAGATGTTTGTGCTGGGTAAATGTCCGGCTTTCGGCGACTTTCAGCTCTGTAATGTAGCGCCTGAGAAAAATGTCGATATTTGCTATCGCCTCACTGCTGAAGCCCTTGTGTGGCAGATCGATAGCCATGTCCAGAGGCGTATGCATGTCGCTGTTCTTGACAGCAAGCATCTGTTGGAAATGGTCGACGCCAGTCTCAGCTTTCAACTTTTCGCACACGGAGTATACTAGCGTGGCCATTTCAGAAACTTGCTCTCGATGACATGATGCGTCCCTGTGCAGGACATTGTTGCCGTAGTAGTCAACGTTCTCGATGAAATTCGCTAATTGTGGATGTCCGAGTAGCACCTCGAGCACCTTAACGTACTCGCACAAGGCGGCAACTACCAGCGCGGACCTCCATATAGTGGAAGTGTCTCCCGGCCACTTCTGTCCCTTTGCCGGATCCGCTCCCTTATCGAGTAAGTACCGGACAGTCGGGACGTCTCCGCTCCTGCATGCCTCTCCGAGCACCGTGAAGCCGGATGAGCCGACGACGTCGTCAACACCGAGGCCGTGTTGGAGTAGCAGATCAATGATCTTGTGGCCCGCGCCGTTGTCCTCGGAGACTGAGCTACCGACACACGATGTTCCCATTGAGCATTGTGCTGTGATGTCGGCACCTTTTTCGAGAAGGAACTGGATCAGTTGGAGGTTGCCGTTCTCGCAGGCTACCATCAGAGGAGTCTTTCCGTCGTAGGAGGCGGTTTCCAGTGTCTCTGGCGCCATCTCATAGAGTAATTGCGCAATTTCTAGCCTTCCTGATTCGCAGGCCAACCAAAGCGGTGTTTCCTGCCAATGATATGAGGCTTGGCCCGGCTGTGCACCTGCGTCGAGGAGACACCGCAGAATATCAATGTGTCCGTCTCTGGCGGCGATGTGAAGAGGTGTCTCATAGACGAGCCCTTCGTCGCATTGGTAGGTTACCAGGGCTGGCTCGTTTTCAGCGTAGACTTTTACAGTCTCAATGTTGTTTTCTTCCGCGGCCCGATGGAGGGGAGTGGTGAAGCACCCGGGGATATAGGATAAGAAACGCTTCGTATCAGCACCGTAGTCAAGCAGCAACCGCGTGACCTCCGGCTTCATATCACTCGCTTCGATGAGGATATGCTGAAAGTCAGAGTTGTCCGGGACATAATTGATACTTGGTGGCAAAGAGTTTTCAAGCAAGACTTTGATCATTCCTCTGGCGATGTCTTCATCGTCTAGCATAGCGGCGTCGAGAGGACCCGGCAGTCCGTAGGCTTCTTCGAGGGTCGGGTCCGCTCCGTGTCGTAAAAGAAGTTTCACCATGTTTTGGTCCTTGTAGTCCACAGCCACCATCAATGGGGATTTGGCGTACTTCTTCGACTTGCGATTCAACGTATTAATAGGTGACTGGTAGGCAAGGAGCAGCTCGACTATGTCGGTGTTGCCCGTGCTGATATCAACCTCGCTTTCTTCCAGACTAGAATTCTTCTAGTTAGCTTGATATTGAGAAGTAGTAGCAATACAACAAAGTAGTGATGTGCGAGTTGGCCGGGAGAAGCAGAGTCCAACGTACCTCTCCTTATTTTTCGTCGTCCTCGCCATTTCAACTGCCGTGAAAAGGGGCGTCTCATCTGGTGATGCGGGGTGACGGCAAGGACTTGCCCCTGCTTCCAACAAAAGCTCCACCGCCTTGAAGTTATCATCAAAGATTGCAAAGGTCAGCGGAGTCCGCCGGATGAATTTCTTTCCATCGCCTGAGATGCCATTAGAGAGAAGTTCCAGATCAACATCGGGTCGTTTCAGAAGATGCGGTAGCCAATCAATATGCAAGGGGCCTGTCAACAGATGAATCGCAGCGTATCCCATGCCGTCTAATTGGTTGATGTCTTTAACTCTGCTTAGAAGAAGCATGAAGATGTCAAAGTTCTGTTCGGTGATGGTAGCTGTTAACGGTAATTGCAGGTTTGGCCAGGGGAAATGCAAGCTCAGATCAACGCCATAGTCAATCAAGAGCCTCGCAACCTCATTGTGATATTGCATGATTGCTTCGCGTAGGGGGTGCATGATTGCTCCGTGGATGCTCAACATATCAGGCCTAGCTCCCGCTTGGAGGAGTAACTCAACCATGGCAGTTTTTCCTCTACTGCAAGGTACAAGTAGGGGTGTTTCGCCCCAGTTATCCGAGATATTAGGGTCGGCCCCAGCATCAAGAAGTGATGTGACCAAGCGTTCCATAAGGTCTTCATCGCGCGTTTCCAGCTGCGTGCACAGAATCATCAAAGCAGTTCCGCCGTTCAAAGAGCCTCGCTCGTTAACGTTTTTGGTCCGCTTCAGGAAGTAGTCGACCATTTCGGGCTGTCCTTCTGATGAGCCTGCTGCATGCATGAGAGGGGTATGGCCGTAAGCGTTGTGGACCGAGAAATAAGACTCTGGCCTCCAATATTCAATGAGCCTGGCAATTCTGGGGGCTTGATTTCGCTCATACAAGTACCGCCATGTCTTCCTTATAAGCTCAGTCTTCCATGACCATGCCTCTCCACTCCCTGCCCATTGAATCTCGTAGGTGAGGTGGCCAATATCAGCATGAATGAATGTGAACACAGGAGAGACGAACGTGTCATCTATCGGATCGCTTCGACGATGTGTCAGTGCAATGTTCCAGGAGTAATGCGCTGACCAGGTTCTGTAGTTCATAGAGTTGACGAAATCGCCCAGGAGAGGGAGCAGTTTGACCACCTTGTCACCCGCACGACGGAGATGTTCTCCCCAGTTGGTTGCCGCATACAAGTAGAACGGGTGACGTGCTGAGATATCGGGAGCCATGATTGATTTGAAGCATGCGAAGTCGGATCTGGACAGGTACTTTATGCACAAGAATGCCATGTTGGCGTGCTGCTCTTTTTCGCTGAAGTAGTAACGTCTGAAGTGGTAGGTCAGAGACGGGTGGCTGACCTGGAAGTCGTCGTTGATCGAAATGTGAAGGAGCCGGGGGCACCGTTGCCTCACGAAGTTGCCGAAGTCAAAGAATTTCAAGTCAGGGTTTTTGTGAAGAAAGGCGAGTACGTCGCCCATCATGCCTCCGTTCGGTTTACCAAGACAGCCGAGTACAAATTGCACAGCTGAGAGAGCATATTTCCCATCTTCTTCGATCGTCTGGAATAGTGGTAGGAGATCCCTGTCGTAGTATTGCCCAAGCCTGGAAGGGCACGGAAGCATTCTTCCACTCAAGGAGTACCCCTTCTCCTCTCCATTTTCGATCGTAGTCATTGCGTCCTCGATGGAGTACTTTGCGAACCAAAAGAATGACTCTGAGTTGTTCCTAATCCACGATCGAACTCCGCCCGGCGGCCCATCTAAAGAACGAAGCATAGACATGACGTCCAGCTCCCGGTCCACGTAAGTACTGATGTCTTTGCGAATTTCCAAGTCACTCATCAGAATCCTAGCGGAATTAGGTATGCAGGAGGTCATGTTCAGGATCTCGCAAGGGCTATATGTGAACATGAACTTGAACCTCACAGTTTCGCGCGGCACGCCTTGTCCTGCGAGGGCTGGACCAGAAGCTGGCGTTGAGCGAGCCCCGGGGTGGTCGAGGAGACTTGCTACAAGACGGAGTAACTCCCGAGCAAAGGTAATATCACAGTCATCCAGGCCGTCCACAATGAGGAAAACGGCAGTCGTCTTTGGTGGACCGGTGGTATACTGCATCTGGCTCATGAAGTCGCGCAGGATATCGAACAGCGCCGGTAAATCGAGCTGGCTTTTCAGCTGCTGCAATCGATGATAAGGCGCTATGGACTCAGACCAGACTGGTCGCAGCTGAAGGAGCGATCGGACAAAGTACTCGGCAATCGGCGGCTTCTTATTTCTCACAGTGCTGACGTTGCAAAAGAAGGAGAGCACAATGTTGTTATCCGGTGGAGAACGAGGGCGATCCCAGGATAGGTAGTTGGCGACGGACTTGGCCAAGTGAGTTTTACCGCATCCTGTGGCGCCTTGCACAAAGAGGCCCTCCGTTTTGTTGGACTTGACCCAGCTTTTGAAGATAGAATGAGACTGTATCCAGGTACAAGTATCTGGAGTCGGATGTATATCGTGCCCAAGATGATGCTCGTCCCAACGACCAAGTTTGTTGACAAGGATGTCTCGGTGCTTTTTCTTATCAGCTAGCTCTCGGTCAGTACATAGATTCCTGGTCAAGAGGATAATCTCTCAGGATGGGTAAAGGCTAACCAGCTTCTTTCTTTCTGGCCCACAAACTGAATGACTCATTGGTCTGATCTCGCAGTGGTGGGCCGATAGGGATACCGGTTCGAGGCGGCGGCAGCAGAGACACCGGGGGTCCTACGAAAGAAGCATCAGTTTCCTATTTTACTCAAGTGATGTGTATGTGCCATTTTTACCTGGCGGGCCCGGCGGACCTGGAGGCCCAGGAGGACTAGGAGGCGGTGACGGGGGTGGGGGGTTGGCTGTCGTTGGCGCCACAGGAGGTGGTGGCGCGAAGAACACCCGTTTGTTGTTCGAAGAGGATATCTTTGTCATCATATCGCCCACGTGATCTGCCAATAGGCTGTATATCTTGTCTGAAGGGGACGGGAACTGTGTCAGCTGGAAGTGATGGCAGCCTACAGACAGGTTCAAACCCTGCGTTGGGTCCATATCGGCCCTTCGTTTGGGTACAACCTAGTCCACTCATTAGTTCCTAGTCCATACCAAGGAAATAAGACACGCTTTCTCACCAGAGTCTTGTAGGATGAGCCATCTTCGGACGTGATCTCGACTCGGCGTATTGCAACAAAGTTGAGGATTGTCAAGTCTAATGGTGCCTGTGTAAGGAATGTCTTATTGACTCCTCGAACAGCCTCTGCAAATTGTCTGACATCATCAACAGACGGTCTTGTAGAGTGTTTGAGCAGAGTCGCTGCCACTGTTGTTTTTACAGCTGCTAGAACTCCCTCGGAGTCTGTCGAATGGTGAACGGTGTCGAGAAAGACGACGCCGACAATGGACCCTTTGATAGCGAAGTATTCTGGATAGTTCGAGCATAGCTCAACTGCCTAGAGTTGATTGGCTATGAGCTTCAAAGACTGGTGAATGACGCAGTTATCAACACACCTTTTTGACGATCGTCCCCCCAAGCCCGTGGGCAATGAAAACAGTAGAGCCGCCCTGGAAAGGTCGTATCAGTATCCTTCATGGAGTCGAAATTCTTTGAGGAAATTGACCGACAGTGTATTTGCTGTAGTTGGATATCATGGATATCAAGAGCTCGTCAGCATGGAGAGCAATGCTCGCAGGCGTCATGTTTGCCGCTGGGTCCGAGTTGTATCCATATGTCCACACTCGAACCGAATCATTGAAGCTCCCAAGAAAATCGGGGTCTGAGATCCAAGTTTTTCCAGATTCGTCATGATGCCAGCTTGCCTTGGGAGACCCGCCCAGATCATGGACACATATAAGACTATGATCTGTAAGCTAAGCCCAGACCCTTCAAGATTCTTTATATTCTCACTTCACAAGAGGTCGCCATCCTGGCGGCACATGGTTCATGTGAATTGGGTAAACAACATCGAGACTGGGGATAATCATTGTGATGAAACACAAGATGAGCGAGCCACGCGTGGCACGATCGCGAGATCTCTTGGCTTTCGGTAGACTGGCGAGCGACTGATCGATCACAGGTGAAATTGACGCGCTGTTTCCGTTGACAACAATCGGTTACGATGCAGGCGCATGGCAGAATTAATTACACCGCTTACATCAGGCTGCGACAGTTAATATGAGGCCATGATGATGACCGCAGGCCGTGGTCTCTAGGCGGCAACCTCATGTGAGGAGTTGTTGCTGCTAGGGCTGAGCGATTGGATGTGACGCTAGCGGGCTGCACGCCTAGCGGGGTGAACTCGCTTCTGGCCCCCAACGTGGATAAGGCTTCCTAATGGCTGACATGCATTGCCAGCACAGCCTCTGCTGACTTTTCCTTCGTGTGCGGCTGAGGCCTGTTTGTCCGACTCTAGGTTTGTTGTAAAAGCTCTCGTCGTCGGATTTAAGTGGTTCAAAGGTCAAGATGTTCCGTCTGGTGTCACTGGCGGATCTTTTGCAACACATCCAATTGTTTCGCTTTGCCGCGCCGCCATGCATATGTCTGCAATAATACATGTTCTGGAGTCTAGACTGGATTATAAACCCGAGAGAAAACAGCTAGGTGTTACTGAGAGAAGAGAAGTCAGTGAACAAGTATTTCTGCAGTGATACCCATTTCAAGCTCCGATAATAAATCTCCAAAGCAAATCGGTCAGGCAGTCATGTGCGCTTGCCTTGGTCTGACTGACAGGAAGAGCATGATCAACGAACAGGCTAAGACACCACTGACCCAAGGGTTTGGGATACAAGGTTGATAGACCGTGACATCCAACTCTGGGATCATCGTTGATATCTGGTGGTTTGACTTGGGGTGGCCTGTGGAGGTGGAAATGGCGGGAACAGTCCCGAGGTGACCAGCGGACGCCAGCTGGTAGAGAAATGTCAATTTCAATTAGACGCGTGGTGGGGCTGCGCGAGGGAAGGCGCGTCATGACCTCAGCAAAGAAGATGCAGGCGCGTCAAGATCGTGCTTGACCCTTCCTTTCCTGCCACCCCCGGTCGTCAACCCCCACCAATTCACGCCTGCTGCCTTTGCTGCATTCTTTCTTCAACCTCCATTTAACGGACAATCTACCATCTCTGTGCTGTCACTCGAAACGCTCCTCAATCCTACGATCGATCAAAACAATCCTCTCATCCAAGAACCCAAAAGGACCATTGGTAGTTCGGCAACATGGGTATTAAGCACCTCTTCCAGATCATCAAGGAGGAGGCTCCCGATGCGATCAAAGAGGGAGAGATAAAGGCGCACTTTGGCCGCAAAGTTGCCATTGTGAGTCCAGTCCAACCACCAAGTCGATCTGACATCCACTAATTGGAAACAGGATGCGTAGGCTCGCCGTCGAAACCCTATAGCTCGCGCTCGCTAACGAAACCCAGGTCCATGAGTATTTACTCCTTCCTCATCGCCGTCCGATCCGATGGCCAACAGCTCATGAACGAGAGCGGAGAGACAACATCACATCTCATGGGTCTCTTCTACCGCACACTCCGAATGGTCGACAACGGTATCAAACCCCTCTACGTGTTCGACGGCGCCCCGCCCAAGCTTAAGTCTGGCGAGCTCGCCAAGCGATTCCAGAGAAAGCAGGAGGCCACTGAGGGTCTCGAGGAGGCAAAGGAGACAGGTACTGCTGAGGATGTTGAGAAGTTCTCCCGAAGAACGGTGCGGGTGACTCGTGAGCACAACGAGGACTGCCGGAAGCTTCTGAAGCTCATGGGCATTCCCTTCATCATCGCTCCTACTGAGGCTGAGGCACAATGTGCAGTTCTCGCCCGTGCTGGCAAGGTATACGCCGCCGCGAGTGAGGATATGGACACCCTCACTTTTGATACCCCTATCCTGCTCCGTCACTTGACGTTCAGCGAGCAGCGCAAGGAGCCCATTCAGGAGGTTCACATTGATAAGGTGCTTGAAGGTCTTGGCATGGAGCGCAAGCAGGTATGTCCCCCCCCCGGATGATAATGATGAGAGTGAGCGCGTCGTAACGTGTGCGACGAACAGTTTGTCGACTTGTGTATTCTTCTCGGCTGCGATTACCTCGACCCTGTCCCCAAGGTTGGTCCTTCGACAGCTCTCAAGCTGATCCGCGAACACGGAGACCTGGAGACACTCGTCGAGGCTTTCAAGAATGACCCGAAGCAAAAGTACGTCATTCCGGATGACTGGCCGTACCAAGATGCCCGGGAGCTCTTCCTCAACCCCGATGTGCGAAAGGCGGACGACCCGCTTTGCGACTTCAAGTGGGAGAAGCCCGACATGGAGGGGCTGGTGCAGTACCTCGTCACAGAGAAGGGCTTCTCGGAGGATCGTGTGCGCTCCGCAGGCGCCCGCTTGGAGAAGAACTTGAAAAGCAACCAGCAAGTACGCCTCGACGGTTTCTTCAAAGTGATTCCCAAGACGGAGGAGGAGAAGGCTGCGCACAAGCGGAAACTGGATGCCAAGAACGATGAGAAGAAGAAGAAGCAGAAGCTGGAAAAGAAGGAGAAGGCTGCTGCCAAATCTAAGCCTCGTGGAGCCTAGGTGGACGTGGCGGTCGTCGATTGTACAGCGGTGGCTGGATTGCTGCGTGGGAATTTTCCTTATGTATCGAGGAAAGGGCGGAACGGAACGACGTCTTTCACGGATTGCTTTAGTGTAGGATTCGGCGTTTGGGGGTCAAAAAGGAGACCCGTTGCTCTCGGGTGGCAATGCGCATTTAATTGCTTGGTGGGTATCGCTATGAATTGACGACTAATCTCGACAGCTCGATACCTTTGAAATATATTCTGTCTGACAACGATATCAACTTATACACCCTGAAGTCTACATGTAACGAAGTTAGGTAGCGAAGACAACCAGCCTCCCCATGCAATCTGATGGGATTAGGCAGACTAATCCACGTGCAAATAGATGGGGAGTAGCATGCCGAAGACGAGCCGTGGGTCAGTAAGTAAGGTAATCTTGTCCCACGGGGTAATCTACTAATCTAGTAATTGTCAACGCCCTCCAGGTTCTCCGCAGCCTGGTGGTCGGGTACCGAAAGGTCATGTGCCTGACTCGAGGCGCGGTGCATTGGCATCGTGCATGCTCACCTCTCTCTGTCTTTGAGGTTGTGCCACGGGCAGCAAAGCGGCAGCAGAGAGGGCCCACCTCACATGACCATCAACGGGATCCCCATTGGCCAGTCACCTTCTAAAAAGATGCCGAGGTTGATCCACACCTAGCGACGGAAACGGGCCACCCCTCGATGACATCAGCCGAAGAGGAAGAAGAAGGTACGACGTCCGTTGGGAATCACATGTTGCGCAAAGGAGATAGAATCGCTTCAAACACACGGCTGCAGATTGCAGTTTAAGCACCAGCCGCATATTTCTAAGCTTCTTGACGGATATTCCAGGCCAAAGACACACATGCGCCAGGCCAAAAAGAAGAAGAAAAAAAGGACAACGGACGGCGCGCAAACTGGGACTGGGGGAGAGGCTGCACGAGGCCACATGACATGGATTAGCGCACCTGGATGTCGCCGATGAGGACTAGTGCGACGGCTCCCCGAGCTCACTCTGGAGTCTTTTTCCCGTTCGCCAACCTCCGAGCCAATCCAATGGCACTTGATTGTGGTTGATTCCGGCCATGGCCAGTCGCGTCGGCTGCAATTTCAGTGACTGATGCTGGTGCTGCAGATTTCCCCACACAATTGGCCGTCCCCGAATTCCGCATGCTTTTTTTTTGTTTTTGGATCTCTGTCCGCGGCCCTCGAGAGTGTGGGGGAACTTGGGGAATCTCAAGGCCACCAAACACAAATGGATGATGATGGCATTGAATGGCCTCACGAGCCTGGAGGACCGCTGCACGAGACACAATGTGCCGGTAATGGATTCCATGACATCCAGGTAGACTTGTAGCAATGCCTCGGTGCAGAGGTACTTTCCTGTCCCGTGGTGCTGCTGCTGCACTGAGGCTGCGGCTGTGTCCGCACACGCATCCCCTGGGCCAAACGTGCAAGATGACGAACGACTCTAGGTATAAGAGGTACCTTTCCTGGCCACATGCACCCCAGCTTCACCCTCGAGGCGGGAAGGGGTACCTTTCCCCAGCCAACTTGGATGTACCTAAACCCTCCTGGGTCAAGCAGGTCCAAGGTAACCCCCTTCCAGAACCAAAGGGCAGGTGCCTCCCATTTTACCTTGGGCTTACCTTCCCATGTCCGCAAGCATGTGATTGTGTCTGGCCTGCGCTTGAGCTGAACGGCCCATTTGCCGACCTTGGCCGTCGCGACTCGTTTCGTTGACACCTTTTCCCCAGACAGATCCTCTTCCGGCAAGACTTTTTTAAACATCATTATCCCCTCTCATCCTACTTAGCCAACCTTTCCCCTTGTTCATCTTTCCTATCAACCCCCAGTCAAACGACGAATACCCATTCGACGAGAGTCTGCCGTACCTAGCACCCACATACTCCACAGCATCATACGACAGAGCATCACCGGTCACTATGTCCAAGACTTTCACAACTGGCGATGTTGCGTCGCACAACAAGCCTGACGACTTGTTTATCATCGTCGACGGCGACGTCTACGACCTAACGAAGTTTCAAGATGACCACCCGGGTATGTTTAGTTCCGCCATTCTTTTTGCTTCGACCTCAGCACCTGCTCCGCAAACCACCCGAAGCATGCCTCTAACTAACTTCCCCAGGTGGCAAGAAGATCCTCCAGCGCGTTGCCGGAAAGGACGCCTCCAAGCAGTTCTGGAAGTACCACAACGAGAGTATCCTGAAGAAGTACAAGGCCAAGCTTCACGTCGGCTCCCTCGACTCCAAGCCTAAGCCCGTCGAAGCTGCACCCGCTGCCGCTGCACCCGTGCCCAAGAAGGCCGCCCCTGCAAAGGTTGTTGCCAGGAGCACCGAAGAGTCCGAGCCCATGGATCCCTTTGGCGACTTGGTTCCCTACGCCGATCCCAACTGGTACCAGGCCGTAAGTTCAATTGCCGACTATCTTCTTGTCCCCAGCATTCTCTAACATCTTGCCTGAAGTACCACACTCCCTACTACAACGAGACGCACGCTGCCCTCCGCACCGAGATCCGCGAATGGGTTGAGACAGCTGTTGAGCCCTTCGTTGGTGAGTGGGACGAGAAGAAGGAGGTTGACCCTGCAATCTACAAGCAGATGGGTGAGCGCGGCTACCTTGCCGGTCTGCTCGGTGTCCACTACCCTACACAGTACACCAATAATACCGTTGCGTCGGTGGCTCCCGAGAACTGGGATCTCTTCCACGAGATGCTCTTGACAGACGAGCTGTCCCGCGCAGCATCAGGTGGCTTTGTCTGGAACGTCATCGGCGGTTTCGGCATTGGTTGCCCGCCCCTTGTCAAGTTTGGCCAGAAGGCTCTTGTCGACCGTATTCTGCCCGGCATTCTCAACGGTGATAAGCGTATTTGCTTGGCCATCACTGAACCCGATGCCGGCTCTGATGTTGCCAATCTGACTTGCGAGGCTAAGCTCAGCGAGGATGGAAAGCACTTCATCGTCAACGGCGAGAAGAAATGGATTACTAACGGTATCTGGTGTGATTACTTCACCACCGCCGTCCGCACAGGTGGCGAGGGTATGAACGGTGTCAGCTTGCTGCTTATCGAGAGAGGACCCGGTGTCACGACAAGACGCATGGACTGCCAGGGTGTCTGGTCCAGCGGTACCACCTACATCACCTTTGAGGATGTCAAGGTGCCTGTTGAGAACTTGCTCGGCAAGAAGAACCAGGGCTTCAGAGGTATGTGGTCACTCCTTGAGATCATCCCAAATCCCCATACTGACATGCTCCAGTCATCATGACCAACTTCAACCACGAGCGTATCGGTATCATCATCCAGTGCCTGCGCTTCTCTCGTGTATGCTACGAGGAGTCCGTCAAATACGCCAACAAGCGTCGCACGTTTGGCAAGAAGCTCTATGAGCATCCCGTCATTCGTCTCAAGCTTGCGCATATGGCCCGCCAGATTGAGGCTTCGTACGCGTGGCTTGAGAACCTCATCTTCCAGTGCCAGAAGATGGGCGAGACCGAGGCTATGCTCAAGCTTGGCGGTGCCATTGCCGGCCTCAAGGCCCAAAGTACTGTCACCTTTGAGTTCTGCGCTCGTGAGGCATCGCAGATCTTTGGTGGTCTGTCGTACTCTCGCGGTGGGCAGGGCGGCAAGGTCGAGAGACTGTACCGCGACGTCCGCGCGTATGCCATTCCCGGTGGCAGTGAGGAGATTATGCTCGACTTGAGCATCCGGCAGAGCATGCGTGTGCATAAGGCACTTGGCATGAAGTTGTAATCGGCATTGTCGGGATGAGCAGTGGATGATCAAGAGAGACTCTTACGTCATGTATGAATAGATCTGGTTGGATATCCTTTCATTTGTCGGGGCGTTTTGCATGGAGGCAAAACTCAGTCCAGGAATCTAGATGAATACATGGATTTATCACTTCATACCTTACGTCCATCATCTTCTCAGGTCTTCCGCTTGGCTCAAGGTTCAATCCTCCTCCTGGTTGCTAACAACTGGATAAGAAGTAGCACACCGGACAGACTAGACATTCATTAGGCCGGTTCACAAACGTACACCTCGACAGTTACAGAAATGGCACTGGCAACGCGCTCGTCGGGGATTCAGCGACCAGAATAGGTTTTTGAGGTTCACCGTACCATGCTTTCCTCGACAACTGGGCCAGCGGCACGCAACTTCACAATTCATGATCTTTGTCCTCAATCAGCAACATTCCAACAACACGAGCTGATGTCTCAGATACTTCGTCTATGGCTTACCAGTCGACACGATCGATCACGGCGCAAGCCACTGCCCCTTCAGCCGGGTCCAACTGGTTTCCCTCCTTGACTCCGCCATGGGACTCAATAACACGCTCTGTGACTTCTCCCAATATCACTAGACCAACTCATCTCCCGTACCCACCCACACGTGGGGAGATGGGGGTGCAGCAGATCGCGAGAGTGGATGCGGCGTCAAAGGACCGAAAGCGCGTTTATCTCAGTACGGTCAAGCTCGGGAAGAGCTTTCATGATTTTCATCGACAACCTGCCGTTTGCGGCCTTGAACAAGACATCTTCTCCTCGTATTCACTTAACAGACGAGAGGTTTTCCATGAATTGAGCTCGGAGCCGGATGCCAAAGGCAATAAGTCTAATAATTGGCCAAGGAAGAATATTCTAGCTATGTCTTTAGGGCTTTGCGATGTCAGCTTGTAGCCTATGACACGCATGGAGGAATCCACCAGCATTATTTCGAGGATACCGTGAGCGGCAGTTGACGACTCAACAATTCCTCCCATCCCTCCTGGACAGCCATCCCGCGACCAGGCCGGAATGCTGAACCCATCAAACTCCGGGAACCGGCTGTCTCGCGGTAAGACAGCGTCGATGACGTTCTCATAGGGCTTGGAAACGAGCAAGGCTGTCTTCGGCACCGAAGAGACATGATCCGGGCCGTACGGATACGCTGACTCGGCTCTCTTGTCGCCCTGGATTGCAGTCGTATTCCGCTTCCCCTCGCCATTCTTGTCTCACTCTGAATCGCAGGCCCATCCTCGGACATATTCGCAGCGATCACCAACATTCTTCACATCCAAAGATACCCACAAGCCCCATCGCGCGATGTCTCACTCTAAAAACTACCTCACCACGCTTGCCTCTGATCTATCCGGATCCGACGAAATACTGTTCTCCCCTGGTTCCGTACCTCGCCGGTCCAACTCTTTTCCCTTGGCTACTCGCGTGTTAACTATGCTCGCTTACAGGATTATCCCAAAAATACCTCTTCTTCTTGCTACATCCGTCCAACTGCCAATCCCAACTGTCCACTATGGCGTACGCCCAAACGGTCCGAACTGGCAGAGCGCACGCGGGGCTCACAACATCTTTTGCCGCATGCAGCTATGTCCGAGATCTCAGAATTTTCACGATGCTCTTGACCGATAATGTTCACTCTGGATGGAGCTCACGAACTGTTCCTGCATGATCCCACCGCCGTTCTCGGTAACGTTCACTCGAGGATGGGCTGATCTTCACCACACGATCAACGGCTATATCAAGCGTCCTTGGACCCAGCCGATATCAGGCTTTTCTTCTTATCCTCATCACATCAATCACATCTCCAACACTCACTCCTCTCCTCTCCGAGCTTCTGCTTCGACATTCGCTTTCGTCTTTCGTTTTCTCTAGCTCAAGAGTCTAGTCGAACACAACCAACCACCACTCTCGCTTCCATCCGTAAACCATCAAGATGGTTTCTCCCGTCATGATTCGCCTCGCCGCGGGCGCCGCACTCTTAGCCGGTGTCAACGGCCAGTCGACTACCTCGACCACCGTCGTCGCTCCGACTACCACCGTGACGCCCAGCACCACGGTCACCGTGGCTAGCCCCACGACCACGGTCACCAGCGGCGGCACCACCACCACTCTGACGACCTCGACTGCCGCCTCCTCCAGCAGCAGCAACACGGTTTCCAGTGACACCTCCATTGTGACCAGCATCGGCAGCTCTACCGCCACGGTCATTGCTCCCACGAGCACCTCGGTCACCACCGATTCCACCCTCAGCAGCGGAACCAGCACCGTTCTGAGCACCACCGAGACCTCCGTCTTGACTTCGACCGACTCGACCTCTTCGGACCCCGGCACTTCCACAACCACGACTTCTGCCGATGTTGTTACCTCTACCGTCCTGACTACCTCGGCCCTCAACACTACGGATCCCGGCGTTCTCCCTACCTTTACCAGCTCGACTGTGACCCTTCCCAACAACAGCACCACGGTTGTTCCCATCCCGGTTGATCCCACCACGGGACCCATCGTCACCACACCTCCCGTCTTCCCCAACAGTACCGCCCCCACCACCATTCCTCCCCCAGTGACGACCACGACCTGCAACAACAACGGCACCTGCAATGTTATCACCCTACCCCCTTGCGTGACAATCACCTCCTGCTACAACGGCTACTGCCACCCTGTCACGACAATCACTTACCCTCTTCCCCCCGTCGTCACCCCTCCAACTCTGACGACCATCACCCGCTGCGACTACAATGGAACCTGTTCAACCTACACCCGCACAAAGTCCGTTCCCGCCACGATCATTCCCCCCTTCTACACCGACTGCTTAACCCTGACGAAGACGTACACTACTTGCAACAACGCCGTCTGCAGCACCGTCACCACCACTACCACCTCGTCCTTTACCCGCCAGGGAACCCCCACCCCTACTGGCCCTGGTGGCTCTACCATGGTCACGAAGCCTTCCAACCCGGCCTCGCCTCCTGTGAACCCGCCTACGAACCCCAGCAACCCGCCTACCAACCCGTCGAATCCTCCCAGCAACCCCAGCAACCCGCCTACCAACCCTTCCAGCCCGCCTAGCAACCCCAGCAGTCCCCCTTCCAACCCTCCTTCCAACCCTCCTTCCAACCCTCCTTCCAACCCTCCTTCCAACCCTCCTTCCAACCCTCCTTCAAACCCCCCTTCAAACCCCCCTTCAAACCCGCCTGCGCAGCCTCCTGCGCAGCCTCCTGCGAACCCCCCGGCCAACCCTCCTGCGAACCCCACCTCGCCTCCTACCAACCCGCCCGCTGGCAGCTCTCCCGCGACTACGCCCGCTGTTCCCACCACTGTCAGCGGCACTCGTCCCGGCACCACGTCTCCTACCGCTGTGGTTACGGCCGGCGAGCCCGCTCTGATGGCTGTGAACGTTCTTCCGTTGATGAGCGTTCTCGGTGCGGTTGCCGTTGGTATGGTTGTATTCTTGTAGTCTGGGCCCTGCAGTGGCAAGCGACAAGTCGACATAACACATCATATTAAACAATATTTCCTTTGTATCATGGGCCCTCTGAAGATGAGCAGAGTAGATTTGTAGTAATTTTAGGTGAAAAAGTACGGGAAAGACCACGGACTGTGGTTTGTAATGAGGAAGAGAGGATGACGATGGAGAAAGAGGATCCCATAGAAGAATGAAAACTTATCATTTCAAAAACATTCTTCAATGAAAGCGTGATTATTTGGGAACCTTTCGATCTCTGGCTTGCCTGACCTTCTTGCCAGTTTCGAGATAGAAAACCCAAGTATAACCCAGTGGAGTTGACCCTGTTAATACTTCCTATTCACTTATCCAAGCTCCGATTATCTGCCTCGCCCATAAATCAACTTTCAAATCTACCAGAAGCCGCAAAACAAATCAAAGCCCCTACACCTCTACACCCCTAAGAAATCCCTTCACCCTCTGCGCAGCAACAATCCCCTGCTCAACAGCCCCATCAATAAACCCCCTCCATCCCACGGCCTAGTCCCCGCTCGCCATCACCACATTCCCATGACCCCTTCTCAACTCATCCCAGTACTTGCCGTCCTCGACCCCGGCAGGGAGACAAGCCCACGTGCCCCTCGCAAACGTATCAGACCGCCAGTCGTGAATAGAGTACTTCTCGACTTTAGCTCCCGGGACCAAAGTCTCGTACGAACGAAGGATCTTCTCAGAGGAGGCCGCGGTCGTCAGGTCTGGATTTTCGGTACTCAATGCCAGGAATCCGACGGCGTGGGAGATGCTTCCGTCTGTGAGGGAAATCGCCTTGGGGAAACTAGCTAAGAAATCACACCCCGATGAGGACGAGGTAGCAGAGCTGGCGGCGCTCGCGAAGAAAGGACGCGAGACACTCCCATCTTCAAGCGCGAGAATCACTTTTTCCCCGCGTCCCACGTGTCCCCTATCCACGACCTCTCTCCCAAAACCCGAGAGAGGCGGCGAGAAGGTGATGGTGGAGAGGACATTGAGGGGCATGGTATTCACGACATACCGCGCCGACACCGTCCTCCCGTCTCGCGTAGTAACCCGGACCAGACCATCAGCACCGTCCTGCGAGATACCCGCCACCGGTGAACGAAAGTGGACGTCACCTGTGAAATCCGCGAATTTGGATCTCGCTAGGGCGGTGGTGCCCCCTCCACCGAGGGAATACGTCCCGCCCTTTTCTAGAAGCTTTATGCCGGCGTCGTTGCTCGCGATGTACCGAACAACATTGAGGAACCCCGTCCCCTCGGGCCTGGCGAGCCCAAACATTTGCAGCGCGGCTTCGAAGAGGGGTCGGTCTTGTGGGGAGACGTCCATTTGGTCTAGGCGCTATGCGGCGGTTAGGTGGTCGTATGCTGCGATGAAGGCTGCGTCGCCGAGGTTCCCGAAGGGGGGGTGGAGGAAGGATTCTGGGGTTGTGCCGTTGACTGATATAAAGTCCTTGTAGAATTTGTCTAGTTTTGAGGCGGTGGTTAGGGGGTCGAGGGTGGTGGTATGATTGGTGTTGGTGAAGTGGTAATCTGGTGGGCCGGTTGGGGGTGGAAGGGAGACGATGTCTTTTTGTTTTCCGTAGCGGATGAAATCGTTGCATAGATGTGGTTGGTGCCTACATTTGCGACGTTAGCAATCTTGATTTTCGACTTTTTAGAAAAATGTCGATGCAAGGTAGGTGATATGGCGTACCAATGCACGAATTGCCCTCCCATCTCAACGTCTTCCCCGTCTACCTTGGCAACCCTTGTCCTGCCTCCGATACGATCTCGGGCTTCGACGAGCAAGGTCGAGGCTGTGCTGCTCAGGTCTCTGACTGCTACGAGACCTGCGAATCCGGCGCCGATTACAATGACGTCGTATTCATCTGCGATGTTTGGCGAGCTGGGGGCTACGGCGTCTGTTGCTAGGCCCTTTTCGAGGGGTTTGTTCTTGCGCCATGTTATGCCTTCTGACGATCTTCGTGTTGGCTTCATAGTTACGACGTTGGTATGATGTTATTGGATAGTACAAGTTTATGTTCGTAATGTGGTCAGTGGGGTAGTGTAATTATTTGCAGTAGGAGAAGTATTGTGTGAGAAGATCAAAACACCGTACAAGCGACGAACTTGAGTGCTTTTATAAAGTTATCCTGATCATACATCTCATTCAAATGTTCAACAACATCGAACAGGATCACCACCGCCATCTTCGGCACCCATTACTCACTCGTCCCAGCGTCAAAGCAGATGCCAAGATGCCCGTCCTGACCTCATGTCGAAGGTTCCGGCATCTGGTGGGATGTTGTCGGACTCTGCCAGGTCCGCTATGAACGTTAACCCACGCAGAATTACCAAGGACACGGCCCTATCAACTTGGATTTCTCTTGGAAGTGTCTTGACGCTCAGGATTGTGAGTGAAGGACGGCATTCGAACCCAGTCCGTGGCTTCCTGTCACACAGCCTCTTTCGGCGTGATGCTCATGGTAGTCTCGAATGTGCAGAAGAGGTGGCGATGCGTTTTACTTTACCGATAGAACCAACCTAGCCGTGGAATGGAGTCTAGACTTGAGAGTCCGAAAGACCGTTCGGCATACTTCTTACTCCAGTGTCCGGCATGCCTCTCAATTGCTTGCAAGTTGGGATGAAAGTCCTTGTCGAAATGACACGAATTCATCTTTAGAAAAGTACGATGGAAGATGAATACATCATCAGCGCCTATTTGGAGTGATCTCGCTGCGTCTAGTGCAGACCTAATTGATGTTTGTCCATAACCTCTTCCGCATAGAAAGAATCCTCGCCGTTGTCAGGCACGCGACCTGGCGATACTCGCCACAAGTATATCCGTCAACAGTTGACGCTTTCAGAAGCGCTAAAGACAAGTGGATGTAGGAAGGCGATGTGCAAAAGTAGGGAATCCTGATCCCCCATAGCTGTCGACAGAATACATATGCCATTGGGCGTGGATGTTGGTCAATTGAAGACCGTCGAGTGGTTGTAATTTGCACGTATGATTGGTTGTGTTGTGTTCACCCCGCTTTCAAGACGGGACGATGACGGATGAGATGGCGATGCCCCGCCGTTCCGTACTCCGCCCGCGTTGAACAGAGGCGGGGGGAACGTCCGTCCGGGAAGATGAGGGGCAGCAAATCGAATCCGACAGACTCAAAACAACTGACAACAACACAAGGTCGCTCGATTCTACCATATCTCAACTTCAACTCTTCTTGCTTCACTTTTTCACCGAGTATATCGAAAATGACTATCATCCACGTTGTCCAGTTCCAGTTCAAGGAGCTCATTCCAGCGGAGGAGGTGAAGACGGTACGTTTGTCTACAAGCCGGCGGGCCCAGTGTCACGCAGCTTGGAGCGAGAAAGACGAAAAGCAGGCTAACGCTAGACATAGATGTGCGAATCCATGCTGGCTCTCAAAGATGACTGCATCCATCCGACGTCCAATAAGCCGTACATCAAGTCTCTTGTTGGTGGGCTCGACTGTAGTCCCGAGGGTCTGCAGGACGGCATCACGCACATTTTTGTAGCCGAGTTTGAAAGCATTGAGGATCGTGATTATTACCTCGCCAAGGACCCTGCACATCAGGCGTTCATGAAGCAGGTTGCGTCGGCTATTATCAAGGCGAGGGTGACAGATTTTACCCCGGGTATCTTCTAAGGTCTGTTGGTTGTGGTCGTAACTCGTGAGATGAACAGGTTAGGGGCAGTAGTCTCGCAGTCTTGGTATTCAGCTCGTAATTGCTATGCATAAGTACCGCGCAGACAACTGTCGCTTGGAATGAAATGCCATCATTGTACATGGGTTAGCCGAATGGGAAATGGAAATGAATGTCGTACGGAACAAAGTCACGCAACGGGAGGGAAATGCAGGGACGGCGAGGAGGAGCAGTGAAGTCAGGGTCCCTCACAAAAAGATACATGTGCTTTGTACCTGTTTCCCAATCTGAGGGGTCCAAGATAGGTGGAGTCCAATCAGAACTAGCGACATATGAGCCAATCACAGATCGTTAAGCGTGTCTGCTTCCGGTGATGTAAGCGGGGCACACAAGGTACCGGGGTCTACGTCATTGGCAGCACGGGCAGGTCCAGGGGGAAGGCACTTGCTCAGTGCTCTACTGCTCTTGCCTTGCCCTCCACTGCCTCCAGCACGCACCAGAAGGGGCCACCCGACGCTCCGTCACCGGTCCCCGTTTCCCCCCGTCGTTGCCCCCCCCTGCCCTGCTGCGTGCTCTTCCCCTCCCCCGCCTTGCTCCTGCTCTTTCTGCTACTCCGTACTGCTGCTCCTGCGCCTTGCTCTGCCTCTTGCTGTTTAAGTATTATTGTACGGATACGTACCTTTGGTAGCTTCCATTCTTCGAGGAAGGTACCCACCCGCGCCCAGCGCTTGCCTTGCTTTCCCATCCGGTACGGATACCTCAGGTAGGACTGGACGCTTCACTTTCATGACTTCAGGGGACCGACCTCACTGCCTCCCTGTCACGCCTGTCTGACGCGAACGTCCACCATCCAGTCACTTGGCTTTATTCCCCCAACCTGCATCTCTGCAAATATCGGCCACACCTCGTCATCCTTCTATCTTCACACGACGACTAGGAGCGCACATGCGAATTGCTTCCTTTGCGATACCCATTCGACCCCGTGCTAGATCCAATTCCACCTTCATCGTCTAGCTCTGGAGGTACCATACGCCCAGCTGCATATCCGACGACAATACCTGATAGCCGCCGCCGTTCAGCTGTCGACTGCCACGAAGCCAACCCAACTCATCTCTGCCCGACACGCATCTACCACATACGACCACCCGGTTGCGACCTCATCTCGGTCCGAACATCCACACATATACATTGTCGACGGCTTCCGCTATCGATCTCATCGACACCTCTTCGCTCTATTCTAAACACCAACGTCAATACTAGCAGCTATGGCGCAAGCACCGCGTCCCACCTTCATCAACCTCCCTCCTCCCACCTCCAACCCGGATACCCCATCTGAGATGCCGTACGCTGTCTCGTTTCCCATCCTCCTCTTGCTTCCCAAGCTAACATCCCCCGACACAGCGGCACCCCCACGAGCGCTACGACCTCCCTCTCTGCCCTCTCGACCACCGCTATTAAAGATGGTCACCGAGGCCACTTCCCCCAGGGTCCCGCTGGCGTCCGCGGCCACGCCCATCATCCCTCTACAACCAGCCTCGAGGCTGAGCGCGCCGACAGAATCTCCCGTCTCGCCGGTCTAGAGCGAGTCTCGACTCTGCGTGCCCCGCCGCACCAGCAGAATGCCGGCTCCTCAATCTCTCCTCAGACGACCCCCACCTCCACCGGCTTCCCTGCCAACTACCCGCCCAACACGCACCTCACGCCCGCATACTTCGATGCCCAAGGCCAGCCTACCGCTGTTACTAAGATGAGCACTGTCGGTACCGCTAGCGCAACCGAGAGCTATGTCGGCGACGACAACGAGACGCGTACCGCACCTGGCGAGCAGGACGAGGATATGTTCAGCATGGATACCAACTACCGTGAGGCCGACTCGGTCACCAGCATGGGCGCCGAGCCTGAGCGCATGGACGAGGACCACACGGCGGGGTCCACCGCAGGCTACGATGACCGTATGAGCGACGACGGATCTGCTAGCCTTGTTGGCTTTGGTGAGGGCGCCAATAGTACTGTGTCTGGTCCCATTTACCAGCGTCGCCCCATTCCTGGAGTTGCTGGTCAGGCCGGTATTTGGGGTCTGGAGCGAAGTGCCTCGGGGCTCAGTGATGGCATGCCGACACAGCGAGCCCGCGACATCACAATGGGCGGTGATACTCCCACCAGCGCGGCCGCAATGCAGGAACGACGGGATGCGCGGATGATGGATGGTACGACCAATGATGGCGCCGGTGTACCCAGCGACGAAATGTACGTCGACACCACCAACAAGCCACCTGTCCCTGCTTCCCAGCTCCCCCAACAATCTTCACAAGCTAACCCCGCCACGACGCCGACAGCTCGTGATACCGCAGAGCGTCTTCTCAGGGAGCGACTTGATGGGGGCGAGGCGCGCGTAGGTAACACCGCGCTTGGTAGCCCCCAGGGTGGTGGTGATAAGCTCGGCAAGTTCTACTTTGAAGAGCGGAAATAAGGCACCCCAATTTCTTTCCTCATTTGACCAAGTAGGCGGAGAAGAGGTATGCGGATGATTATATACGGTTCATGACGTTGGGAAATAACTTCGGAAGAAAAACTGCGGGCTAGAGTCTTCGCCTGCATGATTTGGACGGATACGACTGTGTTGGGATGGGATTTGATTTGTCTGGATACGGATGGCCTAGGTTCGACTAAGACAATGCGAGCTTCTGATTATGACTTGTGGTATTTGTGATCGTAGTGATCAATGCTTTCATGGGAGCCCAGTTCTACCATGCTACGGACTCAACAGCACCGGCGTCGACGAGCCGGAGAAAGCAGCACACGGAATACCTGCTACAGCTTCGTGGTATCCTTTTCTATTGGCGAGTGGTGGTGGTGTGGTTTACTTAGGCAATATGGGTTGTCACTGGGTCCCGACCCGGTGGCGCAAAAAAGGTTCATTGCTAGCCCCGCGGGAACGGTGTCGGGGCCGGCGAGATTGCCCCGCTTCCCCCGCCCCTGGCCGGCGTCTGGCGGCGGACCGTTGGGCGGTCTCGGACACAGAGAAGAGGTTTATTCCTTGACGTGCGCAAGAGAGGTGGAGGCGGCATGGGATGGATCGCCAAGTGTACGGGAAGAATATTAGGACTTTCGGTTCCGCGGTTGATCGTGCGTGGCGTCTACTGTAAGTGTTCGGACGAAGGGAGGTTGACACTTTTCGGGTTCTTTTTGTGTGGAGACTGAAGATTGAGTTAGAGTGAACTCTAATCGTTAAGAAAGCCCATAATCATGTAGAGGCTTAGAGCTGACTTGGGTTTGTGGGCTGTTGAGGACTTGGTTCCGATCATATAATCGGCGTCTATGGATACCAGCCATGGACAGCCGGTGACTTTTTGCTTCCGGTCACTTTTCAGGGGGAGCCGATATTCTTTGTGTTTTCACGCGGTGCTATGGTGCTGAGCTCAACGAGTCTCAACGGCCCACCTCAAGGCGAGTGCTGTTTTGTTGACGGTCCTTTCGTAGGCAAAATATCCTATCTGCTTATGACACATTCTCGGTTCGCCTTGCCCTATTATCAATCATTCTACCCATCCGAAAGTTGGCACAGTATAGGCATATTAGGAAAAAGCACCTACGCATAGTAATGCGGCATCTCGCTTTTGCCCCTCGTATTGCGCACTCTCAAAGCTCGGTTTCTACGGATTGGAAGTCCCCCCTTCTCCGGCAAGGTCCAAACCACGACCCGATGTGACGCTGACATGCCCTTCCCCAGTGGCTCCCCGGTGTTCGTCGCATCATCGTCCAGCAAACAGCAGACAAGCTTGAATCGATTTCATGGCACGGACCGAAAAGAACCTGGGAGGACCTCCCCCCTATCCGCACCTGGGACCGTGCCACGGATTGGCTCGACTCTTGAGTCGAATATTGATGGGGAGGATACCTCTCGGGGAAGACGGGGGATGGGTTTACGCATATTGATTGATATTAACAAACCAGGTTTTCCTAGCGTTCGCGGCGTCCAACACTCCTAGTTTAGGTAGTCAGTGCGGGTAAGGAAACTCAAAAAAGTTGAATCGTGACGAGATGGTCCCCGGCTGTCATTAGTCAAGCCCAATAGCTATTACGGCATATTGCCGCTTACCGATTTGCTAGATGTGAACATGGAAAGAATCACGGAAGAGCTCAAGGCCTAGTTCCTGCTTTCACTTAGACAAATCTATTTCTTTCCGTCCCGTCCACGATCTCTGCCATTCTCGTACACGTCGGACACCCACGCTCGCTCAGGATACATGCCACCATGCGTCTCTTCAGGACTCTACCTCTAGCCATCGCGGGCCTTCTTGCGCCTCACTTCTCTGACGCCTTTCCCTTATCTCAAGACCAAGATGCGGCAGCCACGTTTCTGGATCGTCTGCTCGTCGGCACACAGGGTCTGAAGGATGCTCTCCCCGAGCAACAACAGCCTTCTTCCTTGGTTGTAGATCTGGGCTATGCAAAGTACGAAGGGTATAACAATGCCACCAGCGGTCTCAATATCTGGAAAGGGTAAGATATATCTCTCTTCCATACACCTTCAACTTGACCGTTTTGTATCCGCTAAACGTATCTCCAAAACCCTCAGAATCCGCTACGCAGCTCCACCGACAGGTTCACAGCGCTGGCAACCCCCCCGTCTCCCGTCGTTCAACGACACGGCCGGGGCGGGCGGTGGGGTAACGGCAGCGACCGACTACGGCCCAATCTGTCCGCAAAACTACCCCGCCGTACCGGGTCTCCCGTTCATCCCCGGCGAGGAGGACTGTCTCTTCCTAAACGTGTACGCGCCCGCGGATGCGGCAGGGGACCTGCCGGTGCTGGTGTACATCCACGGTGGCGGGTACGGGTACGGTGATGGGAGAATTGATATGTCGGAGATTATTGGGGCGAATGGGGGTGGGTTTGTGGCGGTTGTTATTCAGTACCGGGTATGCTCTTCTCATTTCTTCTCTTTTTCGCGGCTCTTCTGTGGCTTTTGTCTGTTCTTCTTCCGGGGGTTTGGTGGTGGATGAGAATGTGTTTTGAGAAGTACTTTGCTAACGACGTTTAGCTCGGCGCGTTGGGATTCCTTTCCTCTGCGGACGTCAAGGCGCGCGGGGTCGTAAACGCCGGCCTCCTGGACCAGGCTTTTGCCCTAGGCTGGGTGCAGCGCTTCATCGGTCAATTTGGCGGGGATCGTGGGAAAGTGACGATTGCGGGGGAGTCGGCGGGTGCAGGGTCGGTGATGTATCATACTCTCGCCGTGGATGGTAGTCTGGGGACGACGCTCTTCAACAACGTGAGTTTCCAACTTGCTGCGGTATAGAAAGACTGCGATGGTGACGACTGGGCTGACTTGGATTTGGGGCTAGGGAATTGCCGCTTCGCCGTATCTTCCGTTCCACTACGCATTCGACGCGGCGTTTCCGACCTCGCGGTACCAGGCGTTTGCTGAGAAGGCGGGGTGCTTGTCGTCTAGTGATGTTCTTGCGTGTCTTCGTGGAAAGGATAGCATGACGTTGCAGGTTGCGAGTGCGAATACCACGTTTGAACAGCCCTATGGGTTCTGGTGAGTTGTAGATTCTCGGGACATGCGGAGTTCACACTTCCCGCACGCGGCTGACTGGGTGGTGATAGGGCGTTTTATCCCGTGACGGACGGCGTCTACATCAAGAGCCTCCCGACTGAGCAGATGAAGCAGAAGAGAGTGAATGGAGAACGACTACTCGTCGGTGTGAGTATCTCTACAAAGTCCCACTTCCTCTCGTCTGTTCTGAGCCTATAACTGACGAGCTTCTAAGCACAATGCTAATGAAGGACCTCTCCTCACCCCACCCAACATTGTCAGCGTCTCAGATTTGACGTCCTGGCTCAAGCTCGAATTCCCCAACCTCTCATCGGACCAGATTGACGAAATCCTCGCCGCGAACCCGACAAAGACGGGGGCGAACGACACCCGCTTCGAGACCAATGGGTTGACGGGACTTACAGCTCTCGACGTGAGCCAGTCTGGAACCGGACAGCAGCAAAGAGCAAACGTAAGAAAACATAAAGGCTCACTCTCTGGCAATCTGCTGTGATCATTGCCCTAACACCTGGCTGAAAACAGAACATTTACGCCGAGGCAACATTCGTGTGCCCAAGCTACTGGCTTTCTGACGCCTTCACCTCGCCAAAGTCATCATGGCACTACCAGTACTCCGTCCCCTTTGCCTGGCACACGGCCGACATCCCAGGCTACTTTGGCCCCGCGACGCCGAACCAAGGCCCGGACATCGTCCTCGCCTTCCGTAAGATCTGGGGAACCTTTATCATTGGCAACGACCCATCCATCAGCAACGAGATCGCCAACGGAGCTTCTAGCGCCAATGTAGCTGCTGACAATGGGGCGAGCCAGTGGCCTGTCTGGACGGCAGAGGCGCCGAAGCAGGTGAATCTGAACCAGACGGGCGGCGTGCCGTACGAGTTTACGACTTCGTGGGGGGCGCGGGTCACGCAGTTTATGGCGCCGGGACAGGTGAATGATATCCAGGTTGTCTCTGCTGATTCGTGGGAGGGCGGACGTGGTGCGAGGTGTGAGTTTTGGGGGCGGTTGGCTCCTAGCATTCCGGCGTAGACGAGGCTCGGAGGGGGTAAAACCCAATAAGCTGTGGCTGTAGCATGAACTGAATGATCATGTTACCAGCGACTTGATGACACTTGCGATGGGCGGAATGGATGTGAAGAGGACCGTGATTGTGCCGAATAGACTCATTGACAAGCTTGACAGCGCCGCGGCACGGGGATCGGTTCGTAGTAGGAGCGCGGTGGCAATGGCTGAGGAATTGGCTCCGAGTGTGACGCCGCGGGTGATGTAGTCATCTGTGGTTCTGTAAGCTGCCTGTGTTCATACGTTTCGTCGCTGGCAATACGCAGCCTCTCACCTTCAGGTATCTTCAACCAGGCCAACATCCGCTGGCCAACCAGCACTCCGACAATGCCACTCATGATAGCCACAGCAGCCACGGTGTTCAAATCACCCCCCAGGTTCTCTGTTGCAGGTAGCGCCAGCGCGAGCGTCAAACTCCGCGACGCAAACGCAAGAGACCTCTCCGCGCTGATGCCGATAGCGAAGCAGATCTTGGGGTAGGAGAAGAGACTGCCGATCGACATGAGAATATTAGGCAATACGATTGCCACAAAGTTTTGCTTCAGCTCGCGGCGGTACTGATACATTGGTAGCGCAAGAGAAACAATGCTTGCGTCGAGGACGGTGCTGAAGATGTCGCCGGCGCCGGGGAGGCGGCCTTCTGGGTTCTTGGCGTGGAGCCAGAGGTACGTGTAATTCGCTCCCGTGCGGAAGGATCGGAGAGTTTCGAAGAGGCCGGCGCCTCGGATCGCTGCGAGGGCCCATATGCCGAGGACGGAGAAGAGGGAGGTGACGAGGACGGGGTGGAGGTATTGTCGCCAGTTGGCGGGAACGGACATGGCGGCGAAGTAGACAAGGAGGATGAGGCTTAGGTGGAGGGGCATGGCGTAGCCTGTTGCGTAGTAAAGGGGAAGGCCGACGAAGGCGAAGATGGAGGCGTAGAGGACCCAGTTGAGGTGCCCGCAGATCCAGGCTGCCCAGAGCTGTGAGCGAGG